CTACAGTCGTCGACGCTCTTCTGCCATACACAGACAAGCGTCGACAAAAGGTATATAAGGAGGCCTTCTTCCGGCCTCCTCTTCTCAGAAATGCATGCTTCCTACCACAACCTTCTCGTACGACAACTTTGACTGAATCACTACTCCGACCAACCACCTTCAACGCTTGCTCGACGCCTGGACTGATCACCCAGCTGTCTCCCTCTCTCTCTCTCTTCTTAGCTCTAGCATCAGCTAAGTCCTCGCCAGTCGTAACGTTCCGTCCACTCACCGCTTGTTCCCTGCTCTTAGTTCGACGAGCACAGAACCTTACTTGCGCCGGTGACGACTCCGGCTATCGCCGCTGAGCCGCATCGTTACACCAGCTCCGTGAGCGCTGCGGATGGCAGGGACATGAGCGCGGCGCTTGAAGGGGCAATAGCCTTGGTAAAGTAGAGGTTGCGCTGGTTGGCCTCCAGTCGCCCGGGTATAGCGCTCTTTGCCTGAGCCACAGCGCAGATCAGCGACTTGTCTGCTTTGCTGCAAACCAAACGCAACAGACGCACCTTGGCAGCTTTGAACTCGCAAAGGTCATGAGCCTCTTGAGCGCACAGCTCGAGCCTCTCTGCGAAAGCTTTGCAGCGTGTGGCGTACTGCTTGCTGATGTCCGCCTTGCGACGTTTGTTGGCCTGGAAGAGGGCGCCTATAGCTGGGCTTTTGAAGGCGGACTGGCGCTTGCTCATCTGTCCCAGGGTTTGCCCAATCTTCTGCAAGATTCGGCGTTCAAGAGCGTGAAGATAGAGACGTTGAGGTTGTGAGCCTCTTGAGCGCACAGCTTGAGCCTCTCTGCGAAAGCTTTGCAGCGTGTGGCGTACTGCTTGCTGAGGTCCGCCTTGCAACATTTGTTAACCTGGAAGAGGGCATCTATAGCCGGGCTTTTGAAGGCAAACTGGCGCTCGCTCATCTGTCCCAAGGCTTGCCCAATCTTCTACAAGATTTGGCGACCAAGAGCGTGAAGATAGAGACGTTGTCAGCACACTCAGCACTGCAATCCCATTCAAGAGCCGCACCCCTACCTTGTATTGGTGCTCCATGCGGTTGACAGCACTTTGGATGCTCTTTGGACCGCTGACAAGCCCAACAGCATGCCACGGCAGCGCAAGGATGGCGCGCAAACCTCCACAAGACTGGTCGTTGTGATATAAGTTGATGTAAGCCTAGACCTAGGACTTGCTTGGAAGCATCGAGCGAATGAAGGCTTGGTGTTTTGGACTGATCTTGACGTGGGCAGCAACATCCCGCATCAAAATATGTTGATGTAGAGGAATTGGCATTGGAGTGTCAGTGATCTTTGCATTGTAGATGGGATCTTGGACAAGCGGTCTGGTTGTCTTGCGACATTTTGCAATTGAGGGCAGTCCATGTGGTTGGGCTGACTATTGGCTGTGCAATTCCAGAGCACAATTTGGACCGACTAAAGATCTGCAATCGAACAATGGAAGTGTAGAAGTGAAGGCAAAGGAAAGAGATGGATTGGTGAGTGCAAGAATGAGTGCACGGATGCACGGGTGAACGGATGAGTGCATGGACTTATGGATAGGTAGCCTGGCAAAAGGTCTCAGCAAGAGTGTGAAGATCGTGATGTTATCAGCATGATCAGCATTGCTATTTCCCTCAGGGGCTGTAGCATTCCCTTGTATTGATGCTCAGTGCAGTCAACAGCAGTTTTGAGGCACTGTGGACTGCTACTAAGCCCAGCAGCAAGCAACAGCAGCACAAGCATGGTGGGCAAAGCTCCAAAAGCCTTTTTCTTGGCATCAGAGACAGTGTGCCTCTATGAGGAGGGTCTGCTGAAAGGAGTGGGGGTTTGCGTTGAGCTTGGAGTGGCCAACAGCATCTGGTCACAGGTCACTTGATCTTGAGTGATTGGCACTGGAGACCTGGCAACCTTGTTTCAGCCAAGCAGCATTGGTCATTGAAACCTGGACAATGCTGGTGCTTGCATTCTGATTGTCTCCAGACAATTGACAAGGTTGGCTCATTGGATGAAGATTGTAGGATAGCACAGATCTGACTTTCTGCTGATGGGCTATGTGATTGCGACTAGATCTGACTGACCTTCAAGCCTTGTACAGCTTGAACAGAAACTTCACATGGAATAGAGACAGCTGCCCTCCAAACAGCCACAAGGGCTCCAGACAGCAGCTGAACCAGCTTGCACCTGTTTCAGAAATTCTTTGAGAGGCAACTGCCTTGGGTGAGAACAGAGCTTTGTGGAGACAGGTGCAGCCAGCGACTGCTTCAAATTGGCACTGGGAGCAGATTGCCCAGGCCACAGCACGAACCATGCAGGTACCTAGCAGCAAAGTCAAAGTCATTTGTTCATCATTCTGGGTGGGGTCACCAAAATCTTTACCAAAGCAAAAAGAGGCCTTGCTCCATCAAGCTGACATGGTGCAGTCTTTGAGCTCTGCTTTGTGAACTCAGCTTCACAGAGCAGTGCTTCAAATGTGCTCAGTCTATGAAGTGATTACGCTAGCACACTCAGATATGGATGTATTGGTAGTGGTAAAGAGAGAGTGGGTGATCACTGAAGTGGTGTTTACATGGATGCATGCGACGAGAGGCGTGCATCAGGTCACGTGTCTCGACACAGTCATCTGGTCAGAGTCTAGATTTGGGAAGCCTTTGTGGCCTCACCCAGATCAATCAACGATATATTAGCAGGGCAGTTCAGGTCGCGCGTGATCCACGCGTCCAGCCCCTCGACGCGTCGTTACGATGCTTGATTTGTGACCCCTGCCTCAAATAACACAACACCCGCATGTTCTCATACAATCCCAGCTTGACAAGGCCACCATCCATGAGATGTCAAGCTGTCCGCTACTCATTGCCGACCAATTGGGCTTCCTGACGATCTGAGCATTCAAGCCTGTTGTGTTGCGCACCCGGCCTTCATCATATGTCATGTCGAGCACTCTGGGTTCCAACTCATCGAGCGCCGGCTGGGCTTAGCACCTCGATCCCGCCGAATCAGAGCTGCCTAGCCTTCGATCTTGGCTTAAAGCAGGCGTTGCTCCGAAAAGGCACCTCAACCGAGATCGGCAAATTGATGCGTTATGTCACCTGTCCAACTGTGCTGAAGATCAGCTCGGCTTGATTGCCAATTGTACGTCACCGGCGGACCATCTTTCGCAGGACGAGCTCGCCCAACCTAGTGCGAGGAGCAACGCTGCAGAGCGATCGCCAAGCGAGTCCCTCACAAAGTTCACATCATCGATGTGCTCCACAACGTTACCCGGCTAACTCAGTCAAAAGTCAATGTGCTTCTCGGGCGTACCGAAAAGTGCAATCTCGAAAAGATGTCATTTGCATCGTACGAAATGACGAGCGACCAACTTTCCACACCGGGCTCTTGCCCCGACAGGAAGAACCGACGGGGACGATGACTTGGTCTGCGCGGGGTCATGCTACACTCACCACTCGTTCAGGGCGACGCCAGCTTCTCGTGTTTTAAGCATCTGAACGGCGTCCGCATAAAGGTGATGCACGCGGACTCGATTTTTAGCGGATACTAGGTGAGAAAAGATCGGCTACGAGGCGCATTGAACAGGATCTCACAAACCCTCGCCTACCACCCGGAACACTTTTGTCATTGCTGGTAGTCGAAGGCAAAGCTCTGAGATGCTATGGAAAGCAGGGCTTCCTTTCTAAACGACCGCTGCAAAGATTTGTGGGCGATCGCTTGGTCGAAGCAGTAGCGGATCCCGATCACATCGTGGCGTTCATTGAAGCCGCGTGGAACACATTGTCGAGGCGACTCACAGTACAAGAACCAAATGCGGTACTGTCTCGGACCCCAAAGACATCTCATCGGGCAGCGGCTGGAGTGGCAAGCCAAGGAACGTGTCGCAAGAGCACGAGATAGCAGGGGATGCCTTGCGGTCAAGCTGCGGCACGCAAAAGCTCGCGTCAAGCCAAAATCAGTCCCTTCGACGGTGGTCAAAGAAGTTGGTCGTCGTGCAGTCACGCTTCACCAAAACCCGGAGCGAGCCCGGGGATGCGCAAACCTCGGCGGTGAAGACTCTCGTGGGCATTTACACCCTCACTTAAGAAAGCAGGTTGACACACGTCACCATAACGATGATGCACAAGAAGTAGATAGAATTGCTGCAGAGGCAGCGCAAAGCCAGGAGCTGCGATGGAAAAGGAAGAGCGAGGCAGTCAAGAGCCTGATGAGGACTCTGCGACTCTGCGCATTCTTGGCGAGCATGCAAATTTGATCGAGTCCGACGATTCCGGATCGCAGGTGGACCGTCAGTCCAAGGTGAGCCAATTTCACGAAGGCGACGACGGCTCTGAAGAGGAAACCGACGTTGAAGAAATCGCAGCCCCGCGTCGGAAACCAGAAGGGGGCCCAGGTGTGCGTCTCCTCCGCATTCTTGTCGATCGTAGACAGAAGGTAGGCAATGGGCGGCCACCTCTTCGTCAGAAAATTCAGGACTCGCTTGTCAGCCTGTGTGGCTTCGAAGTACATTGCCTCCTCTCCTCAACCAAATCTGCGATTCTTCGACACGCTGCGACTCTGGTCTAAAAGGACGGTCCTCATTCTTTCTGCAGCTTGCTTTCTTCTTAGACCTACTGTATTCTGAGCAAGCTTGCAGAATGCCATCGCCATCACGAGTCTTGGACGTGATGTACCATATGCTCACCATCTAAAGTCTGACGATGCGCAGCGCGACCCAGCTAACGTGTTTGGTTCCCGCGTAGAACCGAAATTGGTAGCTCGCCCGCCCGCAAACTTTCTCGACGACCATCAAGACGCTGCTGCGACGGAAATTTGCGGCGCTCCGCGGGTGACTAGATATTCAAAGTGGCATTGCACGCGCTTGTCAAGATACGAGGTGACCAGTGCCCTCAATGAAGCCTCTACTCGTCATCGCCCTCATCGTCCTCATCATCCGCCTCATCCTCGCTAACCTCGATTCCCTTTTCTCTCATCTTGTTCTTATCCCTGACCCTCTTCTGAGTGAGCTCGTCCAACAGGATCAAGAGATCTTCCAACTCCTTTTCCAATTCCTCCTTGCTCTTTTCTCCTTCGCCCTCTCCCTCTCCTTCCCCATCCTTCGCTGTGGTTGCGGCGGAAGTGTTGGCAGTAGAAGCAGCCTTGACAGCATCTTCCGCGTCCTTCTTGACCTTTCTAGTTTCAGCTTTGGCGCTCTCCGCATCCGCTCGTGCCTTCTCGACGAGGCTCAAAGCGTCCGAGAGCTTCTTATCAGATTCCTCCTTGCTCTTCTGCAAATCTATCAACCTCCCCTCTGCAGCCTTGGCTCGCTCCTCCGCAGCAGCTGCATCCGCTTTAGCCTTTTCTGCGGCCGCTTCTGCCTCCGCAGATGCTTGCGGCAGGGCGTCGTTCGACGAGACCTCTGCAGGGGCTGCGGCAGGCTTCGGGGCGTAGCGGGACTCGGCCAGCTCCCTTTCTCGCAAGTCCAAAGTTTCTTGTATTTTGGCCAGCTGGCTGGTCAGAGAGGCGCGCTGGAAGGAGTGGAGGACGCTGTGCAATCAGCTTCAACCTGACAGACCTCGACTTCGAAATGCAGACCCTCACCTCCTCTTCAGAGACACGAGTAAGCTCCTGTAATTTGCCCTCGAGGAGCTCCACTTCCCGCGCCTGGCGCGTTGCGGTGTCGCGCAGGTGCTCTGCTTGCCTCTGAGCATCGAGCAGCTCAGCAGTCGCAGCCGCTGCATCAGCAGAGCTAGAGGTGGGTTCGATGGTGATAGACTTCTGAATCAATACTGCGCGCGGTACCAGCGCGACGGCGCCACACGATTAGCACAGCAAGCGATGCGAACACATACACGTGATCAACTCACCAAAGTTGTTCTTGAGCCATTCGACAAACGGCCAGTCGAACCAGAGGCCATCTTCGCTGGTCTCAATTGGTCCTCCGCCTCTGCTGCTAATAGTTTCCAAGACGTCTGGCCCCACATCCTTGATGCGCACATCATCTCGTAACCTAGCCATTCTTGCTGCAAACTGATCCGGGCCTATGCGAGTGTTGAGGATGGGATGCATGGTGCCTCTGTCGATGGAGTTCTCTGCGCCTTCCGTACCAGGTACCGCACCCCACTCGTATGCTATGCCGAGGATCAACGTACACAGCCCCGCAATGAGAACGTCCACGCCGCCTCCGCTCTGAGCGGCGGGCTGGACCAGCGTCTGCAAGTTGGAGGACTCGGAAAGCAGATCCGACACCGACGGCTTTGAATCCCACAGCCAAACGGCCAGGAGGGAGAGGTAGCCGACAATGATTCGTGTCCAATCCGTGCTAGAAGGTTCCGCTCCAAGATCCGCAGCTGGAGCGCCGGCGCCGGCGGTAGCGTTCCTTTCTCTGCGCACAGCCTCTCCCATTTCTCTCTGTGCCATGGTCAGATTGCCGATGAGGACGTGAATCAGGCTCACTTCTTCATCCTCTTCCTCCTCTGCAGCCCCATTCGGTTTCGAGCCTTGCTTCCTATATACAGGCTTGCCATCAGGACCGAACCTGATTTCTCTGGCCATGCTCTTCGCCGTCTCGCTACCTCGCACGAGCGAACAGAACAGAAGTGCAGAAAAGAGATGTCGATAAGCGTCGAAACGATTGGCGCCCGGTTGGGGAGCAGGAAGCTGTGCCAATCCTTGCAAGAGCAGACTGCCCGCGCTCGTCCCCACGTCTTCTTCGTCGTTCGAGCCATCGGAAGGTGGGGGTGCCATGGTACTGATGATGCCCAATCGTGCATCGAGATTGTCCGCCACAAACGCGTCGAAGCAGCTGAGCGCTGCAGCGCGATAGCCCAGGCATGCGCTGGGTGCAGCCGTCCGAGCGACAGCCGGAGCTAAGCCAGACACTGCGGCGTCTATCAAGCAGAGAATGGCAGGTCGAGCGGGGAGACGGGTGAAGGTGAGCAGAGGAGCCTTAGGAGGTGGCGGTGCGGCGCCATCCGGACCTGCCGGTATTTCTTCTGGTTGCGCCTCGATGCCGAGCAAGGGGCAAATCAGCAGGGATGAGAGCAGATCTTGAGTCGAGCGAGAAGAATTTAACAGAGAAGAGAGCACGTTGAAAGCTTGCGCTTTGAGGCCAACCGGAGCTGTTGATGCGAGGGCAAGTTCGAGCAGTGCTCTTGTGAAGCCCGAGGCGAGTAGGGCATTCTACGGGAGGTGTGATGGTCATGAGTGTGTAGTCCACATCGTCACTACGTCAGACAGCTTAGCGCTCACCTGATTGGCCCGTCTACCGTCTCCCTGTCCCTCGACCAGCAATCTTGCAATACCGATGACCAGTCTCGCATTTCTCGCTTTCTGGCCTTCGGCGCCTTGGCCATTCGCCGAGACAGCCGCTGCAGCTGCTGCTTCCGGGAGCTGCTCCTCCGCTCCAAAATCGGCGTCTTCCCAAGACTGGAACGCAAAAGCCTCCAGCTGCCTTGCATGCTCTTGTTCGGCTTGTCTGGAGGGGAACGCGCCATTGGGAGGAGGAGGCGGATAATAAAGCAGGGGAGCGAGCAGAGGCACGGAAAGGGTCTCGCGAAAGTAGTTCTGCGCGAACGAATCGTGCGGTCAGTATTTGAGAATCTGCAATGATGATCGGAACATCATCGCCATAACGCACCTGATTGGACACGTTCCATCGAAGCAGCGATTCTAGACCTTCCAAGGCATCCTGCACGATCAAGCCTCCTTCGATCCTTCCTTCTTGCGCCACGACATCGATCAGCTTCTCGAATGCTCCTTCAAACGCGAACAACTTTTGAATATCCGCGTTGCTCTCTACCAGCCTAGGAATGAGTAGCAACGCTTCGTTTCGGACGATTTCGGCACTGCTGCCACTTCCTTCAGCCAGACAAGCCAGCACCGCGCCGCAGCCTCCTGGAGAAGTGAGGAGGTGTTCTTGCACGCTAGCCGTGCGCAGTCTAGTCAGAGTAGCGAGAAGCTGCAAAGATGCAAATCGAGTGTAGAAGCTCCGAGCCGGTGACAGCAACGGCAAGATGGAGTGGAGAGGCCCTGGTCTGGCTAATATCGCATCCACGTGAGGGAGCACGTGAGGAGGGAGTGATGCGGGCTTGTTGGGCTGACTGGCGGGCGATTCTAGCAGCGCCAGAAGACACTCGACGATTGCACGAGCCATCTCATCCTCCACGCCCCTCTCTGCTTTCGTGTCCCGCTGCAGCGACTCAAGCAAAGCGGGCAAGGCCTTGTCGCCGACTTCACGAGGATGATCACGGGCCAAACCCTTGAGAGCCAAGACACTGAATTGGATTTGAGGAGTCATCAGCCAGACGACTCAGGGGCTTGCAATGCTGCCTAGCTCGAGCCGAGACACTCACGCTGCTTTTCGGTCTTGAATGGGGGCGAGCTCAGTGGAGGGCGTATCGGTCAGCCTGGAGGCCAAGGTGATGAGCGTCGTCTCCAACGTCTGCTGCTTGCCAGGTCCAGCCAACGAGGCGTACTTCTTGCCCAGCCATTCTGCACCGTGCAACATCTTGGCGTGATGCGCTTTGGCACTCGGTACTATCCAAGGAGCTTTGGTGTTGGTATGCTGGCTTGAGCGGCCGACGAATGGCCGGATCGCGGTCCGCTCCGCTCTTCTCGACGAGGTGAGTGAGGATCGGAGCAAAAGACGACAAAATCAAAGCGGGCCAGATTACTTCCTCAGCGCGCGTCAATGAGTCTTTGTTGCTGCGCGCGAATAGATGGACAAATTTCAATGGCGGCCAGGAGACGGAGCGGGGTGTGCTCGGCTGTTGGAAGATTCGCGTGAAGCTAGCTGAGGCAAAAGGCTTGGTCGTGAAGGGGCGCGCAGGCGCAGCTTTGTGCTGGCGATTTCGTGATTCATGTGATGCCACGCATGCAGGCACGACAGCGGGGGTGCTCGGACCACTTCGAAGCTAATCACGTGATGCGCTCGGGCCGCCGATACTCCGATCGAATTTTTTGAATTTTCACGCAGATTCTGGGAGCGGCGGTAGGCGGCGCTTTCGCCATCTCGCCAAGAAAATTGAAATGTATGGGAGCTTCTGTTATCAGAATGCTGGGTGAGGTGGAGGTGAGGGTTCAAGGACACGAGTTGTAATGGTTTCCGCCGGACCGCCTTTTGCCCCTTGGGGCATCCCTCTCGCCCTTACCACCATCAACACTACGCAACGAGCTGCAAGCTGTACAACAAAGCTCGATCGCCGCACGAAGGAGCGAAGGCAGAGCGACACCATAGGCAAACCCTTTACTTTCCGGTCGAAAAGCCTTTCTGTGCGTCTCGGCCGTCATAATGTCAGGAGAAGAGGCAAGTCGAGTCGGAGAGCGTAATGTGGACGGATCGTCTTCCTGCTCGCCGCCTGATGTCAGACCCAGATGGTTCTACTCTTCTGAAAAGTCTTGGATCGACTTTGATGAGAGAGATCAGCAAGCCTTGGAGGCACGCTTCCAACAGCTGGGTGGAGCAGAGTGGCACAGCGAGATCAAGGCGCAGCATACAGACAACGATGAGAGCGAGTCGGATCACACGGGCACCAGCGATGATGATGACGATGAGGCCGAAGGCTCGAGCTCAGACACACGCAAGGGAGAGCAAGATTCGACCTCAAAGCCTGACAGTGACGAGCAAAACGGACTAGGCTCGATGCTCACAGGCCTGATCTCTGGCAACGCCTCCGATCACAAGAGCACAGATGCATCTCGTAAGCTGGCGGACCAAGCCAAGAGCATCCCTCCGATTCGTACAGTCTCTCACAACCTCAAAAAAGCCCAGAAAAGATCCAAATCTAAGGAGCCGGAAGTGGTGAGAGCTGTGCTGGATCCTGATGAGCCAGAAGAGGAGAGCAGGACCAGAGTGGCGGTGCTGGAGGACAAGCTGTTCGATGTGAACCTGGAAAGTATGGATGTGAGTAAGCGGCGCGCGGCAAGATAACTGAAAATTTGGTGCAGGTCGGGGGCGCTGACAGGTGCATTGCTCATGACTGCATCGCAGCTCTATCCAGGTGAGGCAGCGATCGATCGATGAGATGAACAACATCCATAAATTTGAGCGATGTATGAATGCGTGCTGACGTCTCTCACCGGCTCGCTCGTTCTTCGTTGATGTCGCAGTCTTCTGGAAGGGAGTAAAGCTGCGCGTGGTGCGGGCAACCTGGTTCTACTCTGCAGCTTCAGACGGAGGCTACGCGCCAATAGCCTACGACGAAGCCCTAGCTCGGGACTTGGACAACGCCTACACGGCCGTCAAGCCATGGCAAAAGTTGGCGGGCCAAGAGATCGACGTTGATAACGGTGTGACTCAAGACAGCTCTCAGAAACAGCAGGGCGATGAAGTCGACGACGACGAGCTTTACGAACTTCCCTCACTAAAAGCTCAAGGGAGGGTACACTTCGAAAGCCCTGTGGGAGGTCGCATCTTCACGTGAGTATCTCCAAGTGACGCGACGTATCGTCACGAGCTCATGTCCATCATCATTTGGCCTCAGCGAGGACCTTTCGGGAAGATTGCTGTCGATGGTCGGCGGATCTCACGTAATCAGGGGTTTCGATGAGGCAGAGAGATTAGCGAAGGCAGGTGGGGCGTTGAACCAGCTTCCCGCCTTCACTTTGCCTTTCGCCAAAGGCTCTGATCCTGATGATGAAGAGCAGGATGCAGCGGGAGATGAAGACGAGGGCGTAGATGGCGGGGCGGAAAGGCGAGGCGCTCGGCACGCTAGCAAGCGTGCGGGAGCTGCTTCTAGGCCTGGCAAGCCCTCCGCTCAGGAGCCTGAATCTACAAACGCAGGCAACGAAGAGTCGGGAGGATTCATGTCGAAATTGGTACCTTCGAGCGGATGGCTGAGACCCGACGTTGCGCTCTTGAGGACCCTGGGGTATGGAAAGGAAGATGCGGAAAGGGAAGCCAAAAGAGACCAGAGACAAAAGAACACGGAAGACTCTGCAAAGACGGGAACGAAGAGAAAAGGCGAGGAGGAAAAAGGGGAGTCTGAGGAGGACGAGACAGAGGAGGATAGGAAAGACGAACCCCCATCGTTGGTCCTGTGCATACATGGGTGAGCAGTGGTCCACAACACGAAGGATGTGATAAAACTGGACACTGACTTCGCTGATCTCCACCTGCTCGATGACAGTATCGGCCAGGGTCTAGTGGAGGATTTTGATGCCCTCGACTTTGTCTACGATGTTGGTGAGCGTCATTGATTCTGTCAGAACCCAGAAACCGGGTTGATGCTAATTTACGACGCTCATACTTGGCAATTCAAGAACGTCTGCGCAAACAGGCGAAGTCGAGCGCGAGCGACCCTGCTCTCAAGAGATTGTCGAGAGGCAGAAGAGCGCAGTTTATACCCATTTCTTGGAGACAAGGCTTGACATTCCAATCGAGTAATGAACAGAATGATAATGAATATGGGTGAGTAGATCTAGCGCGGAAGCTCGAGCAGGTGAACTTTCTTGCTCACAAAGCTACTTTGCTTGGACCAGGCTGTCTGATATCAGCAACAGCGCCGCGATACCGTTGGTGCGGAACGTCATCAGCAAAGTGGGTAGCCAGCTCTCCACAGAGACTTGCGCGTGCTGAATCTGCCTGACCATTTTGTCGCGGACACAGGTCATTCTGGATGTGCCATACTATCTCAGTCACCACAGACAAAAGATGGTATGTCTTCAAGGTCGCGTGACGGGCGAAATGCGCAGCTACTGAATGCGTGCTCGTTCTCAGATTGCTGCCGTAAAGAGCGAGCTCAATAGAACGTACCGACTGTGGTGCAAAAGAAATCCCGACTTTCTTGAGAAGGGTGGACGAGTCTCGATGATATGTCACTCCTTGGGTAGCGCCCTAGCAATGGACATGTGAGTTGTCAACAGGCTTGATCGGATCCTTGGCAATTCTAACTCGTCCACCGGTCCAACTCGAATATACAGTCTTTCGCAGCAGCCCACAACAGTCGCGCCGTTACATCAGAGAAGTGAAGAAGAATTGCGCTCCAATGAACACTTAGTGTTCGACGTCGCGGTGAGTCCAGTCGCTCCGCGGCGTGGTTATGCCCTCTTTCAGAGGACTCCGTTCTGACGCACATTCCTTGCAGAACCTGTTCCTCATCGGTAGCCCGTGCGGATTCTTCTTGCATCTGGGAGCTGGCCAGCTCATTGCTAGGCGCGGCACCAAGCGCACGAGAGATGTCGCTGGAGATGCTGCACTCGAAGAAGCAGGACGTTACGGCTGTCTGGCTGCTGAGGCAGTGTAGTGCGTGATGTTTGCTAATCATTTCGCAAGAACCGGATGCAGATGTGGCTGACAAGGGCGACTCCTGCTTTTCGAGCAGCAACTGCTACAACACGACGGATCCGTGAGTAAATTTGGAACAGCTATCTGCTAAATTAGCTCACGCTCAAAAATTTTTTTGGTCTTGTGCAGTGTCGCCTACCAGCTCAACGCCACTGTCGATCGTGAATATGCGTCTTTGATGCGGCCCGTTTCGATTCCGGACGCAACGGATGCTTTGCTAGACTCTCTGTCCCTGCCCCGTCTATCGGTGTCTAAGCTCTTCGATCCAGATCGGCCTTTCTCTAGTGGGGAGGATGCCTATGCCAAAGCAAATGTGCAGCCGACCACGTCGGCCTGGGAGGAGAACCAAAAGAGAAGGGGCAAAGGCGGTGCGAGCAAGAAGGGCAAGAGCGAAGAATCCAAGCTGGCCAACGGCGCGGTTATCGTGGAGCAGGGCGAGACGCTGAAGAAGATGCAGCCTCAGATGCAGGCTCGTCAAGCAGGTCGCAGTGCTTATCCTATTGATGTCAAAAGACTAGAGAAAGCTGAGCGGCGAGTGAGTTTGCTTGTGCCAGCGTCCTGCTCTAAGAGCAGACGCGCTCACGCCACGACTTTTGCGCCAAGCAGTTCCGTGCACTCAACCCCCATGGCGCGATCGACTTCTTTTTCGAAACCAAAGGATTCAACGAGGTGGGTGACGTCGCGATGTGGTGTGTGTGGGCCGGCCCGTGCTGACCATCCGTACCGCGCTCTTCCACGTACAAACAGTATTTGGGTGCGTTACGATGCTACTTGCCAATGTCCAGGCTGGTCACTGAATCACGCTTTGCTATCCTTCCTTTGGCACGACTGTAGACATGCTCTCGGCTCATGTCAGGTGCGTGCATCTCTTTCTCTTTTGAAGCATGTTCACGCAGCTAATCTAACGGTCGTGTGTCGGACCAGCTATTGGACCTCTCCATCCTTCTCACGCTTCGTGCTGTCGCAGCTTTGGACGGACTATGCTGGACCAGAGAGCGAGCGACAAGACGCTTCGGGGCAAGAGCCGCCGCCTACGATTGTTCCTCAGCTCGATGTAGATGTGCCAAAGGAGAGGGAAGAGGAGCAATCCAAACAGGAGAAGCAACAAACTTAGGAGCATGAGCTCCGCCGCATACGACCTACCCTTGGGGAGCTGTCAAGCGGTCGCAAAGAAGACTGTTCGTTGCTTTGCAAGGTTTGCGCTCAACCAACATCGCGTAGATGCTTATTTCATAGAGTCGACCCGCCGCCACAGCGCTGCTTGACGAAGACGCCGCCACGTGCACTGACTAGTCCACGGCAAGCAGAGCGGCTCATCTCGCTTTCAGGCGATGCGTTGGCGTCCACATTTGCCTTTCTTGCGAACGCTGGGTGGCTTGCGATTTGTCCCCCCGAAGAGACATGATCGCAGCCGCTAGTTGACACACCGCAGTCCGCGCCGCACTTCATCAGCGAGTAGACGCAAGACCAGCGAATGCTGGGATCGCGCAAGCTCGATGTTCGAAGAGCCAAGACAAGCGCGGAGTCCCAGCTTTTGCGTCTAAGCATCGATTTGTCCAGCCCAGATGCTCTTTCTTGTCCCTCACAGGCTGCTCTTCAAACTGCAAAAATGCTGATAAAGTATTGTTAGATCAATTTGAGTCCTGTTGAATCTTTGAGCCTCCTGAGCCTGGCATTAAAGATTCTGCGTGAAGCTCACGTGATTGACATTCGCACAAGCATCTTTCCGCGGAAGGGATTCACTTTTGACTCGCCATGAAGCTCTCCGCGCCGCGCGACCTGCTGCTGATGGAACGCTCGATCCAGAGGTGCATGGAATGCGGCGAACCTGCTGGAGGGGAGGCATGTAGCCAAGAGTTGATCAGCGATGGAAGCGGGTCGGCCGAAGCTCACAGAGAACTTCGTTCCGTTCGCTGGACCTCGCGCATGCACACATGCCGTTGCCAAGAAGCGGGCACAGCAAGCACAAGTGCACCTCATGCACGCGGCGCAGGGGTCGCGCCACAATTTATTGAACGCAAAAATGGTGCGATGCATGCACGAGGTCACAAGACCTTGACCCCGGTTCTTGCTTCGTATCGTGCAGTGCTCGGGCGCCTAATCGGCCCCTGTGATCCGCCGACCCACTGTTCAGCGGTGATGGACCAAGCATGCATGCATATATGCAACAGGCAAGAGGGTAGCTGCATGTGGGTACAGTACCTACACCCTTCCAGCACCCAACGGAGCTGCAGGCCCGCATTAATTCTCTAGCGGATGAGCTCGACCGATTAAATTCACGATCGTGCAGCAAGAGTCTGTTTGACGATTACAGTCAAGAGTATTGCGCGACGGGGTCCTATATATCACACCGGATTCGCGATGAGAGAATCATATTTGCCTCACAGCTAGGCCAACGAGCGGTCGAACATGAGCGTTGTTTTCATCAGCCCTGAACTCGCGCTGCAGTGACCACGAGTCGTGAGTTCTTGCCTTGGCTGGTGCGCATGAGCGCGTGTCGTCGTTGATGATGCCAAGGCATGTAAAAAGTCCCACATGCGTGATTCAACAGGTGGCTGCCTTTCTCCTGCTACAATTGAGCGCTGATGCTCGCACAACTACGCCTGCTGAGCGGAGACAGGCATAGATGAAAACGACAGGGCTTTTGCCGCGAATTATATTGCGATGAGCGCAGCAGTCACAGTTAGATCCATGCGAGTCACAATTAAGTGTGAGACGTAGGCTGAGGCTATACGTAGGTTGCTGCTGCTGGACGTTGAAGCGACAGAGCGTTTGCTTGCATCGCCGCGGCGATAGCATGCAAGGAAGCAGTACACAGAGCCGTTGCGGTATAACGAACGCCATGAAGCTGATTTGAAACGTAGCCCATACTCCACCCATGCAACCTGGGCTTGCTTATGTTGGACCCGCCTCGCTCCCTCGTCGTCGCGATCGAGTCGCGTACGAATGCGCGCATCCACGTCGGGGACAATTAAACGCTGGACTGAACGAGGAGCAATCGGACTCTGAAACTGATCGAGCGTCCGGGCGTCGTTGCAGCTCGGCATGCGCACAGCCTGCGGCAGGCACCAACACCTTCGATCGCTGCTGCTGCTTTTTGCTGTGCCTTTTAGCCCCTTCTTGGCTTTGCCAGAGGGGCGGGAACGCGCTAGGGGTGGACCACATCACACGACCAGGCCCACCTTGCTTGCTTGGAATTTTCATCAGCCGCTGTACATCGATTAAGCTTGAAGATGTTGCACCGCCCCGTCCCTGCAGCGGCCGGACTCCACCACAAGTATACAGCAGACTGAGCCATTGGGCTAGGTAGCTGTGCTCCTGCATGGATTCGAGATTGACTTTTGACCGCGATGCTGAAGAGCAAATAAGTGACAGCGGCTGAGCAGCCCTAGACTGTATAGCTGATGGAGCACACGACCCGCATTCCTCACATCACCGACGGAACCAAAATGCCGAGAGATCATGCGGGTGCAGGAGCAAGACTCACACTCGTACCGCTCATGGCGAAGAGATCAGCAAGCGCTTCACAGCAGAGCTTGGCGACTCTTCTGGTGGATGCAGCGAATCAAGACTGATGGTCGAGTTGAGGCTTCAGAACTTAAGGCGCAAAGGCATGCAAAGACGATGATGATACGAAGTTAGATATGTGGGACTTGCATGCACGATGGGCGCCGTTCTAGATGAGTCACCGATGCAGATGAAGAGATCGTTGCCTGACTGCAAATTTGCCTGCGGCTCGAGCGGGTTGGCGACTCTGTACAATGCGGTGTTGGATCAGTCAGTCAAGGTACGATCAAGCCGCATGCAAGTACTGGCGTTAGTTGTTGACGACGTCCGAGCTCGCAAGTATAGAGCGTACTATCGACGCCTCTTCAGGACCTTTCGATCGCGCCTTTAGGCGCGAATGTCAATGGGGATGTCGGCTTTTTTGCGTTTTCCATCTTCACTCCGACCACACCTCTTACCTACAGATCTTGCATCAACCACATTCTGTTTTGGTCGTCGCACTGCGGCGTGATACCATTCAAGTGTAAGGCTTTCATCTATGACTAGCCGGCACTGCGCTGCGCTTCTCCTCTAGCACACCTGCATGCGGGCATCATGTCGCCAATACTCCTCTACCTCGTCGGCTTGGCTCTCATTTTCCTGTTCGTGCCCATGGCCATGGGCAAGTTGAAGCCTCGGACTGTGTTGCACCTCGTGCAGCACTGTCATGCGGTGCTCCTGAATGGCAAGAGCCACTTGCGATGGTTTGGCGGGCTTTTGTTCGGCATACTGCCTCCCGTGGTCTGGACACTCAGCTTCAAGATGGCGAGAAAGCTGCCAAACGAATGGAGACCTCAGGTGAGCTCCTTGCGATTGTTCCCGTGGTTCTACGACGAGAAGGACTGCTTGCTGAGTCGTGCCAGTGCGTTCACATCCTCATTCAGATTCGTACTTTGTTGCTCCCACGATTGGAAGCACTGCTGCTCTCACCGGGGGGCATCGCAGTATCCACGCTTGCCCTACTGCCTCCGGTGCTGTATCTCCGGCGAAAAGTCCAAGACCCCCGTCCAATCTACTTGCTGCTTTTATACCCGGCTTGGATCAAGGCCTTGAACGCTGTTGCGCTCGGAACGACTTGGGTGCGTGTCTTCCAGAGGCTACTCCACTTCCGTGCTCTGCTGCTATACTCATGATGGACCGGCTTCATTTCGCAGACTGACTTTCAGGATGTTCTCGCATGGGTGTTTTACGGTGTTCTCCACTTTGCTTCACCCTTCTTGATGGGATGGTGGGCGTGGGGATTCGCGCCGACAGGCGCGGCCCAAGCATTTGGGTGGGCATTGGGCCTGCAAAACTTAAGCGGAGTAAGTCTAGCCATCGATACGGCGCAGGCCAGGAGGCGATGGGGCTACGTGTGTTGAACCACTCCCTTCCACTTCTGCGCGCAGCTCTGTATCCACCTGGCTTTCCCAAACGCCGCTCCATGGTACAAGGATACATACGATGCGACCGTCGTGCCAGACTATTTCTTCCCTGGGTCCGCAGCAGGGCTGGTCCGAGTAGATGCGGTGCTGGGGACACACCTCTACACCAAAGCCTTCAGGAAGAGCCCAGTCGTTTTTGGAGCGTGTGAGTGCTGGCTGGTCGTCGGCTCTGGCCGCACAGAGGAGCGTCCAGCGGGTGCTGATGTGTTCGTGAACACTGTTATGGCCGATTGCAGTACCCAGTCTCCACGCTGCGACAGCCATGTGCATCGCTTGCTTCGTGGTAAGGTACGGCGGGAAAGCTGGCGCAGCTTTCGCGCTCATGTACACCTCGTTGATGTTCTGGAGTACGCAATACCTGCATCATCACTATGCCGTAGATTTGGTGGCTGGCTCGTGAGTAGCTGCTTTCTCTTGTTGATGCGTATCATTGGCTCGGCTTCTGATCCGTATCTTTCCTTACAATCTTCGCAGCGCCATATCGCTGGCCTACTTCTGGCTGATCTCTCGGATAGCTTTGAGGCGCATCGACGACTCTTTCGTGCGCGACGCAACAACGCGCGGTATCGATCGGTTGCTCTGCCGGCCTGCACCACATGCTAATGACGACGACAGATTGGCAAGGGAGGACTTGGAGGCCGCGAGGCCGAGCGCTCGGTGGTCCGTCTCACCTGGCCAAGCGCCGGCACGTCAGGTCACGCGAGGGAGGTTCTTTGGACAGAACTCCCTGGATCCTGTGCCCGAGAAGGAAGAAGGCTCTCAAGAGAAGTTAGAGCTTGTCGAGCGCAGCAGCGGTAGCTCGCACACCGACAGCGGCTCGGATGACAGCCGGCGCAACAGCTCGGAGCATCTCTCGATAGCGTACAAGCAAAGATAGATGGACGAAGAATGGCAGGCTTGAAGGCTGTGAATGCTGTTGTGGGATTGAGGGGTCTCTGGTCCCGCAAGAGCTCTTGAGCAAGTCTGAAGAAAAAGCGCGCCGCGAATGAGACTTCTTAAGAGGTCGCGCGACAGCGAGGGTCGCCGAGGAGATCTAGTCAAGTCTTGATATGCACTCCTGCTTCACATCCACTTTTGACGCTGAGCAGCACACAATATACCCCTTGCCCACAAGTGACCTGTGTGTGCTGCGCACTGTGCTAAATCTGGTACATCGGAGGACCGGCGGTACATGCCGCGGCCGGCGGAGCTGAGATTGGATTTTGCGAACATGATATATGGGACAGGCAGCATGTATGCTACGGTCACGATTCCTGTTTGTCCGTTCGGGACTCGTTTCAGCCCAACGGAATGCGCAGATGAGGCCCCGATCAAAATAGCGTGCAAATCCAACAGTAAAAACACGCATGGCTTGGGAGACGTTGAGAGGCTCGAACCGGTAGGTCTAACTGCATGTACCGTACCGTACGCTGCTGTGCTTCGGACGCGGTGTGTTCCTGCTCGAGGTTGTGGGCGCGCGAAAAGCCTGCTGCGCATCTTGTGTCACAGATCGAGGTGATCACCCTCTCGCGCTTCACGGTCGATGCCATCGCCTCTTGGACTGTCTTCTTTTGGGCGGGCACCTCGATCGCAGTCGCGAGTGTAGAGACTCACATCTCATCTCCTCTCGACTCAAGACTTCAGACGACGCATTCACTCAAGCTTGGCTCCAACCCTTCGTGACCGATCTCACGTGCGAGCTCATGCCAGCGGCGATCAAAAGGCCAACGACCAATGCGCTGCACGGGCGAGGCCCGTATGTTCCTAAACGTTGCGCGTAACTCGTTGTGCACTGCGACTGTGCCATTTAGTACTTGCGCGTCCTCTTGGCTTGCGCGAATCGTCTTGCTTTGGGCATTCATTCACGTTAGCGTGGCGAGGAACGTGTTCCACAGAGGCAAAGCGTGCATGATGCCGCGCGCGCGCGCGCGTATGTTGTATGCTGTGCGCGTAGATTCGCACCTGAAACGAGCCTGCGGTATTTTGCGGCAAGGCTTCAACAATTCAAAGCTAAATAATGCCGAGGTCACAACACACAGGAGCTATAGCAGCAGCTAGCACAGCCAAGCAGAAGCCGCACGCATGCGTCCCCGTCAGGGCAGGAGGGGGCTCTTGTTGCTCCTGCTGCGTGCTGCCTGATGCCTCTTGCCCGTGATCTTTGCCGCCGCTGCTCTTGTCCTTTGCCGGCGGGGCGAGGATGCTGTGTTGCATGAAGACGGTTGGCTGTGCTCAGACGCCGGCTAAGAACAGACTTCGACGCCAAAACAGCTCATCTTGATCTGTTCAATCTCCCTCGCCTTCATCGGTCACATCCGTGATTCACAGATACGAGTCTCGACTCTCGACTCTCGACTCTCTACAGGCTTCTCGGATCAATCGTCTCTAGCATTCGTTTCATTTGCTCGATCAGCCTCTCATTAAAATTGCATCGCACACATCACCTTGCAGTATCGGTCGCCCATCAACCAGCAACCCTTATACTCATATCGACTCGCGGCGGTCGTAAGGCAACAGGCAGTCACCTTTCTCAGATATCCTAGCTTCCCAGTCCACCTTTAGGCCAATCAACACTGCTTTCTGTACTTCATCATGGCCAGTCCAAAGCAGCCAGAAAGCATCCTACGAAGGGACAGCACTTCAGAAGTTGGTTCCACTCGAGCTGGGTTGATCCAGAGACCTTCCAAGAAGACAACGCTGGCCTTGGAATCGCAAGAGGGTAGCAGTACCAGCAGCAACGAAGCATCTGGCGAGAAGGGCGCTGGAGGCGATTCGAGCCTGGATAGGCTAGGTTCGGGTAGTACTGGTGCAGTCGGCGACGCATCGGGCATCGGGGGCAACTCGACTGGAGCAGCGAGACGATCCAGCACTGCGGCCAATTCCTCCAGGAGAAATTTGACAAAGGGAGAGAGCGAGTCTAGATTGGGCTTGGGTGGCAATGGACCCCCTAGAAGGATGACGATGACGAGCGAGAGGCAGCTGTTGGGAAACACGTTGACCAGCTTGTTGACTCCTGAAAGGCCTCTCGCTGCTGCTCCAACGCACTACCGAAGCTTCATCAACATCATCAAGTACAACCCGCTCAACATCTTGTTGCTCTGCATTCCGGTCTCTTGGGCTCTTCATTTTGCTCTCGATCAAAGTCAGAAGATTCCTCAGCTGGTCACCTTCATCATGTCCTTTTTGGCCATTATGCCCCTCGCCGCTCTTCTTTCATACGGTACAGAGGAGGTAGCGCTGCGTGTAGGCGAGACACTCGGAGGCTTGCTCAATGCTACGCTCGGAAACGCCGTCGAGCTCATCGTGGCCATTCTCGCATTGATCCAATGCCAACTGGTCATCACTCAGACTTCGCTCATTGGCAGCATCTTGTCCAACTTGCTGTTGGTGCTCGGCATGTGCTTTTTTGTGGGAGGTATCCGCTTCAAGGAGCAGGAATTCCAACAGACAGCAGCTCAACTCAATTCTTCCATCTTGGCAATGGCGGTTATCGCTGTGCTCATTCCAGCCGGCTTCCACGCCACACTCGACCTCGCTATCAGCGACGACTTGGAAAGGTCGGAGCTTTTGAAGGTGTCGAGAGGCGTCTCTATTATTCTGCTCTTCATCTATGCTGGCTACCTCTACTTTCAGTTGAGATCCCACACGCATCTCTACGCGTCTGAGGCGGACGAGGAGGAAGAAGTGACACTTTCTCTCCCCATGGCTGCGGGCCTATTGGTAGTCTCCACTGTGCTCGTCGGCGTCAGTGCGTATCTCGTCTTCTCGAAACTGACGAGTCATTGTTCCCTCGTACTGACATGTCCACTGGTCTTGATGACCACAGCATCCGAATGGCTCGTGGACGCTATTGACGGCTTCAGCGACAACTTTGGGGTCCCCAAGACCTGGATCGGATTGGTTCTTTTGCCAATCGTATCCAACGCCGCAGAGCATGCCACTGCAGTCACCGCATCGTACAAGAACAAGATAGATTTGGCCATGGGTGTCGCGGTCGGCTCAAGCATCCAGATTGCGATGTTCGTCATTCCCTTGCTCGTCGTCATCGCTTGGGGCCTGGACAAGCCGCTCAGCTTGCTCTTTGATCGTGCGTGCTTCCCGACGTGTCGACGCACTTGTATCACACTGATAGCATTTATTTTCCTTTGCAGCATTTGTCGCGATCCTGCTCTTCTTGGCTGTTCTCATCACAAACTACGGTGAGTCTCGCTATGCCACTCGCTCATTCTGTTCACCTTGCGGCTCGAGTTGACCTGGATTGGACACCATCGCAGCTATTGCGGATGGACGCTCGAACTACATGGAGGGTTGGCTGCTGATGAACACATTCATCATCATAGCCTTGGTTGCGTGAGTATTACGCTTCGAGTCCCACGCCCCTCCATTTTCATCTCTTTGCTCATTCTCATGAACATACCCTTCCTTCCCCCACCCCCTCAGCTGGTTCATTCCGGACGGAGGTTCCCTCTTCTCAGACAAATACTGCAGGACCGGAGTGCCCTGATCCCGCTCAGTGTCGCGATCATCGTCGTCGGCAACGGGTCACAACCACGATTTGTACATACTGTGACGCTAGCTGTGTGAGCTCAGCAGCTCGGCCTGTCATCATACCTCCATTTTGTCGCATTGCGAACAATAACGTCGGCTTGGTGCTTGAGAGGCGGGCGCTGTTCTCGATTGACCACCATCGACTTCTTTGGTCAACTGCGATGCTCGAGAGTGTGGGTTCCCTTGCTCGCCAGTCAATGGCTTTGGGAAGGTCGGTCGTACGAATTGTTCTCGATGTATAGTCAAGACTTTCTGGCGAAGTGGAAAAGCCGCGTGCAGAACTTTGTTGCTCGAGGACTTCAAAGCTGTCAGCCGAGCGTGAACGTGCATCACGTGAATGTGCTGCTGGCCTTCATAAAAAAAACATTTTGCGGTGAGTTCATAAGTTTGGACCCATACGAGATCATCTGTCCTATACGGACGTCCCCTGTTTTCATCAAGCTCCAAAACGGGTTCAGACGGCCGTCGAATGCGTAGGTTAGTGCACCGTAGCGCGTGCGGAAAGGAGCTGTTGGCAATCTTGAATCGTCACCCTCAGCATCAGCATCAGCATGAGCACGGCGTGGAATTGGCCCCCAACGCGGCCGCGGCCACACATCGCGAGAGGGCATATGCTGTATATGATATGATGCACACATGCCGTACGTCATCGATGCATAAGCACGCATGAACGGCACATCATATGCATCAGCGACGAGCATGCCACGCAAATACGGACCGGGCCAAATATGCCCTCGTGACCGCGCGGCTGCGCGCGGTACTGACTTGCTTGAGGCATATCGTCATCATCATCCATCATCATCAAATACGCGTATGCAGCAGCCAAGCGTGATTTCCCCGCGCACTAGCGCACAACGGCGTCATCGTTTCGGTCAGCAGCACGGCCGGCCTGCGCTGCATGATGCTTCTTATGATGGAGATGATGTCGCCGCTCTCCTCCACAGCAGCAGCAGCAGCAGCAACCAGCAAGCAGGTCGGCAAACAAGGCTGGATGGCTAGCTGCGACTTTTGACGTTGTCGTCATCGCCCATTCATCAGGATCTCATCAGCGCCGGCCGCGCGGTGCAGAACAGAGGCTCTTCAGCTAGGCTCTGCAAGCTCTGATATGCCTCTCGAAGAGCGACGGCGGAGCCGCAGGTATGAACTGATCATGCTAGCTCCTCCGAGATCGTGGCGTCAAGGGTGAGTTTTGAGTGCAGCAGCTGCTCCAAGCCGGAGCCGCGCGGCAGTTTGAGGCAGCTTGCCAGACAAGCATTCAAAATTCAAAATTGTGATTCGTGATTACAGCTATACAGGGGCTTTGCTAGCCGAGACGCCGATCGAGAGAGGGCGGCATTCTAGCTGATCCTCTTGGGCGAAGGGTCGATTCCTGAGCCAGGATCACGTACGAGCCAAGACGCCTCCCAAGAGTCACGAGTGACCTTGAAATCTTGGAAAGAGAGGGGAGTTTCAAGGTCTGATGAGCGAGGCACCATGCATGCAGCACGCGGTCACATCGAGCAGTCACAGTGAGGGTGCACACCTGACGCGACTTTTGCACCTTGCGAAAGAATCTCTATAGCGCTGCGTCACGGCTAGGAGGACCAAATGATGTAAGCATGGACGAGACGCAATGCAGACCGAATCGCTTTTCCGATGCTTAGTCTGATGAGCACTCGACTGCAGCTGACGAATGGTTGGTGTGGCAGCATGTCATGCTGCACACGAGTCGTGAGTACAAGGTGGGTGACACGACACGACACGCTTCACGAGTGGGTGCTTGCAATGCTTCATCGTGTGGAGCTATTTGCGGAGTGTGAGTGTGAGTGTGAGTGTGAGTGTGAGTGTGAGTGTGAGTGTGAGTGTGAGTGTGAGTGCAGCAGAGCAGAGAGGATGGGAGCAGGAGCAAGGCTAGTCACGAGTCTGACTGCTGCATGCCCGCCGTGCCCACGTACGCCCCTCTCGCCAAGTGTTGCTGCTTGCTGCCTGCCTGCCCATCTCCGCGATGTTCTTGGAGATTTGGAGTTTGCTTCACTTGACCCGCTTTCGGGGTGTTAATTGAGAGGTGCAGCCAGGCGAGATCTCTTCAGCTATATGGCTTCATCATTGCGCTTGGTGGCATGTGTACTCGTGACTATCCATCCGCCTTCGCACGCAAAAGTCGCACACCAGCAGCTCCACTTGCGTCTGCAATCACAATCCCATGTAGCCCCGAATTCGTGAATGACATCGGAGCTAGGCCACACCGACATCGACACCGACACCGACACCGACACGATTGCAGAAGAGTTGCGCATGTGCGTAGTACTAGTAATAAGATCTGCCTGCCTGCCTGCCTGCCTGCCTGCCTGCCTGCTCCTCTTGCAGTCTCGCGACATTATCGGGTGACGCCAGCCTAGCTGTGACTACCCAATGCACGATTGCTCTGTGAGGCGGAGCGATATCAGCCTTCGTCACTCCTCTTTCTCCCCCACCTCACTCTAGAATCTGCACGTTTGGCACTATTCATCAGGTCAATCTCGATTTCAGTTGAGCTCCAAGCCGTCTGTCGTCCTTGTCTTCAAGCCCACCAGCCCGACCTCCGCAGCCGCTCGGCGCTCGTCACATCGATCTCCAAACACACCGCCGCAGCGATTGGCGGATCCAACAAATCGCTCTCTCGAATCGAGGATTTTGCCTAGTATGATGGCGGCACCACCCTTGCTGCGGCGAACATCGTCGTCTTCGCGTCTATCCTCGCAGAACTACGTTCGCAGTCCAGGCCACGCTCAAGAGTCGCCTCGAGCGATGAGCAGGAGCTTTTCCAACAGCTCCAATGGAAGAGATCCCCTCGAAGACCTTTTGGCTGCCGCTGCCGCTGCAGCTGCTGCAAAGAGCGTTAGTCCCCCGGGACCTTCTAGCCAGCCCGCTAGCAGCACGAGCCCAGCGGAAAGCTTGCCTAGCCTAGCTCAAGCCCTCGGCACGATCCCAGCGCACGATCGCCATTCCTTCGGTAATGTTGTAGGGGCAGCGCATTCTCCACATACTGTTGCGCCGTCGCGTGGCCGGGAGGAGCAATGGTACGCAGAGACGACTGGGACGTACCCATCATCCATGGTTGCAGGCCCAATGAACGCTTTTCAAGGTTCCAACACCTCCGCCTATCCGTTTCCTCGTCCATACACCTCGCATTCTACACCTTTTCCCCTCGCCTCGGGCTCCGACAGCGCAGGAGCATCGCTCAGTCTCGCGCAGCCAGGTCATTCCCTCCAGTCTTCTACGAGTCAGGCGCCGGAGAAGAGATGCTTCTATCTGCTCATAACGCCCTCGCTAGAGGTATTCCATGCGGATCCTGCACTCGACGCTGCAGTGATTGCTCGCCTGCGCAACGAGGATCTGACTAAGTTGATACACGAGGAAGAGCGCGCTCGTGCGTCGGAAGAGATGAGGGGCGTCATTGCGAGCAAGGCTTTGTTTGGGAGCGTGACTAGGTGAGTCGAATTGCTAGCTGTCGGGCAGATCCCCGCCCGAGCCTCACTGCAGCGCGCAATGGTTTGCTGAGGCGTGTCATGCCCGACGCAGGTGTCGATTCTCCAAGCAACGCAGCATCGAAAGGGTGTTGGGACGAGCGCACACGTCGAACGCCGGTAGTGGCGTGGAGGAGAGCGACTTTCTACCGGTCGACATTGTGGTCAATTGGATCGGCGAGCGTGTAGCCCTCGCATTCTTTCACGCCGTCCTAGGTCAGTGTCCCGCGTCTATCCGTGTGGCTTCGCGCTGCTTTAGCGCCCATGGCACGCGCTGACCGAGGCATGCAATGCGGCCATCGGAATCCTGCAGACAATTCACACGAAGATAACGACGAATCCCAGAAGAGTGCTTGGAGCAATTGGTGCGGCGCGGAGAGGGAGAACCTTCAGCAGGACGTGAGTTTGTATCTTCTGCCGGCTCTTTTCTCGTCATGTCCCCGCCTGCTGATGCGCTTTCTGCTGTATTCCCACCTCTCGGCCTTGACAGTATACGCAACGAATATGGAGCGACGTTCTGGCTACGAGACCGCCCACGAGCTCTACAGCTTCGCCTTCCTTCGTATTTCAGATCCTGCGCAATGACGCCAGCCCATCGATTCTGCTCTCCTGGCCTCCTCCACGATTATTTCCCTCGACAGTCACGGCTCCGCGTCACTTTTTGGGTCCGGACCCAGCTTTCACCGACGGATCCTACTTTGCCTCCGATTTTGCTGCGCTTGCGCAGGGCATCTCAGCATCTGGTCAGGCGGCGGGCAGCGATGCGAGCACTTCTTGCACAAGGAGAGTCAGGGGAAAGCACTCTCTCACGACCGAGGCGCGCTTGAGAACCGTGGAAAGCGTACTCATTCCGTACGGAGCCATTACTTTTGCCTGTTTCTCCATCACCTTTGACCAGCCTTTGGTCAGCGCAATTCCGGATCCTCTACCTTCGGTCGCTGAGCTGAAACCTCGACTGTCTAGATTGCCTACGCCGCCACCAAGCATCAAGACGAGCAGCACAGGTCAGAAGAGGAATAGCGTCAGCGAAGATGGGGTTCGTCGCTCGCATGCGCGGACGCCCTCTCCGCCGGAGGGTACCGCGCAGAAGAAGAAGCGCCAAAAGACGATCAAAGGAAGTGGCGATGCTGCGCAAGTATCGTCCGCCGCAGCGTACAACTCGCAGCCTTACAACGAGAGCCGAAGATCAAGCTTGGGCCTCGACTCTCTGGCCAGTGCAGCCTCGCTCGATGCGCAAGCTCTTGCACTGGCTGGCAGAGAATCCGAAGAGATGCCGCCCCCTCCGCCTCCTTCCAAAGCCAAGAGCTCGAGAGCAAAGGCTGCACAATCTCAGCCTTCGAACAACAGCTCTCACAGCGTCTCACCCACCTCAACAGCCTCTCTCGGTAAGGGCAAAAGGGTGGATGGTGAGCAGGAAGGTGCTGCGTCTCGAACTTCTCCGACATCTGCGGTGGAGGACAAGGATAAAAAGTGCGGTAGCTGCGGTGTAGCAAATAGCCCAGAGTGGAGAAAGGGGCCGACTGGCGAAAAGACTGTAAGTGTGGATCGTCAATGCGTCGAATACCTTTCTGAAAGCGCTGAAGTGTTGCCCTCTCTTGCGTGCATCGAACAGCTCTGCAACGCTTGCGGACTTCGATACGCGCGATCCGTCACGCGGCTTCGAAAGAAGGAAGAGAATGCGAGAAAAGCTGCAGAGATGGCTGCGAGCGTCGGCATCTTTCCTCAGCAGCAAGATGCTCATCAGACATCTCGAGATGATGAACAGCTTTCAAAATCGACGACTTCTCCCATGAGCGGCGGTGCAGCTTCCCCCGCGTAGATCTCTGGGTCTCTTCGCATCGACGATTTTCCGAGCTGCTCGGGCCAACCGTAGTGCTGCACGTGCCGAAGCATGCACGGAAAACGTACAAATCACATTTCGATCACGCTCCGGCTTGTAGCAACGACACACGCAATTGCGCTTAAGCAAAGATCACATCCTCGGCTGACCTCATTCAATTGTTGCGAGAACCCCTTTCGCGTGATGTCGAGCGTTGTGAGTTCGGTCGAGCCATGAAAGGTCGACTGATCAAATGCTAGGGATGCACGCTAGCTGTCGATCGCTGTTCTATGTGAGCTTTTGGATGACGACTGCGTTGAGAAGATTGGCGTCTTTCAACGTCGCGCTTTCATCTTGTATTGGCTTGGGCGGGAAAGACGTCTGCAACACGTAAGATCTGGCTGCCATGCCAGCGGAGGATCTGTCGGGTGCAAGCTTCACCGTCAGCCGCTGCTTGTGGACGATGCGTCAGTCTGCCGGGGGCGATCGCCCTTTGACGACACTTACGCATTGATGTATGCTCGGACATCAGCAACCGTGTGAGTATGATTGAAGCGTCCGGTCAGCCTTTGCCCGTCTCCGAGTCTGATCTGCAACGACGTGGTTGGCTGGGAAGAGTCCACCTGGAACAGTGTGCTTGTAGCAGAAGGTGCATTGGTTCCTGATGGCTGAGCGGCCGTCGTCGTCGATCCAGTGGCGGTGGAGCTTCCCGGCACGCTGGACCCTATTCCCGTGAATGTTGCAGCTGGACTGCCCAGTCTGTTCCCGGCGCCGCCAAATGGACGCATAGGAGGAGGCGGAGGCGGCGTGTACTTTTCCTCTGTGCGTCTGGCTACTCTGAGCTCCACTCTTTGACCGAATCTCACACCCAGCAAGCTCAATGGTGCGCGTCCAGCGTTGATCTGTGCAAGAGTGTCTGCGTGCTGAGGATCGTCGTAGCGCATCAAGGGACCTTCTTCCACACTAAAGCCATCCGACCAGAAGGTCAAGTTGCGCGTGACTGGCTCATCATCATCGTCCTCTTCCTCTTCGTCCCCATCGTCGTTGCCCACGGTGGGGGATTGTGTATTTCCGGCTGTCTCGGTGTTGTCATCGCCCGAATCGCCGATGGTCCTGCCTCTGCCTCCAAAGCTACTTTGCGTCTGACCGCCTGTTCGAGGAAGGGTCGGCTGCTCGTCGCCACCTCGCTGAGCGCTGGCTTCAGCCGCCTGTCTCAAGATGTCGCCAACAACGTCAGGAGCCGAACCCTGTCCTCTTCTTCGCGCGCCGTTGGGATCCTGCACGCTCAATCCGCTCCTTTCACCTCCTGCAAACAGGTCCGGTGGTCCGTCATCCTCATCGTCCGAGTCCTGTCCCCTACGAATCCCGCCTAGACCTGGACGACCTGCACCCGAGCTGGCTGACGAGCCAGCCAGATCCCTCAAGGTTGAGATTCCTCCTCGACCTCCACCTGCACTGAATCCGCCACCGGACTTGGATGCGCTTCCACTGCGCGCAGAGCTACTTCCCCACCCAGCTGGCAAAGGCTCAGCCGGAGCACCAGATAGAGTTCGAGGTCCCGAGCTGGGCGCTGATGCAGATTTCGGGCTCGTAGCCGATGCTGCGCCACAGGGGAGATCGATGAGCACATTCAAGCGCCAAAGATCCCATCGCACGCGCTGCTCACCTTCTTGAACGGGGGCTTCGCCAGCAACGGAAGCGTCTGCGGCATCATTGCCGCCAGACTCGTAGAAAGCGCTCACTGCCTGAGTTACGTCTCCGCCTGCAGCTTCCACAAAGAATCTTGGATCATGACGGACGAGTGGACAAGTTAGACGGCATTCAGGCGGAAGGATTCGTTCCGAGTGCCTCGCGCAACGCTCACTTTGCTCGGTCAGCATCTGCACCTGTGATGCTGCTGAATTGGGCCAGAGCGTCGTCCATGATGTCATATATTTTCGAATCGGCGTTGCGTGGCCGTGGCTCCCAAGAGACGAGACGTGGAATGGCAATGCCTGACTGCAGCTGAAATACCTGTTTATTCAGTGCTTGACCCAAACGTAAGCCTCGTGGTGTGATCGTATGCGTAGCGACGTGCTGGTGGTGTGGAGAGTGCAAGGGGACGTCGAAAGTTTGGCTCGCCAAAGGATGCTACGGTACAGCATATGAGATCCTGATCCCAAACGCACTTTGAATGACGGATTTCCACGAAAGCATGATCAGCTATATAGCAAGCAGCATGCATCAGCAGGTCGTCCTTGCGTGTCAGAACCACGCAAGCGGGTGGCTCGAGCGTGGCGCAGCGCGGTGGAAACGAGGGAAAGCCAGGTCGTGGGGACAAATCACGTGACTAGAAGCTCCTCTCATCTTCTCATTGGCATGCAAAAACGTCGTACGCGGCGACCATCGCGCGTGGAAGTGCAGCCAGCCATTCATAGGCTCTTGTCGCATCACAACCTCCAAGCAGCTTCACTCAAAATCTCACAAGCTGTTGACGGATCCGTCTCGGATTGCACGCGGAACACCATCTGGTACTGGCAGCTTCGCGTTTCAGCACATCTCTCGTTCGTGCAACGCATTTCCGATCCGCCGGCCGTCAGCCGCGCAGACCGACGTGCCTGGCATTGTAGCTCTCTCCGATCTCACGTCTGAAGGCCGCTGAGCTGGCGAGCGACCTCTTGTCAAAGGCACGAGATCAAGACTCGGTGGGCACCTGCTGGCTTCTGGACATTGCTGCGCTGGACTCAGCTCGCAAAGCTACTGCGGCGATTGCATTGGCTTGCGGACATCGAACCCCCCCAACGATGATGACATTTTCAAACTCAATGAGGCGGCAAGTCTGCCACATCCGCACCATCTCAACATACCGGCTTTTGGGTGCTTCCTCCATTCAGTCTTCAGCCCTAGCGCCTCGAAGTGCGACAGCCCACGTCGCCTCTCCTGCGAACCACAATGGCCTGCACACATCGTGCGCTCTGTCAGACAAATTGAAATCGCATAGCGGAGCCAAGAAACGTTTTCGGGCAGTGGGCAAGCTACGAAAAACGGTCGGAAGCGTCCCTTTTCCATTCGCAAGCAGTCCCTACTCCATTCGACTGCAGCGTCAGCAGCATCAAGAACAACAGGATCTACTTGCTCTAGCCCATGGCCTGCCAGTTGAGATGCTAGGGAGACAGGCACCGCTTCCTACGCTTCCTATCAGACGCGTCGTTGGACCCTTGTTCAAGAGGGGATCGGCAGGAAAGAGACACTTGAATGTGGGCATGAGCTCTGGTAGAAAGGTCAGGCTGAGAGGTAATGTCTTGGAAAGAGGAGGAAAGAGGAGTCAAGTGCTTCGTAGAATGCTCGCTGCTAGGATCTAGAGGGGCGCTGGAGGAAAACTGCCCGGGAGGAGCGGCACGAATTGATCAATCAGTCAGCTGATCTTCGAGGACGTACAGCGGGGGCCTCACATCAAATCATTTAGAAGGTCGACTTGATGGCTCCTCTCCTTGCGAGCGGACGCCCACCTTGGCAACATTTCACAACAGGCACGGCATCAACAAACATCAGAACGTCACGCGTACAGCTCACTTTGGCCCACGCAGCACAGATGACTGGATATGCTCTGTATTCGTACCGAGGCCTGTGCCAGCGCAGTGCGCGTTCAGCAAGCGGCATGGCCGTGGCGCAATCGATCACCACGCAAGAAGCGTCGCAGTACAGGCACGTCTATATCCGCATGAAGTTCGATCGAGACCGTGGTATACGATAAGACAGTGGAGCGGCACTCGAGATAGTGTGTCAGGCTAGGGGGTTCTAAGAACACTTTTGGACAAAAGTAGCACGCCTCAAGCGCTTGATGCGGCACTTCTTCCGGTAGGTGACGGACTCTTGTGTGCGTTGAAAAGTGCTCATTCCATGCCTAGAGCATGCAGAGCGATGTGCATGCCCTTTGCATCAATGAAGAGAGCCTTGCCATGCTGATATTTTGGCAACACGTGAATGCATTCAGCAGGTACACCTGCTGACCTGAGGTAGTCCACTGATGCTGGAACGTCGAGCAGCCTGTTCGCAGAGCGATGAGCCAGCAGGCCCGTCAGCGCTGCGTTTGCCGAGCCGGGAACAGCGTCGATTGTCCTTCGAGCCACTCACATATCGCGCTCGCCAAAAATCAGCTGCACGTTGTCCGGCGTGAGCACTTCTGGTAGATCATGCACCCACACTTAAGTTGAAAAGGCAAGTGGGAGTCAGCCAAAACGCTGATGGTGCCTAGATGCGCACAATATCCCTCTGCTCGACCCCGGTGATCCTGCTGGCGTCTCGCATGACTTACAAAGCATATCGCTCCAAATGAAGCGTCTGGCAATGGTATGCGCGATCCCCAATTCTCTCGCGACAAAGTAACCCAGCAGCACCTCGACACCAGTGGCCCAAGGCCGTGCGATGAACGCGTAGCAAGTGGCGCCTTCCCAAAGTCTAAAAGATACGGGATCCACAATGACGTGCTTCTTGCAGAGCTCTGGAGCTCCTCTAGCAACCCAGCCTGTGACCATCGTGCCGTTGCTGTGGCTTAGCACTTGGAAAGATTCAATCTTGTGCCGCTTGGCCAGCGATTTGACAGACGCAATGTGCTGGTCCTTGTTCGGAGCATCCAGATAATGCTTGTGCCAGATATCCGCGCTGATGTTGGGCTGCAGAAGGATATACACTCCGTGCTCATAGCGAGCCAAATACTTTAGGAAAGCGGCATACTGTCCCAATCTGTGTGACAGCCGCACGTGAAGAAGCTGAGGATGAACGGCGCGATACGCCTGCGCCTCCGGCCTCGCCTTCGCAGCGACTCACCCAATACCCAGACCGTGCAAGAAAAGAATCGGCAAAGGCTTGGAGTGCGACTTGCCGTTGACCCCATTGACCCCGGAGTGGGCTTTGCTGACCGCATCCTTGACCAGGAATGCGCAATCGCCGACTTGCTCGTATCTGAAGCCGTGGGAATGACGAAGCCAAGCTTTGGCTGCAGGTGAAGAGCGATGTCAGCATAAAGCTCTTCACTCAAGAGCAGCCTGTCGAAGCGGAGCTCCTGCCGTAGTATAGCATACAATCGCGTCCCACGACTTCTTTACGTGCTTTGTGCAGACTTTGCTTCCACTCACTCGCACCCGTAATTCCATTGCAGACGGCATAGTACCCAAGTGGTCTCGATCGAGTGGCCACAGGGTCGAGGGTTAGCCTCAATGTTTTCATCGAAGTGTTGAATCCCGGCGCAAAAGTATGCTTGAGTCTTGCCTGCACCAAATTGAAAGCTCTCTCAATGATGTATTCCAAGTCCTTGTCGCCTTTGCATTCCTCCAATTCTCGTCCAGCAAATGCCCAAGCCAGCCATTGTCTGACGTTGTCCGCCTTGATCTCGTTTGGATCTTCAAAGTAGAACCATCGCATCAACCTCTTCCACGCCACCGCTGCTTCTTGATCCGAGACGACGTGCGTTTCGAACTTGGAATCTTCTTGAGCGTGCTTGCCCGCACCTCGTCGGCGAGGAGGATGAGCGGCCAAGCCGACATCCAAACACTGCAACATCAGATCCTCCAACGTCTTGTTGTCCACTTTGGGAGGTGGTGTTCTCCTGTTGGCTTTGCGGGTGAGCAGAAAGAGGTAGATGGAGAAGGGAACTTCTAGGAAAGAGTAGTAGAAGAAGAATTTGCCGATCAGGGGCGAACTGGAAGAGGCACCCAAACCCCACGCCAGCCAGTTGGAATGCTTGTCGAGTCCAGTGCATCTTCGATACAGAGCGGCGAGGAAGATGATCCAAGATGTTGGCGTCACGCTCCACACCCAGCCTGCCAAGGCCATGGCGGGGTAGAAGTGCCATTTGCGAGGCAAGGTGGCGGGAACGTGCACATGGTCGCTCAACCCTTGAAGATGAGGCGCTATGCCGTTGGGTAAGCGCAGGCTGGATCGCGCAGCCACCTCTGCTATGGACGACATCGCAAAGTGGTCCACCCAAATCGTTGGATGTGCTTGCTCCCCGATGTCGAAGAGTTGGTGTATCAGCAGAAGGGCAGATTCGGCCAGTGGCTAAAGGTTTGCAAGTCTCGCGGTGTTGGCGCACAAGACATGCTAGGACGGTGGAGGTGATCAGGAGAGGTTTAGCGGGGCGTGCACACGCTGAGGGGGGAAAAGCTTTCCAGATGGGAACATACCCCATCGATGACCGTTACCCGAGGCCATGGATGAACAAGTGCGGGGTTCGCGAGTCTGACGAGCGATCTTGTCGCTCCCTCTCTCTCTCTCTCTCCCTCCCTCCCTCTCTCCCCTGATGTGAATCACGAGAATCAAGAATCTGAATGACGAATCAAATGATTTGTGGATTAATTGGGCCGCTGGCTGATATGCGCAGCGCAGTCATGTACCCCACCCCACCCCCACCCCCACCCCCACCCATTTGCGGAACTTTTTCGTGTCTAATCGTGAATCAAATGCTTTTTCTCGCGTTGCTCATACGTACGGGCTGCATGCTGAGCTTTGGCTCATCGTGATCGACTTGTCCTGCAGCGGAGCAATCTACAGTACGTGCGGCGGCGGCCATGCAGCAGCAGCAGCCAGCAGCCAGCAGCTGAGCGCCCTCCACCAAAATCTTGAACGCAACTCAGACTTCCGCATTCACGATTCACATGCATTCATTCACGCGACTCACTCGCAGTCGCGAGTCAATTAAGCAAGAGTCACGGGTCAGTTGCTTTGCATGCACGAACGAGCATCCTGTTCACAAGTATCGCTTCAACTCTCTGAGAGACTGCCGCAGCTCCTCACGCTTTGTCTTGAAAGGACTTCCGAGGGCTCGATCGTCGCAGGGGGCACCAAGTGCGATGCACTGTTTAGCAGCCACGGGTGTGAGCTAGACTAGACACCAGCCAATCGCGATTTGATGGCCATTGAGTCCCAAGTCCGATCATGGCTCATGCTCACGATCATCTTGAGGCAACAACTCTGCTCGGTGGATGTGCACCGCACCGCGGAGCTCAGGCCTCGAATTGAAAGGAAGGTGCGCGCGCACCTTCAAATCGTGAATTGTTGCAATTCATGGGGGCATGCGCAGTCACTCGGTCAAGTGTGCTGAGCCACCGCGCAATCCCACGGGAGTTGGGCCAAAACGAAACATCGGGAACGTTTTTTCACGCTTGTGGATGCGCGCTTCTTAGGAAAGAAGGGCGACCTTCCATCAGCATCCACAGATCCTAGCTGCTCTTTGGACGCGCGCTTTGCCTTGGCAAACAAAATCTCCGATTCAGTCATTTCACAAGACAACACACGGTGCATGGTGGTGGAGTAAGAGGAAGACTCGGAAGTCGGAAGTCGGCCCATGCAGCGTGTCCAGTTTCGTGTGGTCCGACCACACCACGTGACCAAGCCGGCAAATGTCCGGAAGGGTACGGTCGGTCAAACCAATTCAAATTTGATTTTGAATGTATGTATACCTGATTGATTGACACGTTTGCGATTCAGGTGATGCATGGTTTGTTTTGGGCTTCATGCAGAGGGGTGCAAGGGCAGCGTAGAGTGGGACCAAGGATCACCCGAGATCACTCCAAGCCCGATGTGAATGACGACGACCAGCTCGTCGCAAGGGTGGGCGCGAGTCGAGGGCCTCGATGATCTTGCTTAGGCCCCCTGACACGAGGCCATGCAGATGTAAGGCAAAGGCAATTAAGACGATGTGCCGAGGATGAGCTGACGTGCAGCGAGCGCGGAAAGCCCAAAAGCAGCAGCGTTGCTGCATGCTGCGCGCGTGCGCACCTTTCGGATCCGTTGACAGCGTTTGTGCGATGTGGAGGCGGCAAGCGTGCAGTCTGAGTACAGTGCAGCGGCGGACCGTCACCACACGTTTGGTGGGGATGTACTGTAGCAGCAGTGCTCATCTGCTCCAAGACTTGCGTTGCCGCCGGCACAGCGGTGGTCATGGCCGGGCCAGCGTCATATTCTAGACAAGGGTACCACCACCGTCACCACCACCACCACCACCACAACAACCACCATCACCATCACCACAAACTGTCCCCAAGCGCATGCAGCGCCATCCGCGTCATCATGTCTGAAGCAGCAGCAGCCCAACTTCCGTCTGTCTCAGAGTCCGCTGCAGGAGCAGCCAAGTCACAGCCTTTCTGCGTGCACTGCGTTTCAGGAGATGTCCTGCCAGGAGAGAGCAAAGGCGGGGAGAGCAAGATCGGGCCTTACAACACCTACATTGCCTCGCCCTCTTCTACGACGAGCAGCAGCACAGTCGGCATCATCTTTGCCTGCGACGCCTTTGGCTTGGCGCTCAAAAACAACAAGATACTAGCCGATACGTTGGCCGACAAATTGGGCTTGACAGTCTATGTTCCAGATTACTTTCAGGGGGATCCGGTCAAGCCCGAAGTGATGAACGATGCGCCTGGGACTGCCAAGGAAGTCAATGCGCAGAGCTTTTTCCAAAAGGCTGCTTCCGGCCTCAAGTTGGTCAGCATGGTTCCCTGGTTCATCAAGCACAGACCTTCGACCAAGTACAACGATTTCAAAACTTTCGTCGAGGCTCTAAAGGAGGAGAAGAAGTTGGAGAAATTGGGCGCGGTGGGATATTGCTATGGAGGCAAGATCGCCGCTTATGCCAACGTCAATGAGCTTGTTCAAGCTACTGTGCTTCTTCACCCTAGCTTGATCAGCGTCAATGACGACATCAAGCCTCTCAAAGCACGTGAGTGGAGCTGGCGCTGCGCTCCACTGCCGCGCCCTTTCATTTCTCCCCCCTTTTCATGCCACCCTTCTGACGTCAATGCTCCTCATGCTTGCCTATTCCCGTAGCGACGCTCTTCCTCTGCGCTGAGTCCGATCCGGTCTTTCCCGAAAAATTGCGTGAGCAATCTCGATCAGCCCTCGCCACGAGGGGCTCCGACGCACCCGCGCATGACTTTGTCCTCTACGAAAAGTGGGTACCTCTTGACGAAAAGCGTGCACGATCTGGACCACTCCAAATTTCCCACACTGCTCATTCCTACAACCCATACCCTTGCCCCCATCTTGCAGCACTGTGCACGGCTTCGGCGCCAGGCCCAAGCTTAGCGATCCGCTGGTAAAGAAAGCTTTCGAGCAGGTACATGTGCCCGCAGCCTTGCCGCCTTCCGCGCCTGCTGCAATGCTGACTCTTCTCCTTTCGGGCTTCACAGAGCGTCGACAGGACCGTCGAATGGTTCCAAACTCACCTGCTGGCTTGATGGTGCCCACGAAAGCCAGTGGGTGATGCTTCGATACCTCCCAATGAGCAGGCCATCTAGTCACCACATCCACACGCCGCCACCCTGTTTATTCACGCGAAATTGGTATTTGCATTCCATGATCCTCTCCCAGCCCAGGAGGCCAGCTACTCCCCCAATCCCAAGCTCTGTCGAGCGGCTTCCAATTTCGGTTTGACCCAAGCGCTTCCGCTCAGGTCGATGGCCGTCCTGACAGCCCTCTCTCCCGTAGCCAAGATGCTCCTGTCCCCAATCTCGTCTCTCTGTCGCTCCAGCTCCCTGACCATCTCCAAACCCTCCGCTTCCGCATCTGCTCCTCTCTCTTCCGGCAATTCGGACAAGCACCTCGCCAAGACGAACTGACACATCGCGGGCGCTTGCGTTGCAAAGGCGCGCAGAAGTCGGACGGGCGATGGACCGGCCGAGGGGGCGGGCGGAGAGAGGGGCTTGGTGGCGTTGCTGGACGTGAAAGCAGGACTGGCCGCAGAATAGTCGACAGACTCTCCGTCAAGAATCGCGGTGAGGTCAATGTCCGACGCTCGAGGTGGTTGACGCCGCGAGGGCGAGCTACCAAGGGACGCGCTGGGAATTTCTGAGCTGCGCTGGTGTTGCGATCCATTGTGCGTGCTTCCATCTGTGCTCAAATGCTCGTCGCTAGTTGTGATGCGAGGTGCAGGGATGGGGTTGACTGTGGCCTGAAGATGACTTCCACCTGATGTTTGCGCGCTAGGAGAGGGCGGAGCATTCGTTGTGCTGGTCGATGATGGATCCGAGCCGGCGATTTGTCGTTTGAGCAAGTATTTGCGCCTAAAGTTCAAGAATGCGCTTTGACCCTTGCCCAGAAGCGCTTCCCGCACCTCGATGTCGTCTATACCGTCTCGTAGGGCAAAGGCGCGGACAAGGTTCGCGCCCAGTGCCCACAAGTCTGCGCTTGGCCCTACGCGACGACCTTGAGGTCCCGGAAAAGCTTCTGGCGGGATCCAATCGTAGCTCACCAGTGCTACGCGTCCGTCGCCACCAGGCACGCCTCGGAAAGGATTTGCATTCTCGTAATCGATGACGACCAATCGAGCTTGCTCGTCGAACATCAGATTTTCCAATTTGATGTCTCCATGAAGCCAGCCTGCCGCATGGAAGGCAGAGATGGCTCTGAGCGCGCCGCAGAAGACCAGCGAGACCACCGGGAAGAGCTCGGACTCATCGCAGCCAGCAATGACGAAGAATGCTTCTTCCGGATAATCTTCCTCAAGTCGAATGTACTTGTCGTCGCTGGTTCTCAGCACCTTGGCCACCACGCCAGTGCGCGTGGGATTGAGGGTCTCGGCCTTCTGTACTTCGTCCAGCAGATCCTCCACGTACCGGTCCCTTAATCCACGTATGATCGCCCTCGACACTCCTCCTATGCCTCCATCGGCGTTGCGCATCTTTCGCTCCACCGACATGAGTTCCATGGCAGCCCAAAATCTCCCCTCGCCATCCATAGCCCATCGTCTCAGCTTTGCGGCCGATGAGACACGATTATCTGGCGTGGTGATGAGATACGTGGTCGGCTCAGCGTCTTCGTCGCAGATGGCGCTGCCCTCATCCACAGAAGTCATGTGCCCGTCCTCGTCGATGTATCCAGGCTCTGCACTGTCCGCGCTCGAGAAGAGGCGCACCGAGAGTCCATCCGTCACTGCACCTTCACGGAAAGGTCCACTTCGATCGTACAGTGTGCCGTCAACTCGGATGGGCCGTCTTCGCCGCGCCAGCTGTAGGGATGCGCGCGGTCTGACCTTTCCGCTGCGAGGAGACGGCGTTCTCGGCTGAGCATGTCCCGGGCCTGGCTTCGTCAGAAGCGAAGAGTACGACACATTGCGTTGCTCCGATGTCAAACCGAACTTGTCTTCTGAAGCGTTAGATGCATCATCATCGTGGTCCGGAGTGCCATCTTCTTCCTCAGCAGCAGCAGCTGCTGCTGCTGCGGCTGCCGCGAGCGCAAGCAACTCGCTGGAATGCACGCGTTTGTGGAGAGGCTTTCTTTTGGGTTTTCTGGACGTTTCCCTACCCTTTGCAGCTTCGTCATCGGCAAAGGTCAGGACGCTCGGCTTGCCATTTGTTGGTGCCTTGATTTGAGACAGAGGGGCAAGAGCAACTCGCTCTCCCGCGCCACCTTTGTTAGGAGTATTTTTACCTGAACTTCCCGCCGAGCCGCTGCTTGCAGAGCCGCGGCGTGGAGTATGGATGCCAATGACTGTCTCGTGCCGCAGGAACGCGGCCTCGGGACCGTTAGAGCTGAAGCGCCTGGATCGTGGCAGGGTAAATTTTGAGGTCGTGATCATGCTCGGAGACGTCGGGCTGGCGACCATGCTGCTAGACATGCTGCTGTCCCCGGTGCTGCCGCGTAGATGTAATTGACTGACTTTGGACGTTCCATTCCCTTGTGCTATGGCTGCCTTGGCTGCCGCATCAAGGTTTTGAGGAACGCTCTGGCCCCAGCTTCCGCTCCTGCTGTTGGTGCTGCGACTCCGGCTGCCTCGGCGCGTAGGAGGCCCACTCGAGCCGCTGGCGCTGAAAGTCTCATCATCGTGCGAGTTGTACAGATCATCGCTTGGCTCGTCTTCTCCCAAACCCAGCGCGGAGATTGAAGAGCGAGTGACGCCCACCAGACTGGCTGTACCCCGCTTCCAAGCCAAATGCGTTCCCATCGTCTCTCCATCGAGCGAGTCTCGAGCATGCTGCTTCCACCGCTCGTGATCCTTGCCGAGAAAGATGGTAGCTGCACGAGGTACAGCGGAGAGCCCGCGGGAGCCGGTGGAGTGAGAAGGTGGGATAGTCCACTCCAAAGGGTTCCGATCGCGATTGAAGGACTCGGCATCTCGGGTCTCAAACATGGTGGAAGTGCGCATGTCTGCAAACGGCCGAGCAGGGCCGGACCGGGACGTTGAGGCTCCGCTCGCGTCCTGAATTGAACCTCTTGTGGATGGAAGTTTGGGTGATCGAGGCTGCGATCCACTGGGTCTCCGTTGCTGAGCGGCAAAAGAAGGATTGCTGTCGCTTGGCGAAGTCAGCGAGTGACGACGACCCAAGCTGCTCAGGCTCGAGGTGCTTTGTGTGTGGTGGAGGTCAGTGCGAGTTTGGGCGCTGGAAGAGCCAGGTTGCTGTGCCGATGCGGTCGCTGCTTCGTGGGCCCCTGCCTCTGGCCGACTTGGATCGTCATCGTCCGTGCCGGCCGCGGGAGGAAAGGCGCGGATGTCTACGCTGGATGAGGGTGACATCTTATTGCGCTTTCACCGATCCACAGCGACGTGCCAATCGTATATGCTGCTGCCTCTTTGCGGAGCCTTGGACGCGGATGAGAGGCAGCAGAGTACGAGGTGGTCAGTGGTCAGGGTTGGAGCTGGGCAAGTGCAGCTGTCAGATACAGCAAGCAGCAGCAGCAGCAGCAGTAGCAGTCTCGAGGGGCGGTGTCTGATCGCGTTTGCTGATGAGGCAATGCACAATCGGGGAATTAAACGGCGGCTGGCTGGCTGGCTGATGGTGGCTCAGCAGCTGGCTGACGTTGGCGTGATCGAATCGGCCCGGTCGACCTTGTGTTTGGGCGTTGTGCTCGACGCGCAATGGTTGATGATATGATGACTGTGGACAAGCCATTCGCGATCGCGTCAAATCTCAGATTCGCGATTGAGCAGAAAGAAGTTTTGAGTCTTGCTCGTGTGAGTGGTCACGATACGCAGGCGGATGCTGGGCCCCGTTCAATTAAAATCGTGAATCTTGAATTACGAATCAAACGGAGGCTGCGAGTGAGCTGCAAGCCTCGTCATGATTTCAAGCGTCAGAAGAGGCGCAGGCGCCCTAGCTGCTTGCATGGCGCTGCGTGATGCGCGTGACAGCTTCAAAAGAAATGCGGAGGCGGAGGAGGCAGCCCCCCGGGGTTATTGCGTACGCGCGCAGCATCATGCATGCGCATATATATCAGCGGCTCGATCTCGAGCGCAAGGCGTGTTTGGTGTACAGCAGCAGCACTCTTGACTCAAGACTTTCCTCAAAGCAGCCATCATCATCCATCACCAAACCGATCATTCCTCGACCTCAAATAGCGAGCGCAAGGAGGCGACGCTATACTTTCATTCTCGAGCATTCCTGATGTCCTCTGCGCGGCTCGTTGCGGGAAAAATTCGAGCCACAATTTGGCCTCTGCTCTGAGGCCTCCGATCGAGGTTCCCCAGCGCTTGCAGCAGACTTGCCCTTGCTTGCAGCATCGGCTAAGCCGAACATGTCATGTCACGTGGATGCAGGGGTAACCACATATTCGTGAATGTTCTCGACTCAAAGCCGTTCAGCTTCGACGCCCGCGCGGCACGCGCAGTCGTGATCGCTTCATCCATCACTCGTGACAAACTCATCAGTCTTCTGACAACACCCTCACTTCCTTTGACACGCATACACATACTTCGCTCAGCGCTTCTCGTTGGCCTCTACGTCCAGAATCACGCCCTGGAGGTGATCCGAAATGATGAGCCAGTAGGATGCAGCGGCTCAGCGAAGGTCACCTCGTCAAAGGTCTTGTACCCGCTGCCCCAAGACGCTATCCTGACGGCCACACAAAGTCTCTTGCGTTCTGACTCGCATGGCCGAAGAGGCTCTTGCCTATCACGGGCAAGCATTGTAGATAAGTGTGCAAGTAGTTGCATGCCGTCGAGGAGTAGAAGGTGTGCTTACGCTAGAATTCCCTTGAGCTCTGCAGACGTGATGCACCTGACCAAGCCACAAAGGAAGGCGTGTGCATCGTGCGCGATTACGGTCAAGTAGCTCGAGTGCACGCACGCATGAGGTCTGGTCACGTTCTTGCCACTCCAGCAAGGGTTGTCATGATTTCAAAATTTAGCAGACCACGCGGTATCACGCCGCTAAGCCTAGCATTATGGCATATGCGAGACCTCTTCGTCTGGTCATGCACACGAACTTGCCATGGTGAAGAGAGAATTCAGACTCTTCATGGACTCAGCTCGACTTGCTCGCTCGCTCATGCGCGATCTTGCTCGTGCTTGACCACGTCTTGTCTCGCCACCTGGCGAGGCGTAAGGGCAAAGCGGATCGCTCGCTGGTGACTGCTGATTGCAACTCAGACGCATGCAGACCTGCAAAAACCACGCGGTGCGCCGACGCTAAACTTGCATGAGCGACATCGGGCTTGCTCGATGAGAAAATCGCAGAGCACAGAGCACAACATCACTCGACGGGTCGGTGGCGGCGAGCGCTCAGTCCCCTCGACCTCGGTGCTTGATGAGCATCTGATGGCTGGGAAGCATTCGAGGATTTGCTCAACAGCTATTCACGTGGAGCAAAGCAAGCAAGCGGCCTATCGGTCAAATGGACTTGAGTAAGCCCATCAACTCGAGCTTCAAGACTCTCAAGTTTGATTCGCAGAAGCTTGCAGGAGTAGGTGCGCATCTGCATGATTTGGCGTCGTCGGACTTATGCAGAAGGCGATGCGGCACTTCAAGACTACCGTACCTGCTCTGATTATCATCACCGATTCCCTTGTTGAAACTCTGCTGCTCGACGGCGGCTACACAGCGCCAACAAGCCATGCGCTTTCTGCAGTCACTAGATTGGACAGCACTCTTGATAGACGACGATGCTCGAAGACCTCAGTGGTCGTTGCCTGCCATGCAGAAGCCCTCGGCACAGGCGACCTTCCGTTCAGCTGCGTGTCCTTCATCGCCGGGCGTCCAGGCATTCGTGATTGCAGCCTGGAGCACTGCAGCCGCTCGCTTTCGGTCTTGGGTCAAGAGTCACCCTGCAGCTTGTCCAGCTCTGCGAATGCTGTCATGACCCGTCGTACTTTTTAATACCGCCTCTTCTCTCCTCGCTCTCCTCTCGTATTCTCTGCCTCTTGCTACCCTGACATCATCCCCTGTTCCTCCTCTTCGTGATTTCTTCTCGCGGACGCTTCACAGGAGCTGCCAAGCATGTCGTCATTCTTCCGACATGGCTTCTCTGGCCCCAGGCCGCAAATGAGCCGCCCCACGGGCACCAATGCGCCAGTGGCAGAAATCTCACCAACCTTCGCAGCTGCAGGATGGACGCAAGAAGTTGACCGCACGACTCAACAGCCCAGAAGGCCAGACCCGGTGCCACAGCAGACTTCGCAAGCTCAGCAGGACTCTCCATCGGCTTCCAGTCCTCGTGTAGTCACGCCTGCAGCGCCCCGGGGACCGCGCTTCCCGTACTCTCCTCGCTTGCAAACGCTCATGGGTCGGTCAGACTCGGCGCAGAACGATGCTAGCCGAAGTCACATCAGTTTTGCAGCGCTTCGCCGCAGCGACAGCCAGGACAGCAGCAACGGTGAGGCTCGCGACCGTGTAGCAGAGCTGAGTCCGACTGAAGAAGTCACCAGTCCGGATGTCGAGAAGGGCTTTGGCCGACGTATGACTGGGACGACTAGCATGAGCGGCAAGAGCGAGTTCAGCTTCGTTCAGAAGTCCGAAGGCGTCAGCGTTAGTCACTTGCTGCCCGCTGCCAATGAGGCTAAGCACAACAAGCAAAACTTTTGGCGAGCTACATACGGCCTCTGCATCATCATTGGCGGTTGGAGTTTCATGATTTTTGCGTGCTATCTGTTCAAAGGCCTTGCCGTGAAGTACAATTTGGCTGCAAGCGATGCCACCGCAGAATTCATTCTCCGGCATCCAACAACCCAGGTCCAGCTTTTCACGGTGGTCGGCGTCTTCATCTCGGAAATTTGTTTCATTTTGTGGGGCTACTCTCTCTCATACTTTGCGATCCGTCGCCTAGCTTTCGGCAAGGAACGAACGGAGCTGCTCACCTACGCTGCCCTCGCTGAGTCGAAGCGAGCGGGCTACACTTTGAGCAGGCGCAAACTCGCGTGGCCGACAGTAACGCTGCTCATCTGGATTGGGGCCACGTTCTTGGCGCCCGCTTTCACAGCTCTTCTCACGCCAACTGCGATGAGCCAGTTTAGGGAGGTGATGTGGCCGGAAGCCAACTTGCTCAGCGAAGCGATGGCTTACTATCCGAGCTTGCTGGCACCTTCGGGTCTCTACGATCGGACCCAATTGTTCACCTTGGCGAATGGTTCCAAAGTGCTGAGCGATATCAATGCTCCCGTTTGCTCCTCTAATATCCCATACAACACCTACACATACCAGACTGGCGAACCTCCGGTCCAACTCAGAGGCTCCGCAGACTCTTGTCCTCAGTACTCCGACGTTACAACTTTGATCTCCGCTGGTATGGCAAAATTACAGCGCTTCACTGGCTTCGAGAACCCGACCTTCAAGATGATCAACACCACCTTCGTCGGAGGCACAGGAGGCGTCGTGCCTCTGGGCCCAAACGGAGCGATGATCAACTCAGATGCAAGACTAGTTCCAGATTCCGTTGCGCGGCCACAAGGCTATGATTATCAATACACTGTCAATCAACAAGGTGCAAGTGCAGAAGTGAAGTGCACTGAAAGGCCCCAAAACCCAGCATATGGTCTATCCGGCCGCATTGCAAATGTCACGGTGGAATGGGACGACTATCTCGGTAGCGCCAACATCTCTTACCTGTGCGGCGAGACACCGCAATACAATGTTGTGTTCGCAGGCGTGGGAAGCGTCGTACCCCTGCTCTGCGACGAATTCAATCTGGACGCGTACATGGACGATGCGACTGACACGGCTGGGTGGCAAGACCCCGATTATTCCACCTTGGTACTGGTCAAAATGGCCCTCCAACCCCAGTTTGGAGATGGCGTCAGGACCTACTTGAACCAGACTCCCTCTGCTGGTGGTCTATACCTAGCGCCGCCCTTTGCATACGACTTGAGCTGCACGATCCGGCCATACTGGAGCCGTCGCGACGTCACGTACTCGTCCGCCACCGACTCATTCACCGTCGAAGATGGACCTGGCTCAGGGGTGAACTACACGACCGGCAACAACCGCTCGCTTCTCGTGAGACCCCCCTTGACGAAAGAAGAGAGGATCGATGCACTTCTCAACGATACGGTCGAACCTGAGGAGGTGTTGTGGCTTACTCGCCGGTGGCTCAATCAGGCGGCACGCGATGCAGCTCAATCAGTGTTCAGCAGGGCTGACGCCATTGGCTCACCGGTGGTCACACCTGCGGATTCTGGGATCCCCGTAAACGAGACTTTTGGTCCACCTCCTGGCTACATCTACCTGCCCTCCCAGAATAACGCTGTGATGCATATTTGGACATTCGACCTGCAGCAAAAACCTCCGGGCGAGAACCAGACCAACGTTGACTTTTCCATCCCTCATCTTGAGCAATTCCTCATCGGCGTGGCAGAGTATGCTATGACAGCCCAACGACAATTTTTGCAGTACACGCTTGGCGATGCACATACGTACAACTTGGTTCTGATTGCCAATGAGACGCTTAAAGGTACGATCGGTGCAGTTGGGTTATGGAACGCAAGCACAGTCGGCTGGGGCAATGGGCGACAAGGCAACAACGAGTCATCTACCGTCGTGTATTGGTCTCTCACACCAATCCTCGTCTTCGCTGCACTCTCTTTTGCCTTGGTCGCATGGAGTCACTACTACGACCGACCCAACGGCACGCCATACATCGCAGAGTGCGACCCGATCGACTTTGTGGATGCAGTGATCGCCTCTTCGCAAGGTGGCTTGCAAAACAGCTTCCACCGCGATGCTCTGCTCAAGGAGGGCGGCTCGCTTCACGGGGCTCGAGCGGTCAAAGTTCGTCTTGGTCAAATATACCGCAAAGATGATCCGGACGGACTTCCAAAGCTTGGATTTGTCGACGTCAATTGATGCGACAAAGAGCTCATATCCGCTCCACCCCATTCATGCCTTTACGCTCCTCCATGATCCCTTCGCACCATTTGCTCTTCCTGGCACACTCATCCACACACCTCGCCTCTTTCTCCGGACCTGCACTTCATGGCATTCGCGCATCTTTTCCTCTGCTCTTTTGACTCTCCTCCGTACATGTACAAACGTCAAACGTTCCTCATCTCCCCTCACGCCTATTCAAATGTCATCTTCGGTCCGCATTGATGGTTTGCGCAATTTCCGAGATCGTGTGCGTGTCCGTGAGAGGAAAAACCGACGTGCGGTTGTGTGTCAGCGGGGCAAGATGTGTGTTGCGATGCGAGGCTCCGATGATGTCCGCGGATCCCGATGGTACAAGACGTCGATCGAGTCTTGCATTCCTACTGTGGCCAACTTGGATCATCACCCATCTGCCCTTTTGCGCTAGACTACTGGCACATCGACGAAGAGGCAGAGTCACGAGCGAACAGATGACGCCAAGCAGATGCGTCATCAGGAAGCTTTCGGTCCCTTGGATGTTACGATCCTGCTGATGAGCGCTGATGATGATGCTTCGAGATGCGACCTGTCGCGATGCCTCGATATGACAGGTAACGTGCAAGACCCCTGCTGTTCCACTTGAGGGATGCGACGAATGAAAGATGGTGGAATGGGGATGCTGGCATTCCACCTCGCGCGGCGACTTGAGCGACGCTCGACCAGTTGAGAGATGGGCCTGATAGTAGACTCACAATTGCTGGTGATCGTTGCGCGATGAATACGTGTCCCACCCTCGCTACGGGCTGAACACGTTCGAAGATGCGCGCCGAGCACTTGGTGGTCTTTCGTGCGCCCTCGCCACTCGCCTGCCATCGCTCGTACAGAGAGCTTCTGAGCATGGCAACAGGCTTGGGCTCGCGCTTCGTCTAGCTCCGATTTGAAGCTGTCCTCGCGATGACACAGGTAGACACAAGATGAAGACCTTTCTTTGCCTAAGTGCAGCGATTAACGCGGTCTGTGCGATAGACCCACCGACAGGCCAGTATCGCAGCGCGGATCAGCAACCTGAGGCTACTTGACGTTCCTGAGAAGAGTTTAGCGCGCAATGCAGAAGCGTCGAGGTCTCCGGAGCAGCTGAATTGCGGATAGAGTCATTTGGACCCCTTGGATCTCATGGCTGCCAACTTGGCCTCCATCGCTGCGATCTTGGCCGAAGTACTATGCAGAGGAGAGGGGAGAGCATACATTCAACGAGGAATCCATCATATTTCCAAAACACGCCAGACGCTTGCTCACCCTTCCGGCCTGTTCGCATTTTTGACGATGCTCAGCGTCGTCTGCTGCTTGGTCTCTTGATGTCTGTGTCTATGAGTGGCCGAGCCGGACGATGTTTCGGGCTGAAAGACGATTGGCTTTACAGGTCTGAGCGGACCCGCGCATGCGTCCACCACCCATCATGTTCAACATCTCCACTCACCCTCACATCGGCAAATCCCACTCGGATATTTTTACCAGCCAGCAATCTGCCATCGGTGTTGACGCGAGCCATCTCCGCGTCCTCCATCCTTGCAAATTCCACAAACGCATACCCTCTACTTCTTCCCTTTAGTTCGCCCGTCGAATAGAATACGAGATGAAGATCTTTGATGGATCCGTAAGGCTTGTAGATGGTAGCCAGCGCTGCTTCATTCACGCCTGGCGAGAGAGAGGAGACGAAGAGACGGGTACGCGATTTTGGTCGATTGTTCGTGCCTGTGCTTGTGCTCGTGCTCGTGCCTGTGCTGCTGCTCGACTTGGAAGCGGAAGGACGGGATGAAGGGTAGGGAGCGAGAGGCGAGCGAGAGGAATGGCTCGTCATTGGTCGAGAAGGTAGAGACGCTGGCATTGTGGTAGCCTGGCTCGGTAGAGGATAGGTATGATGTGAGATGCTGCTGCTCCGAATCTGTTTGAATAGCCGCGTGGCGATGCGAAGTTGACGGTGAGTAGCGGATGTGAGAAGGCAGCTACCCGGTGTGAGGTAGCTATGATTGGCTTTTTGCCTAACAGCGAGGACCTGACAACGATTCAGCCAGCAGCTGGGCGAGGTTTGCTGTGTGACGCCCAAGACGGCTTATTCGGTTCGTGATGGTGTGAGAGAGATAAAGGTGCGGCGCACTTGGTGCATGCCTGATGATGGTGAGTTTAGATGCTCGGCGCTGAGGATCGAGAGCTGACAGCTGCGCCGAGTCAATAACGTCGGACCCCGCGCCAGCCCATGACGTTACTCCGCGGTGCTCCGGCTCCGTCTCCGTCCCACGCGTGCGGTATGCGCTCCGCTCCTCCTCTGCATTCACCATTTGCAGTTCGAGTCTGCGCAAGCCAACGCGCCAAATCACTACTACACAACGAGACGCTTCCATACTTTCATCATGAATGCACCATATGTATGCTATGTTATGTACATCATTGGGGTCACTTCCAAAGCTTGAGGAAATGGCTCGGACACTCACTTGAATTCGTGACTCGGCTAGGCAGTCGACTCACTCCTCGCGATAGTGGGAGGGTATACTCTATCCTTGAGCCGCGAACCCTGATTGCGAGGGCCACCAAACAAAGCTTCGATAGCAGCGCAGCAGACATACATACCTACACGCCAGGCGGGAGCGCAGGGCGCTCTCATGTCGAGCAATGGCATCGATACCGACGGGAGCGCTTCGCCAATTCCCCTCCTCGTCCTCTTCACCGAGCGGTAGCAAAGACACAGTAGCTGCAGGGACTGTGCAAGAGACTGTGGACGCAGCAGCCACCTCTCCCAGCACACCTTCAGCAAATCAAACAGGGACGAGTTGCGGCATCTTGCACCACACTCGGACCAGCCCTGTCTCAGTGCAAGTGAACTCGGCCTTGTCCCAGTCGCCCACCGAAAGTGTGGCCAAAGGTAAGGGAAAAGGCAAAGGCAGGAGGTTGAGCTTCGGCAATAGTAGCAGGAAACACACGCCAAATCATACGCATGATGGGTGGGAAGGGATGGATAGGGACTTGGCACCTCGATTGAGGCTTGATGGGGTGGAGGGAGGGGGCCAAGCTTGGTCCATTGCGCGAGGCGGTGAGTGTATCGGGGCAAGGTGTGCTGAGAGAGTCACCCCACTGACCAAATGGCTTTCCGCGCCTCTCTCGACGCAGAGAGCGATATCGCGGACATCATCCCTCATCACTATCAGGCTCTGGACCTTGACCTCGGCGCTTCGAACGCAGTAGAACCAAATGCTGCGGCCAATTCGCGCTCTTACGATCAAGCACTGGCGCACCGTTCGAGCCCGCCATGCGCAGCGCGCTCCTTGTACGCCCCTCCGGGCGAAAGTCCGTTGAGAAGGAGGAGATATTCAAATACACGTCGAATGGTCGATATGGATGATCGTGCAGTGGAACAAGCCTACGAGCTGAGCAATACCGCAACACAGACGAGCAGGCAGCGTCAAGCGTCCAATTCGTCCGCTTATCCCCCAAGCTTTGCCGAATCTCAGTGTGAGTGGAGAGCAGCTGCGTCGAGAAGAATTGCCACAATTTTGCTGCAACGAGCTGAGAGGCAATGACTGCCATGCGTGCATGCATGACGTCCAACTTGTCTGTTCGCGCAGTCGCTACCATCATACGCAGACAGCGCAAACGCAGAATTTTCTCGCCTACTTTTGAGAGATTGGAGAGCGGAGATGCGGTGGTGGGCGAGGAGGAAGTGGCACAAGGCGAAGCTTGCGCCGTGCAGCGCAAAGGAAGACGTCTTAGTGGCGGCCGCAGCCGCAGGCGAGGGCACTCTGCGGCGAACAGGTCGGCCGCAGCTCACTTTGATGGCAAGGAGAAGCACCATCATCGTCGTCATTCGAACGGTACTTACCCTGTCGAGCAGTGTGCGGATCCTGGCGCGTGCGACTCTTTCCACGTTGACGATGCGCTCGATTCAGGCTCGTCGGATTGGGAGTTTGCAGGATGGGGCAGCATGTCTATGCTCGTCTTCAACCAGACTGAGCTGGATTCTGCCAAGCACAAAGTGCTCCGTCGACCGGTCGCGATGCTTGGGCAATGGCGCGCGTTCGCACTAGCAGGCAACGCCGTGACGGGAAGTGCCTTCTACTCTCTTCCTGCCGTGTTGGCCGTGAGCGGCGCATTGAGTCCGATCGGCATGGCCCTCGCTGCGCTGCTGCTTTGGCCTTTCAGACCCATCCTCGTCGAATTGGCTAGCGCACTCGGAGGCTCGGATGCGGGAAACTTTACCTACCTTACAAACTCTACCAGTGGAGCTACACTCTTTCCGCTACTTGCTGCCGCTTTCAATCTCTTGGACGCGCTAGCTACGGGCGCGGTGAGCGCTGCAACAGCTGCAAGCTATATTTCTGCGGAAACCGCTTCGACGACGACGACGACGACGCATGTGGATATGAAATTGATCAGCGTGCTACTCATACTGGCAACATCCATCATCTGTCTAATGGGAATCAAGGACAGTTCCAAAGTTGCACTTGGCATGATCTCTTTGCACCTCGTCACCATGCTCATCCTAATCATCGCTGGACTCATCAGCTGGATCAGAATGGGCAATGTGCAACTACGTTCCAACTGGGTCGATTTTTTCCATGGAGATGCAGTCTCTACCGTAAGCAGACGCACATTGACGCGACGCAGCAGCGGCAGCGAAAAGAGTGCAGTGAGAATCGTCTTTGATGCTACTTGCTTGGCTTTTGTTGGCCTGACGGGCGTGGAGACCACTCCGGCGTATGTGGCGTCGGTCAAGAGAGGCAGCTTTGAAAAAGCTCTGAGGAACTTGCACATATCTATCCTTACCGAGCCTATGCTTGCCTTGCTCATCGTGGCTGTCATGCCGTGAGTGCTGCTGGCGTCGAATTGTGACCGTACTTTGGAGCTGACGCAACGCACTCCTCTCGTTCGGACGCAGCCTCTCATCATCCATCGGCACGCCCAACATTCTAGCCAGTCTGGCTCAAAACAGTACGGGAGCATGGTTGCGATACTTGGTATTGACCGATGCCTGTATAGTGCTCAGCGGAGGCATCATCACGGGCGTAGTAGCTTTGTGCGGCACAGTGGAAGCTTTGGTCTCGAGCAAGGTCTTGCCGGGATTTTTGTCCTGGACTTTGCCGCGAACGGCAACGATGGCTAACGCTGTACTGCTCTTTGCGGCGTTGACCATGTGTATGTGCGCTACGGCTCGCTTTGACTTGACGGTGCTTAGCGGCGTTTGTGAGTGGGAGGAATACGGTTGACACGTAGGCAGAGAGCTATCACCTCATGGGCTTCCACCTGCATCAGCTGACATTGTGAACTTTTCGTCGTTGCGCGCTAGTCTCTATGGTCTTCCTGTGCGTCCTTACGTGCTTTCCTATCTCCTTGCTCTGCATCGTGAGTCCCTTGCCTGCTTATGAATGGGCAGGTTGCCAAGATTGACCATGCTTCCCTTCCCTTTGCCTCTCTTCTGCAGCTCCATTCTCGACGCACTCTGCCTCGCGAACGCAAAGCTTCGATGCTCGTCATTGTGACATCGCTTTGCATTGGACTTGTTGCTATAGCAGGCAATGCGGCTCTAGCACCCGTCACATTGGCTCAAATGGTAGCGTACACAGCAGTCATACTCTTCGTCCTGCTCGCTCTGCATTATCGCATCGCGCTGGTCAAGATGTTCCTCTGGACCATCGCACAGGAATGGACGCTTTGGAACAGAAGTTCGAGGATCAGAAAGAACGCTAAGAGCAAAGATGGACTCAATCGATCTTCCGCTTGGAGGAAGAGCATCATGGAGTGGATCAGAAAGAATAGGTCGGACGTCGTAGTGTATTTCACAAAGACGGACGAAATTTCCACCTTGGTCAGGGTGCTCAGCTATATCCATGAGGTAAGGTCCACGAGCCTGCACGAAACAACACGGCGTGCCTTGCTGATGAACGTGTCCTCGTTTTGCTTCGACTCTCCATTCTAAGCACGAACCGGCTTGTTCTCGCGTCATTCTCGTACACTGTTTCGACCGCGTTTTGCATATTCCATCGGAGCTCGAAGCCAATAGTCAATTGGTGGATGAAAGCTTTCCAACCATCACCGTCGACCTGATCTTTGGTGAGAGTCTTCACACTGCTTTCGGGTTTATTCTGCATCATCGCGCAAGACTTATCAGCCTTTGACACGCTTCTTCGACATGTGCCGCGCCGCCAGTCCAAGCAGAATTTACTCCAATCGTCGTGCAGGCTTTATCGGACAGGTTGGGAATGCCTACTAGCAGAATGTTCATCTCTTGTCCCTCTGGCTCAGGTATCATTCAGCAGGCAGATTGCTCTTCAAACGTGTCTCCCTCGAGCACACCGAGCACGAGCGCCGCGAACCTTTCTTCTCACTTTGAGCTGCCAGAATTTGGAGGTTTGCGCATCATTACCAGCCACTGACACCGCCAGACGCGACGTCTGACCACGTCTGTTTCGCACCAGCAGCCACGCACACTTGCAAATCCACCCCCATCGCTGCAACGTCGCTGGAATTGACCAGTCACCCACGTTATCTGCTACATCTTGGTCGACATTGCAATGCATGCCATGTACTGTCGTCTCTGATTCGCTCTGCTCTGTGCGACAGACAGCGCATATATTCTCATGGATAGGGTCGTCAACTACGACGTTCTGCGGGAAGGAATTTATGAGGGAAGAGGACAAGGGTGAAAAATGGTGTGGTGGATGCATGAATACAGGGCGCCTCCAGAGGCGCACTTGCAACTGGACAACATGGATGCATACTTGGACATTTTGGTGTGAAGTGACTCTTGGTGTTTCGCATTGTGATCGGTGAAGCTGGAATGCGGATGAGAATGAGGCCCGAATTGGACGCTCCGGGAAATCTACAACCTTGCTGAAGTCGACGGTCCCGATGGATCTTGCGTTTTCTATAAGCCCAAGCTCGGACGCGCGTCAGGCGAACCCTTGCGGTCGAAATTGGAGCAGTCGAACGGTTTCGTCGATGCTCCTCGTGCCAGACGGCCCTTGAGCTCTTTAAGCTCTCGCTCGACCTTATCCTTGTGCAGCTCCAAGCCGACGATCTTCTTTGTGAAATACTCTCTCGAGCGACTGTGCTCCTCTTGCAGGAACTCTATCGTCTTGTCCTTCTCTTGCAAGCTCTGCTCCAAGGTGGAAAACTTCAATGCATGAGCGTCATTCCTCTCCTTGATCGCCTCTTCCCAAGCAATGTCGTCTGCGCGCCTGAGCTGCTCAGACTCGGCCGACTGCGACTGATATCGATTCGACACTCCTTGCATCTCGTCCTGCTGATGAGAGGTGATTTGAAAGGGTAAAGCCTCGACGTCTGGGCTTGCCTGCTCGCGTGGTTGTGGTTGATGTTCGATGCGCTGATACTTCTTGGCGTGCTCTTCTTGGAGCTCAGCAGAAATTTCTTCTCGCAGCTTACGCTTCATTGCGTCAGTCTGTGCTTGAAATGCCATGGTCATCTCCTTCCTGAGAGACTCGCGCGCCTGCTCAAGCTCATCCTGGAACCACAAAGGGCCAGAAAGCATGAGTGTACGCATTGGGGCCTGACGGACGCACGTCACTTACCGCGTGGTGAGGGACAGGAGCAGGATGGTGATTGGTCTGCGGAATGGCAGTCCTTGGCGGTAGTAGGTGGCTCGCGGCCGCCGCATTACTTATGGAATACTGCGAAGGAAGCTGAAGCTCAGGTCAGTACGTGTGTGTTTGTATCGTGGGGCACCGAACTCACCACCCAAGGCAGGGCAGGGTGCGTTGCATTTGTGTTGTCTCTCGCTACACCGCTCGATGAACCCTCGATTGAACGAAGCCTCTCTGCATCGGATGGGGGTAGGCCTGGGCATTGCGCACGAGCAGAGTAGCGTTCTTGGGGAAGGTGGCTGTCTTCATGCTTGATGGACTGCGGGGCGAGAGGTGCTGATTGAGAGCGGTGACTGTGCGCACCCGCCCCGGACATCGTCACATTTGCTAGGCCAAGATGGTCCGCTGATGATGTGTGCGCGGAGCTGACGTCGGCTTGTGGCGGTCCGGCCAGCTGCATAGTGCGGAAACCGGACAGCCAAGGAAATTGCGATTCCTTCCCCTCTAGAATATGAGCATCCGTCTCGAGAAGTATCCGCATGTGTTGAGTGGGAGCCGACGAGGCCGCCTGCCGAATCTGGTCGAGACTGAGCTTACGCGATGAAACCTGAAGATTTTGCAGCACATCATCCACCAACCTCTCAAGGTGTTCCACCTGTGTGAGGACAGTTGTGAAAAGGGCTTCCCTCTTCGGCGCGCGAGCGCTATCGTAATGCGGCATTATAGCTCTCCAGATCACCGAGGATCGACACGTTTGATATGCCGTATGTGCAAGATTCATGCACCACGGATGACCCTCAGCAACCGTACACTGGCGTATGAACAGAGCTTGGTCTGTGGGATGCGCCTTCAAATGATTTACTAGCACCACACGGTCGTGCTCCGACCACTGCTCGGCTACGTAAGATTCTGGGCCTTGTTGCAAGCCTGCGTCCTGCTCTTGCTCCTCTTGGTGGTGCTCTTCGATCTTGCACGAGGTCGTGACACCCGAAACATCTGGGGTGCGGTCTAGGGATGTGTAGAATGAGGCAACATGAGGGGGCGGGGAAAGGGATGCGGCTGTATTCTGCTCACGCGATCCCTGAGCAGGACTGGCGGCGGCAGATCTGAGCACCGCGTGTTGCGGTGAGAGGTCAGAGCAAAGCGTCCCGGGACCGTCGAGAGGGGCAAGCACTCCGATGGATGCTGCGCTAGAATCGACTGCTGAAGCTGCACCCTGTGGGCTCTGTCCAAGCGCTTCTGACTGCTGTTGTTGCCATTGGAGACCGCTGGCAGGTTCGTGCTTGATTTCGGCTTGCTGATTGGCGGTGGTCTGGTACGACGTCAAAGGAGCCAACTTCTGCTGCATTGAAGCATCGCTGAGTGCAGACGTCGCCAAGTTGGGCTGAGACGTTTCGCTATGGTGATCGAGTTGCGACTGACCGGGGCTCTGATGATGAAGAGTGGTCGACGCAGGACCTGATGGGCTCATCGATGAGGTGTTTGCGACATGTCCAGCTTGCGCCTGACTGGCAATCTGTTCACACGATGTCAGCGCCGATGAGCTCGGTGAACGTGTCGGAGACACCCCTACACCCTTGCGCGGAGAAGCCGCGAGTGAATGCGGAGTGGAGAGAGGTTTGACTGTGGGATCGGGTCTAGGCGTGACGTGCGTTGCACCTGTCTGTGATACACTCAGAGGGCGAGACGCGATTGAGTTGTGTTTCGGCTTGGACTTCTGCTCAGCGCCTTTGGTCAGAGTTGCGGCCGGTGACTTAGGTTGCATGCCACCTGTCTTGGGAGTCTGTCGTGGCGGTGGTGGTGGACGCGCGGTGGGCGAAGGACTTCCTGAGAGTGCGTATGCGGCGCCGTCGGTTGGCATCGCAAGAGCTCGAGTGGGGGGCGATCTGGCACTGTTCTCTCCAACATTGCTTCTTGCAACAGCTTGCAAGTGTTCGGCTGACAAGAATCCTCGCGTGTTGCCACGGTTCTCCCCTAAAGCAGGCCTGTTGACTCCTGGTGCAAGTGATTTGGCCATGTTGGCACGATAGTCATTCGCTAGGCAGGTAGGCCCTCATGGAATGTTATCGTTGAGTCCATAGATCTACGATGACGAAGATCGCTGCCCAAGACCGATTTGATGTGCCCGACGCGGGTGAGAAAGCGTCGTCGTGATGGACCTCCACCAGCTTCACGACGAGCACGATAGGATGGGATTTGCATGCTCATCCACAGGCTTTTCTTGTGCTGCGCTTCTCCAGAGATCTTACATGCTAAGCTGACGACGTCTCAATCTTGACGAAGAAAAGAGATGTTTAAAGGTGGCTTCGAGGTTGGTTCCTTCTACTGGCCTTTTGGATGCCGCGTCTTGGGACGAGACGTACCACTGACCGAATGACCAGTCACGAGTCTCACGTTCTCGGCTAGCTGGAGCGCGGGGGTTAACGCTCCAGGCAATTCGTGCACACGTGACCCAAATTGAGCAGCCATCAGTGCTGCGTCTACGCGCAGGCGGTCCACCTCCCTTGATGCTTCGTCTGGACGACCACCTTGGCTAAATCTATAGAACCTATCTCGACCACCACACAGACACCGCTGGCAACGGACAGGCTTCAATTCTCAACCACGTCTCATGAAGTCGTTTGACTTGCTTGCTGCCTTGACATCGTAGCGACTGCTCATCGGCTAGAGCGTACCCAATCCAGCTGAAATTCCTCACTGCATCGCTCCAAGATACCTGCTAGCTTTGGTGGCTGCAGTACGACTAACAAACGTCGCCCTATCAGCAAGCGTCCAATCGCGATCGCTCCGGCGTACCAGCTCCCATCTTGCGCGGCCGGGCCGTTGAGATCAAGTAGACTGATAGATCTCTACGCTAGAGGCTTGTCAAGATGACGGGCCGCATTCGGGAGGTTTGGGCCCACAATGTGGAGAGCGAGATGGCTGCTTTGCGGGAAGCCATCATCAAGTATCCTTACGTCGCCATGGTGAGTGGCGGCGTGCTCATCTGGCGCGATCTCTGATGGTGTGCTGCGTTCACTGCCCATCGTGCTGATCCCACCGCATCTAAAATCCGCTCCATTGCGCATACAGGACACTGAATTCCCAGGCATCGTGGCAAGACCGATCGGAACTTTCAAAGGATCCTCCGACTATCACTACCAGACACTGAGATGTAACGTGGACCTCTTGAAGCTCATCCAGCTGGGCATCACTCTGAGCGACGAGAACGGAGAGCTGCCACCGCCCAACGAGGTCTGCACTTGGCAGTTCAACTTCAGCTTCTCAGTCAAGTGAGTGTGCCAAGTAGCCTCGCTCACTTCCATGTGCGCTGAAGAGGAGCGATCTCACATTCGGCGCCCACCAGTGACGATATGTGCGCTCCTGAATCACTTGAGCTGCTGCACAAAGCCGGACTGGACTTTGAGAGGCATGAGAGGATGGGCATAGATGTCGAGCACTTCGGCGAGCTCCTCATCACTTCCGGCTTAGCTCTCTTCGACGATGTCAAGTGGGTCAGCTTCCACTCGTGAGTGTCTTCGATGCGAACGTACATCAAGCACTACACTATCATCATTGACGCGTGTTGCTCGTCATCTCAGGGGCTACGACTTTGGCTACTTGTTGAAGGTGGTGACCTGCTCCCCCTTGCCCTCTCAAGAGTCAGACTTCTTTACGCTGCTTAGGCTTTGGTTCCCTTGTGTATACGACATCAAGTATCTCATGAGGAGCTGCAAGACGCTCAAAGGAGGACTACAAGATGTTGCCGACGATCTCGGGGTCTCTAGAATTGGCCAGCAACATCAAGCAGGTAGTGACTCTTTGCTTACTGCGAACACATTCTTCAAGCTGAGAAACGTCTATTTTGACGGAGTCATCGATGACTCGAAGTATCTGTGAGTAGCAAGAGGCTCGACGACCGTGTTTTGGCTCCATCTCTGACAGCGGCGCCCTACATCTCATGTATCTTGCTTGCTAGCGGCTGTCTGTACGGCTTCAGCACTCACGCAAACCGAGCTGTGGGTAGCACGACTGCTTCTACATCTGCTGCGAATGCTGCTGCTGCCGGCGTCTCCAGCTCCATACCCACCACGCCATCTCAACACGGCCCAGAGACTGGCATGACTCCCTCCAAAGCCCATCCTAATGCTTCTGACAGGCGAGACTTCTCCAAGACGCCCATGGGAACATTGGGAGGTGAGAGGTAAATTCTCCCAGTCACCTCGACTCTCAGCGCCTACAGTCAGACAGCACATCGCCTCGCACCTGCATGTATTCTAGTCATCTTTTGGATCAATGAGAATAACAGCCGCTTCGAGCTTCAAAGCAACATTAGCGGGTGAAGTAGATCGTGTGAGGGTTGGAGAGGAATGGAGCGAGCAGTGGGACTTTGAATAAGGCAGGATGGCCCGGATTGGGGACTATGGCTCGCCGAGCCAAGCCTGCGCGACCGGCCTAGGGACTCGCAGTTTGATTTGTCTGGGAATGTTGTCTTTGGTCAGACGCTCGCCCTGCCAAGCAATGCGGCCCTTTGTGCGTTGAGGTGACTTATCGGTGAAAGCGTCGTACGAGGGGCTGTGCTGGTCTGCCGACATTTTTTGAACTCGAGGTGCGCCTACGTGGCGAGACAGGCCTTGCGATGCTTTGGAGGGCTCTTGCTGCTGAAATCCTGGCTCACGTCCTCCTCTAAACATCTTGCCGACTTCCTCCCAGCAAGCTTTCAATGCGCCACAACGCTTCTGAAGAACGTGCTGGCCATAGCGCGGAGATCGTCCCGAGGAACATCAAAGGCGACTCTTCCAGTTTCAACACCCAAGTCTATCCCAACCAGGTCGTCCATGCCGATCAGTCACGTACCTCGGTAGAGTTTTCAGTGGTCGTAATGACTGCGCGAGACTAAGCAAAGCAGAAGGAGCAGTCATCTGAACACCTTTCCTTCCGAATCAATGGCCCGTGCCCACACACAGCTACTTACCTCGATAGGCGTGCTAGACGGCACTTTGTCAGGAGTCTGCACGGGCTGCGGTGCAACTTGAGGTTTGACGGCTGTTGGTTTCGTGGGACCGATGATTTCTACGGGTCGAGGAACGCGAGTGACAGGCCCATTGATGGAGGGGCGACTAGGGTAGCCTTGCCATCCCCAGTGACTTCGCAATTTCGGCACATCAGGGACTTGATATGCTTTGCTTTCAGGCTTGGGTCCTCCTCCCCACCTTATCTTGGCGAGCCGCTCCAATTCTTGCGCGCCATAGTAATCTGCAAGAGGTGCTCGCTTCTGCATCATGCCCGCCACGGGAGCGACAAGCCTAACCTCTGCGCCGAGTGGAGAACGGCGGTGAATGCCGCCTTGCTTATACATCCTTTTCAAATCTGCCAATTGACTGTCAATCTGGTCCACACTCTTGAGACCGAAACCTCCATCGGCGGTGATCTTCATGCCATTGGTCTTGTACACGACCGTGTTGCCTTTCTTCAAGTCCATCATGACGTGGAAGCCACCCTTTCTGTAGTTTTGACGAGCAGTGGCGCTCTTGGCAAAGCTGTGCCGATGTAAAGGTCAGCACGTCGCTGCGAGACGGTAGGCGTGCCAATCCTATCTCGCTCACGTAGTTCCTGCGCCGATGCCGTGTTTGTAAGTGATCTTAGCAGTGTCCTTGACGTACCTGCCTGCCGTCTTGAGACCAGTGATGACTCCTCCCAACGGCGATCGACGGCTTAGCGGTGCAGAAGCTTGTCGAGCCAGCAAGGAGCGTCGATGGCGCGGTTTGATTTTGAGCACCTTTCGAATCTTGCCAACGACCTTGCGGCCTTTCTGTTGGTTCGCGGGCGGGACATTAGCACCGTGGTTTCGCCACTTGCTTCGCATGATGGTCTGCTGATTCTTCCACGTCACATGCTCAGCCTTGTAAGCTAGACGCACTTTGGAACTCAGAGCGTACCTGCGCTCACACAGCAAATCACAAGAATGGCGCATGTTAGCGTCACACTATGACATCGTGAGACTTCAGTAGGGCATTGCCTACTGACATCAAACCTGCTTTCGGACCGTGCGCTTTAGTCACGGTCCAAAGATTTTTCAGGCTACTTTTCCCGATCGGAAGAGCGATCTTGTAGGCTCGGCGGCTCAACATCTCAACAGAGCTGTCAGCTTCGCGGCCAAGTAGATCGGGTGATGTGACCTGATGAAGAGGAAGAGGAGGAGGAGGACGAGGAGCAGACGCATTCAGCGCTCGAAGTCCAGATGGGAAGGTTTTCGTAAGCAGGACTAAGTACGTACCTGAATGTCGTCGGTGACAGATCTTGAAGCATGTCTGCCGGGCTGTCCCAAGACAGACGTTGCAACAGCTCTGTCAGAATCAGGAAGAGTTGTGATCAGACGGTCAGCGCGCATGACATTGACGATCGGTCAGATCAAGCCTAGCACATACAGGAGTGCTACAAGGCTGAGTTGAGGGCCGAGAAACAGCATGATGATGTTGGGCAACCGATCTACACTTTGAAGTCAAAGTGTTGCAAGGCAATGTGGGCTACAAATTCTGAGCTTGCTGCGACTTGCGCAGTGTGAGTGTCACGGTATATGAGCTGGAGCCGACACGACCTGCGTGCGGTGCATAGAGCATATATAGCGAGCGGTCAAGAGCTCGGGTGGGGAGAGAACAACGGGCACGATTTGGCGGGACTGATGGGAGATGACGCTTGCCTAAATACGTTCTGCGAAGCTGCTCACGTTCCCCCTCCTTCTCATCAATCACTTCTCGCCACCGCTCTCTCAAAACACTCGCCGAGGCCTAGCTGCTTCGAGTGCCGATCAGCTTTCAGCTTCTGGGGCACGCCACTGCTGTTCCAGGGCGGGGCCTTGCAAACGACCGCCTTCGCCGTGCAGACTCGCAAACGCCCACACGTAGCTCTGGCTGGATCACGCCTTGCGATTCAGCCAGAGAGCACTTTGGGTGCCGCAAGGCCTACTGCGCCTGTCCACGCGCGGGGGGTGCGGTGACCTTTTGGCTGACTGGGATGTCTGCGTGTCTAGAACGCTGGATGCGCAGCGAAGCTGGCAGGTTGAGTGATGAGCGTGATGGATCAGAGCAGTGCCCGCCGCGCCTGCTAGATGGGCGGCGTTGCCACTGCTTCAGAAGGCCGTCAGGCAGAGAGAATCGTGGGCGTCTGCTTACCGCTCCTCGCTGCTTGGTGACTGCAAAACCTTTCCCCCCCCCCCCCCCGCGTCACTGGGCCTATGGCTGATACCCGCCCGCGCGTCGTCCGTTCCATATTGCCCGCGCATGGTGGTCGGAAGTCACGAGTGTGCCCTAGGCATCCGACACCCTCACGTCATCCACACCTTCTGCTGGCTCAGGTGGGATCGCGCTTCACACTAGACTGCGCATCCTCTGCTTCAGGTAGTCATCATGCCGCTTGAGTGGCGATGTTGATGTGCGTAGTCGTTGCGAGGCTTGATTCGACGCTCGATACGAGGATCAATGAGAATCACAATCACGAATGATGATGCTGTTCGACACACGCATGTGGAGTCGTGAGTACGAGCTCGAGGCTGACTGTTTATCGAGAATAATTTTAGCTGCGGAATAGAACGGAACAACGGGTCGGCGCCCGAGTCGCGCGGCAAGCCCAGCAGCAGCAGGGGCCGCCGCCATCATCCCATCGCATGCATCTCCCAGCAGCAAAGAAGCGATAAGTCAAACGTTCCAGCAGCGCAGCACGCAAGCAGCAGCAGCAGCGCTTGGCCTTAAGGTCGCTTTGCATGCAGCAGCAGCGAAACAAACGCCTGGCCTGGCCTGTCCATGCAGCAGCAAATGAGCGAAATCTTCATGCGCGAAACACAGCCGAGCCACGCAGCCATGCAGCCGTCTCTTCGCGGGCGGAACTGCTCGAGTGCCCGGAGATCAGACAATCACAATCGTGAATGGCCATCACCAGGCCAGCGCAGCTAGGTCGTCCGTCAAGTTTTAAGATTTTGGTGCAGCTGAGAAAGGGAAACGAATTTTTTGCGCTCCGTGCGTGAGCCAATCTGGCTGGCTGGCTGGCTGAGTGCGCGTTTGTCTGCTCCCTGCTTCAGCCGCTCCATCGTGGTTAGGGTTGACTAGCCGACCATGGCCACAGCCCGGCCTGCCCTGCGTCGATCGAGGTTCGTCGCATGGCTTCGCTTAGAGCCGGAGACCAGCAGCGCCATGCATTAGCAGTCGCGCAGACCCAAGCCAGCACGATGAGCGCCGCGGGCGGACCGGCGTGGACGCACGCGCTCGTTCCCGAGCAGACAGCCCAGCCCAGCCCAGCCATGCAGCAGCAGCTATAGCCGCTGGCCACGCCGATGAAGGAATTCAAGAGCGTGCGTGCATGATGAGTGCGAGAGTTTTTGCGTGCGTGCGTGCGCACGCGAACGAGCGGTGCGGCTTGAAATCTTGTGCGCTGCTCGTCCAGCTTCTTCTCCTCATTCCCGACCACCTCCCGTTGACCGGTTCACGTCTTCTAATCACCACTCAGTCTCCCCAGCATTCGTCAAAATGTGAGTCGTTCTTTATGATGTTTACGAAGACTCATGGTGCCAGCCAGTTGGCCAGAGGTTGACGCTTTCTTGCCTTGGTTCTCTCTCTCTGCGTGCAGGGGCACAGTCGTACGTTGGAAGCGCGATGGAAAGGTGACGTGCGCTGCATGCTGATTTCTGCTCTCTGCGAACAGGTTGACCCCTCCAAGCAAGGCACCAAGAGCCTCAGTGGCTTCGCCACTGACTTCCGTGAGTGCACTGGCTCGCACGCACATCGATTTGCGAGATGCGGGTGTGAGAGCTATACGCTAAAGCCAAAGCGCCTGCTCTCACGCAGTCATGGGTGGTGTCTCCGCCGCTGTCTCCAAGACCGCTGCTGCCCCCATCGAGCGAGTCAAGCTCCTCATTCAAAACCAAGATGAGATGATCAAGCAGGGCCGTCTCGCTTCTCCCTACAAGGGTATCGGTGACTGCGTGAGTTTGCACAGGCGCTAGACTTTCCACTGGTTGAGCTGAGATGGAGACATGCGGTCTAACGGCGTCTTTTACTCCTGCAGTTCGGCCGCACCATCGCTCAGGAGGGCGCCGTCTCTCTCTGGCGTGGTAACACCGCCAACGTCATCCGGTGAGTGTGTTTGCATCCCTTGCTGTCTTTGCACAGCTTTGCTGATCCGTGCAAACCCGCGGCGCGTGCAGTTACTTCCCCACCCAGGCCCTAAACTTTGCCTTCAAGGACTTCTTCAAGAGTCTCTTCAAGGTCCCCAAGAGCGACCCTTACTGGAAGCAGCTCTCGGCCAACCTTGCGTCTGGTGGTGCCGCTGGTGCATCTTCTTTGCTCTTCGTCTACTCTCTTGACTACGCCCGTACCCGTCTGGCAAACGACGCCAAGTCTTCCGCCAAGGGTGGAGGAGAGCGTCAATTCAACGGTCTCATTGACGTGTACCGCAAGACCCTCGCTTCCGATGGTATCGCTGGTCTCTACCGTGGTTTCGTTCCATCGGTCGTTGGTATCGTCGTCTACCGTGGTCTGTACTTCGGTATGTACGACTCCCTCAAGCCCGTCGTCCTCACCGGATCTCTTCAGGGCAACTTCGCTGCGTCTTTCGCTCTCGGATGGGTTGTCACCACTGGTTCCGGTCTTGCTTCTTACCCTCTGGACACTATCCGTCGTCGTATGATGATGACCTCGGGTGGTACCGGACCCCACTACAAGAACATGCTTCACGCCGGTTCCGAGATCGTCAAGGCCGAGGGTGTCAAGTCTCTCTTCAAGGGTGAGTTGGGCACCCTTATTGCTTCTGCAGAGAAGAACGATGCAGCCAAGCATCGGAAGCCCGTCTGCGCGATCGGCGATCACGAGTTTGCGCTGACAGTCGTCACCAATCCGTGCTCCCGTCTCGTCTTCGCTCATCTGCAGGTGCTGGAGCCAACATTCTCCGTGGTATTGCCGGTGCTGGTGTGCTTTCCGGTTACGACAAGCTCCAAGAGCTTCTCCTCGGAAAGGTCTACAGCGGTGGTTCCGGATAAGCGAAGACGACTGTTCATCAAGTTGCAACTCGTCTCTGCTTCTCCTCCCGCTCAAGTACACTCTACAAAACCCTCATTGTGTCGAAGTCCGTTTCACAACAATGAAAATACAGTCCTACATTCGCATGCGTGCCAGGATAGCGATGCCGAGAAGCGATGGCGCCGCAGGATTGTGGAAGGAGTGCAGCTCTTTCGGCCGAGAACACTAGACATCTTGACTTGAATGTGCTTGTCAGAGATTCGACCCTGATGGGACGCAAATTGAAGTTTGAGATGCAACCTAGACGCTGTGTGCTGCCAATGCCCCACGTTCAAAGGTGACTTGCACGAGACACATCGTACTGCTCGCGAGTGATGCCCGGTGTGTGGATGGATGCGGGTATGCTGTTTGCTGCTATTTGAGCGCGCGGCCCAGCGCGAGGGTGGACCGTGTGGCATGCACGCAACAGACTTTTGCGCAGGCGGACGGACAGACAAGTGCAGATGCTCGCACGCGTTGCGTGGTCAAGGAGATGGGGCCGGGGACCCGTGCATAGCAAGCAAGCACGTCAAAAGAATTGGTCTACATCTTTGCTGTCGTACCCCGAAAATGACGGGGCAATAACAAAACGAGCGAGTCCTCTCCTTCCGCGCTTTTGGATTGATGAATTCTATTTTGTTTTTGTGCTGCATCGATCAGGAGCGTACGGTGCGCAGGATCCATCCCATCCCATCCCATCCGCCTTTTGTGATTCCAGCGCGTGCCTTAATTGTTGCTCAACGCGGCAGCATATATATATGCGGTCACGCCGTCACGGCAAGCGCGCTGGATGCTGAGCTCAGCAACAATTGCGCGCCGCGCACGCGGTGTAAATTGCGTGCCTGACACGGCCCCCCCTCCACTTATTTTGCGGGCGAGTCCAAGGAAAGCTAATTTGTTTCCTTTTTCAGGGTTCTTTTCTGTTCGCGCGAGCAACCTCCCTCTTCTTGCGACGTCCGAACGCTCCCACGCACATCCACACGCCATCTGGGATCGACTTGCACGCGCAGCGCTTTGCTTAGCATCAGCTTGAGGAATTGTTAGGCTAACCCTTGTAGGCGCTCGCTGGCCTTCCTTACCCTCCGCGGCCCGGATCATCTTTGCGTGGAATTGCAAGGAGGGGCCTATGAGGTTAGAGGCAATTCTACACGATGCAGGCGAGTCTTGTTGAGCGCTGCCTACATGGCACCTGCCAAGAATAAGCGCTGACAGTCGGTTGCGCCCGCTGTTTCTGCCGTTTATAGTGCACTTGCCGTCGAGGGATTGCGAGCGTGGGAGATGTTGCTTCGCGTCGCATGATTATAGGGACGTCGGAGAGGATAGCTGGAGTGACGCGAGGGCTGGGAGTAGCGCGTGCTCAAAGCGAGGATAAGGTGCCGCTCGCTTTCTCTGCCAGGAGTCCGAGCTGGTATGAGCGGTCAGCGCGTATGGGTAGAGCAAGACCGAGTCAAGGCGCAACGCTTCACACTTCTGCAAAATGCAGACGGGATCTAGGCTCCTCTGGCACCGGCACGACACGACGATCGGCCCCTCAAGCCCCACCTGCCGGACTGCGCACGACCTCCTTTCCACCACCTTCCTTTCCCGAAGCTTTTGGAGCAAACCAAATGATTCCCCTCTCCTCCGACCTCAATCGCAGACTCTCCAACATCCACTCTTCTTTCCGCGCACCCATCCGTTTCGCCTTCGCTTATGGATCTGGGGTCTTCAAACAGTCGGATGCGGGACCGGAACATTCGAAGAGACCTCAAGGTCCCAAAGGGAAAATGATAGATGTCGTCATGGCTGTTGCTCATCCTGAGCATTGGCACAGCGTCAATATGAAGCAGCACCCTCGACACTACCCCACGTTGGCTAGGCTGCTCGGAGGCACTGCGGCTGCAAAAGCTCAGAAATGGGGAGCTGGACTCTGGTACAATCCTTATGTCAAGATAGGGGATGAGGTGAGTCTTTGTACCTTGCGTTCTTCGTCAGGTGTGCACGCCAGCCAGATCTGCGAGTCCCATCATGCTGATGCGATGCATATGTTCACGGCGGGACTCCAGCTCATCAAGTACGGCGTCATCTCTGTAGATGATCTGTGCAACGACTTGCTCGACTGGGACACGCTGTACGTCAGTGGAAGGATGCACAAACCAGTACGTGTCATGCTTTCTAAATTCACGACACTTGACACTCACTGACGCTTAGAGGCTGGCATCGTCTCCCAAGGTCGCGATGCTGCAAGCAGACGCTCGCGTGCGATTAGCGCAACAGGTGAATTTGACCTCTGCTTTGCGCGTAGCACTCTTGCTGCTACCAGAGCGCTTCACGGAGGTGGAGCTGTACACGCAGATCGCTTCTCTCAGCTACACTGGAGATTTCAGAATGAGTGTGCCAGGCGGAGAGAATGCGGACAAGGTGCGGAACATCGTGCTGGGCCAGCGAGACCAATTCAGGCGGCTATATGCCGGACTTGTCAGGAGCTTTGGTACTGTCCACATAGAAGAGACCAGGGCGGATCGATTTGCCATGATTGTGAGCACGTATGCGACTCCTTGGTTGCCCCCTGAGATGTACTGCTCCCATACTGATACCATTCGGACCTGACACGGCCTGTAGCAAGATACGTCTGCCGCCACTAGAGCAGACTACGCAGGTCGCTTACCTCTACGGCTCCGAGAAAAGGTGCAAGCGCACTACACGGCTCATCCGGATGCAGATCCAGCCTTTTTGGCCCTGTCGCTGAGCAGGCGATCGGACCAGGTGACACGCAAGCCCAGCGCCGTCTCCCGAAACTCTGACGACGCGGATGCGGAAAAGGAGAGGCGCAAAGCGTTTTGGAAAGCTGCTGTGGAGCAAAAAGACTTTGAAAGGGTTTTGCTGCAGATGATTGCGAAGACGGTCAAGGGGCCTGCTTGGGCTCAGAGCGTAAAGGGCGTCTACACTGCTGGATTCGGCAGATCACTTAGATATGTCCTGGCAAAGGTCGGAAAGGTGAGCGTTGGGTCCTTGCATGCTTGCTACATGGGATGGGGACTTTCAGAAGCTGAATCTGCTACCTTTTGTTGTGATTGACAGTACTTCGAGGGGTCGAAGGCGCAGAAGGACGATGCTCCCCACAAGAAGCAAGACACTGCAAAGTAATCGAAGGTTGGGCCTCTAATCATTTTGATTGCAGACGACGGAATCTTGGCATTCCTAGAAGCTTTTTCGGCTGGCGACAATCGACCACCAAGCACCACTCATTACTCTGCACGCAAACACATTAGCAATCGATAATATGCACGGCACTGGTGTTGCGCGGCTCGGAAGAGTGCCCGACAGCAATGTGCAAGCTGGCAGGACCGTCTGCTTTTCAGCTCGTCGCATACGGCAGAGCAGATTCGACATGCTTGACTGATGGCAGGTGTGAAGTCGAGTGCTGCTGCTACACGTGGCTCGAGATGCGTGGCTGAGGGTCGGAATACACCAGCGCCAAGCCGAGCTCGTGCCTCTCGTTCCTTCCGCGTCAGCCCGTCAGCAAGAGGTCACGAGCACGCTTTGGGCACGTCTGGCCTTGGCCAAAGAGCCCCTCGATCCGCGCCTGGATGAGTGGAAGCTTCAGCGTGCCTCGGCGATGTGTGACTGGTCGTGATGATCTGCAGATCCGAAAGCGCCGGGCACACGCCAAGGTGGTACACTGCCCGGTTCGTGCCGGTACTGTCCTCTTCCACGGTGCGCCCCTCTCCCTCTGTCGCTGCTCACATCACCACTCGATGCGCCTCTGCCGCGTCCTGACCTATCACCTCTTCCGCGCCCGCGTCCGCGCCCACTCCCTCGACATTGCGCACCGCCTGTGCCTCCTCCCGCTTCCCACTCGGCGACATATTTATCTCGAGCTTTAGCAGGGCATGCCTGTGCCTGCAGCTGTTGCAGTACGTGCATGATCGCCTCTTCGCTCCAAAATTGCGCTGGTTCAGCATGCCCATAGTCAGGTCTTTTTGGGCTTTCATCCTCCTCCTCCTCCTCCTCCTCCTCCTCCTCCCGTGCGTGCAATACAAGAAGATGCTCGAAGCCTTCTTCCATCGTGGGCATCCTCCATTGCTTCGTGAATAATCTGAGCACATTGAGTGCTTGAGCAGGAGACTTGAGCGTCTCGTGGTCTTTTCTTGCCCGTAGACGTGCTTGACACGTACTAAAGGGCGTATCGAAGACGATGATGTCCGTCTCGGCTCCATACTGTTGACCCAGATCCAACCAGTACGCCCTCTGAGAAGCATCCGCATTGGTTCGATCCACGACCACGTTGCGTCTTTGTGCAAGATTCTGCGAGACGAGAGAGATGACGGATTGTCGATCGCCAAGCACGTCTTGAGAGGCTCGAATGTAGCGTGGTCGTTGGAGAGAACAGAGCGATTGGGCGAATGAGGACTTGCCGGATCCCACTACACCGCACAGGACTAGCAGATGTGGCCGATCGTCTATTGCGGCTGGTAATGCTGCGATTGGGGATGTAGCTTCGTCGTGTGGTGAAGAGTGTTCTGCTCCAAGCGAAGGTTGTGCTTCTGTCGAGAGTGTAAGCTCCCTGAAAGGGGGCGCGATGCGCTCGCGCAGAGTGTGGCGCTCGACAGTGGCCGCCCCATCGGCGTCTTCTCCCTTTAGCATCAGCTCATCCTTCTCCGTCATTTCTTCCACTCGAGGCTGCCTTGCATTTCGATGTGGTGAATGTTGTGCAATGGCACATGTAGACAGCTCCTAGATCGGTTTGTTCTGCAAAAGATAGTCGGGAAGAGTTGCTGATGAGCAGCAGCTTCGCTCCTTCCCCCTCCGTCTTGGCGCGGAAGTTGTGCAGCATAGTGCACGCGCACCTCGTCGTCACACGCATACACTCATCAATCTTGGTCGAGCGCGGCGCGCGCGCGTGCATGCATGCTGCTATATAGCTTGTCCGTGCGCCCTCCTGCTCGCGTCTACGCGGTCTTTGGGGTTGACTACACGCGCCCACGTGGTTGGTTGGCTGGCTGATCATGGCGACTGCAGCATGGTGTGCGCACGTCCGGAATATATAAACGCGGTTCACACACCAGAGCTCGTAGACGGGCGTCGATCTCCAGAACACCCGATCACAATCATCTCGCAGCGACAACACCTTTCTGCATGAGCACGTCCACGAGTCTGACGCCTTCAAGACTGTCGACTCGCTCTACACTCTAAGCCCTCGCAGACTCAAGGTTCCGGGTATACTGGTATTCACACGCAATTCGTTGGGATTAGATAGTCGCAAGATGTCCTCTGGCGGTGGTGAGTGTACGAGCGGAGTGCGACTCTACGCGATATTTAGCAGAAAGGATCGCAGCGATCGCACCAGTGCCCAAGCTCCATCGGATGCCGAGTGCGATTCGAGCAACTGTTCTAACGATGCTATCTCGCTCTCTCTCTCTCTCTCCCTCTTTCTTGCTCGCTCACAGTGCCTTACTCGCAGGACCTGCCTCCTGCAGGCGGTTACGAACCGATCAGGTACAAGCGCAACCTTCCAGCTAGAGGTCCTGGTGGAATAGCCATCTTTGGTGCCGTCTTTGGTATTTGCGCATACGGATTCTATAGAGTAGCTGCTGGTGTGCACGAGAAGAAGTGAGTCTCGTTCAGAAGCTCTTGATGATTTGGAGCAGATTTGTCGGTACGAATGAGCAAGCTGGTGCAATCGATTGACTTGGTGGACAGCTGCGTTGGAGAGGGTTTGTTCTGCTCCTGATATCTGTGCCTCTACATGCTGACTTGAACATCTGGCAATTGTTTGGTGAACAGAGAACTCGAGAGGGAAAAGGCTTGGTCACGCATTCATTTGGTGCCTATGCTCATGGCAGAGGGAGATAGAGATGCTTACAGGAGAGAGGCGGCAGCGCTAGCGAGGGAGAAAGAGATCATGAAGGACGTGCCAGGCTGGGAGGTGAGTGTCCACGTCAAATTGATGCGTAGGTCGTTGTTGGCGATCACGACGCCGTGGGAGATGCGAGTCTTTCAGAAGCTCAGCCCTGGCTGACTCTGAGAACTGGCATCTAATCGCAGGCCGGCAAGAGCGTATACAGCACAAAGAGATACACTCCTGCTTCGTTCGTCGTTCTGTGATACAAGTCAATCTTTGCAATACGATCCGTGCATTTTCACCACACGCGACGGAAGTGGTGGGCAAGAGACGAGAAGGAATCCAGAGCATACGATAGCTCAGCAGGTCACTGTCCAGTTGCATGCTCGTGTGGTTTCGGACTACCTCCTCAGGGTGGATGTCTGTACGCATTCAGTGGACACGTCACACGCTGCTCGAATCGGGTAAAAGCCAGATGGATTGTCGATGGCATTAGAGAAAAGGATCTGCATAGGGCAGCTTGCCATGCGGCTCGGCGCTCTTCCTCGTTAACAGTATGTGTGCGGGTAGGCAAGCTACGTGATCTCGAGTCCATGCCCGATTGCCTCGAGCAAGATAAACTCCGATATAGAGACGAACAAGCTGCCGCGGCAGGCTACTAGACGGACGTCTCGTTGGGGTGAAGAAACGCACCGTCAATCAAGAGTGCGAAGAGGAGAAGGTCAGACCAAGCAAGCACAGCAAGGCTCGCTCGCTCGACGCATGCATGCGCAAGAGCAGCAGCGCGAGTATGAGTAGGTGTTTGTTGGGAACCGGTCTTGCGCAAACGAGTCGCACCACTGCGCGCCTCCTTGTTCATAACGCGTATAGCGATGATTACCAGGCAATCATCATCACTCGGGCGCCGATGCGTCGTGTCTGCTCGCCACCAGTATATTCAAGTGGTTGATGAGAGGAGGTCGCGACTTGATCGTGGTTCACATCTGTGATTGTTGATTGAGTCACGATTGTGCTGATTGCGAAAGGCGCCTGAGCTGAGCTGAGCTGAGCTTCGAGTGCGATCCTGATTGGGAGCCAAATACCAGTGCGCACCGCACATGAGCCTGCAACACACTCAAACGTGAACCGCACCGCGTCGATCCTTGCACTCGCGATCTCATCTCATGCCCACTCAGACTTCCCAATTCGAGAAGTCTAACGCCCTCCCCACACCATCAACCACTTTGATTGCACCCGCGCCTCACCGCACCACTGCTGGTCTTTGCGATCCCAGGAAACGGCGCTCAGCAGCGAGAAGCGTGCGACACTCGCTCCGACATTTTGAACATTAAGTAAAGGAAGTGATCCTGTCAACAATGACCAGAGTGAGTAGTGGAGCAGCTCATGTGCAACGTGGCTCTTCTGATCACATCGCGGCACTTGCAGGCGCTGTGCAGTGTGATCTGACATCGCATCACCATCCCACTGCCATTCCAGCCTGTGCGCCAATCCGTCAAGCGCGAAGCCTCGTCCGATCTCGAGAGCGACGCAAAGAGCGTGAGCCAGAGTGAAGAAATGGCTGCGGATTTCGTTCCTGGCGAAGATGTTTTGAATGAGCCGGATAGTCCCGACAAGAAGAGCAAAAAGGCATCCTCGTCTGCTACTAGCACGCCCAAGGGCAAGAGCAAGGGTCAGAGCTCGTTGCCTGCTAGTCCCAGCAACAGCAAGACACCGGCTTCCGCAGTTAGTCTCTGAGCGGACGAATTAGGTTGCTGCACGTTGGCCGTGCCCAACTGACTGCTGATGGACCTCGTGCCTAAACGTCGTCTGCTTTGCCCAGGCTGCTTTTGGAGGTGAGCATTGCGTGTCCCATTGTCTTGTCGACGGTGAGAAATGTTCCATGCATCCTAACGGCTGATCGTCATCCTTTCCGAATTCATTCGCAGACGAACACTGGGCAGCTCTATCCTACGCAATGCTGCGCATCCTCAACGAAAATTCGTCCAAGCTCATCCAATACTCTCCCGAGCTCAAGCCTTGGATGCCGAAAGGTAGGATCTTGGTCAAGATGAGACAGAGCATGGCGGGAGTTAGGGGGGGTTCAATCGCGCTGGAACGTTATTTGGCCGAGCAAAAGGGTGAGAAGAAGATGGATGGCGAGCAGATGACTCCTCAGGCTACGCCTTCGAAGAAGCGAAGCAAGATGGACGCTTGAGAAGGGCGCGCGAGCGGTGAAACGTGCCGAGATTGGGGCGCACTTCCATTTCCCCCCCCCCCCCGCCCGTCGAGCTCATGCTTCTTGCCATCCATGCTTCAAAGCGCAACTTCCCTTCGAGCGGGCAGCTCAGCAGCCCCTTCTTTCCTCCGCCGGGACCCTTCTCCATCGAGCACTTGCGCTCCAACAATGCACGACAAGCAACATGCTCCCTCTGCCGCCCGTGCCCTCGTCATCTCGAGCGACAGCAGGACCAGGCGATGAGAGAGCAGCAATTAAGACCAGAGACATGTCCATACCGACAATCGACCTGCTTCGCTACATCTGTTGTACATCAGCCTACAGTCTGAGATGATATTTCAACAAACAGACCATCACACCAATCAGATGGCTGCGACCAACAGTCCAACACACCCGTTCGTCTTGAAAGCGTATCAATCTGGGAGAAGTGCAAGCTGCTGAGCTTCGCCTCGACCTGCTCTGTGTGATGTGTCATGTGGTAGACTTTTCCGGGTCGAGAGTGGGAGGCCCATTGTTGTTGTGATGGGCTGACATGGCGTTGTTCACCGCTCGCTATAAGCTTCACTTTGATCTCGCGATACATCGATCACAATCACGAATGTGAATAATCGTGAATGCATGTTCAAGCGCTCGAGTCTCCGCGGGGTGGGCGACGCGCAGAGCCCGCGACGCGACACGCGCCTTCTCCACATGTCGCGGCACAGCATGCGCCTGCACAGCATGGACGGGGGAATTTCACCTCGCTATACAGTCACAGGTATATATGGATATGCTCTCCGAATGTGAATGTCCACACGCCCCTGCCCCTCTAACTCGTCACACGATTTCATTTCTGTTCCTTCAACATTCCACGCCAATCTGGTGTAGTCCCATGATCGTACAAGCTGCAGGCAACCTTCCCGTAGCTTCTGCATGGATCGCTCAGAACGCTCCCATCCAGAGTTGGGTCATACCCTCGCTCAGACCTCTACAACATGCCGGCAGCAAGCAAGGACGCACCAGACGGTGCTAGAGTGGTAGCGTGCATCCAAGACTTTTTTGAGCGGTATGTGGGAGACATAGGGTAAGTCTTGCTGGAGCAAGGACAGTGGGTGCGAAGAGAGAGGCTGAAAGAGTGTACGCCTGCATGCTGCGCTCTAGTCAACTGTCGCGCAACATCATTCAGCAACATGTGGTTCAGGAATTGAAATTGAAAAGCAAGAACTCGCTAGCCCCTCACAAGCAGCTTGTAAAGGATACGATTGAAGAATGCGTGGTGAGATATTATCAAGAGTGTATTCAGCAACGAGGTTTTGGGTGCGCTCCGTCTAGAGACGGAAGTCTCGGGGACGAAGGTTGCTGGCGAGCATTCCACGCTTGTAGTCTCGCCTGAAGGTGAGGTGAGCTAAGCTGACTGTATACCTCTGACCATGTATTTCTGTGCGTCTCGTGGTAAGTTTGAGACGGTCAATGGGAAACAGGTCATCAAGCAGAAGAAAGACTCTGCCGCTCCATCCAAGCAGGTCGGAGGGTCGGAGGTTGGTGCTGCTCCCGCGGTCAAGGCAACATCTGGATCGTCGGGGACCAAAGAGGCCAAGCAGGCCGATGGCGCGGGATCAGAATCGGAGGAGCTGGTAAGTCTATGCGGCGCAGTCGAGGGCGTCAAGGAGACGTCTGTCTGCTGACATCCGATTTGGCTGTGCGCGCTGCATGCAGTCCGAAGCAGAAGATCGGGAGCAAAGCGAGAGATCTACGGATGCGGAGGACTTGCTTGATGATGATGAGATATCCGAGAAGAAGAGGAGGCGCAAGAGTGGCGGTACATCGAAGGACAGAAGTGCCATGAAGAAGAGGCGGAGGTCGAAAGGCGAGACACCCGGAACGGATAAGGTGAGAAGCGCTCTAATGCAGCTGTGTGCCCAGAGATTCTGTCGTTCATTTGAAAGTGCGCGCAGAGTTCCGACAAGATTGCAGAGGTCAAACGTTTGCAATCATACGTGCTTGCTTGTGGTGCGTCGAAGTCGAGCTCGATATCCGCCTCAGAAGAATCTGCTCACGCTCACGCATATAATCTCTTTAGGAGTTCGCAAACAATGGAAGCGAGTATTCGAAGCGGAGGGATGCGGCGGGGACAACGAGTCTGATCTTGCACGGCAATGCAAAGTCGTTCGGAGCATCCTCGAAGAGCTGGGCATGGTGAGCAGACTACTTCGTTGCTGGCTGTGATGGCAGAATGCAACTGACACGCCTCGTCTGTCTGCTCAGCCGGGCCGCCTGTCCATGGAGAGAGCGAAGAAGATCCGCGAAGAGGTGAGATGAGAACGAGCCACGTCCAGTCGCTCGGTGATCTGATTTTAATCACCTCGCTGCACCAGCGCGAATTTAAAGCAGAGTTGGAAGCGCTTCAAGGCAACGCCGATTTGTCGGGCACGACACGAAGCGGTAGCAAACGAGGACGCGCAGCAAAACGGGCCGGAAGCGATGGAGCGAGCGATGCGGAGGAGGATGATGGACCAAAGCCAGCGCCACGAGTGAGTCGAAATTTGAGCTTCACCACCAGATTAGCGCGAGCGCGAAAGGGAAGCTTCAGAGTTCAGACTGTTTGTTCTTTCTTGTTCCAGCGCAAGGTCAGCTCGATGCTGGCCGATTTCGCTGCTGAACTCAATGACGACTAGTCGTGTGGGACTCGGTGGACAAGATGATGTTGCCAGGCTGGGTCATTGCTCGCGATCTTCCTCAAAGTTGTACAATTTCCAATCAGCAAGCCGAAGAGCAAGCATCATCAGCAACATCCCTCTTTCGTTCCTCGCCGCCCGGGCCGCGCGCGCTCCGGTGCTAGTCGCGTGTCCTTCAGACGAGTCATTGTCCGGGTAAATGGGCTCAGCGCCACAGGGAGTGCGGTATGAATCCCGCCCAAGCATTGCCAGCAGGAAGATCGTGATGAGGGTGGGCAGCATGCCCATCTGTGTGGCACAGCACGGTCAATCGCGAGGGTGGCATTGCAAAGGGCCCGCTGCTGTTGGCGCTGATGTCTTTCCACGTGGGAAGTGTGGCCGGATACGTGATTCACGAGTGTCACTGACTGAATTGCGCGCACGGTGCACCGCATGATCGCGGAGGTGTGTGCCTGTGTGCGGGCCCGCGGCTGGGCGCGCAAACGATGATGAGCTAGGTCGATCGAGCAGCGCAGCATCAGCGCGTCAGCGTTGAATGCGGGGAGGAGGTGCGTGCGTGCAGCGTGTGTGCAGCGAACAGCGCCGGCTCCCCCAACACTCACACTCGCCGGCAATTCGTGAGAAGCGGCTTTGCCGATCGAGCGAACGAGCGCGAGGTCGGTCGATCGATCGATTGTTGTGAAAAGTCGTGAGAGGGGGTAGCGCTCTCGACTTGATCACACTACTACCACCATCCCCGCTCACCATTAGAAGTCATCAACCAGCATTCTTCGCCATATCATCTCTAGATAGAACCACTTCAAGATGTCCTCTGCTCAATTCGACAAGGTGAGATGGCGAGCAGCCTGGGGTTGGGTAACAGCTATGGTGTCGATGTGTCACAGCGCAGTAGCTGACCGGCCCTTGCCCTTTCGACGAACCTTTTGATATGTAGGCCGTGTCCATCATCGGCAGCATGCCCAAGGTGAGTGTCCCTGTAAGCGTGTCTGCTGCAACACGAGTCAAGCATGACTGATGAGTCCGACTACCATTCTGCTGTTCTGCGCATCGTAGGATGGACCTGTGCAGCCCACCCAAAGCGACCAGCTGACCTTTTACGGACTGTTCAAGCAAGCCAGCAATGGTGATGTCAACACCAGCCGTCCGGGTATGATGGGTAAGTTTTGAAAGACATGTTGAGATGGGCTGAGCTTAGGATGATCGCAAGAAGAGTACGAATGCGCTGCGGGACTGGAGATTGTTGATAACTGTTGACCCGCCATGTATACAGACTTTACGGGAAAGGCCAAGTGGGATGCTTGGAAGAGCCGCGAGGGTCTTTCTGCTGATGAGGCCAAGAAGGAGTACGTCGACCACTTGCTCTCTGTGAGTGTCATAGTGCATACAGGTACACCGCTGGTGCTTTGCGGGGTTGCGAGAAAAGCCAAGGGAGTAAATGAGCTGCTGGATCATAGGGAAAGCGGAAAGTCAGGCCAAAGCGGCCACTCTGATTCCGGCGCTGCGTGCTGACCTGAATTTCACCTCTCAAATATTCGATGACGACTTCCTATAGCTGCTCGACAAGCACTCTGGTTAGTGTGCTCCTAAGAGCTCTCCTCTGGACCCTGTTCCGCTCTGGCTGATCTTTGGCTGCTGCTTCTCCTTCCTTCGCACAGACAATGAGGACGCAAAGAAGTGGGCGGACGAGATCAGAGCCGCCTAAACGGCGATCGGACTGGGAAGATCGAGAGCATCAATGCATTCCTACTTCCGGCTTTGAATACACGTTCTGCGATTCGCTGGCCGTGCAAATGACAACAAATTGATCCAGAAGTCTTTTGAGCCCAGCGTTCGACAGTCTCGAAGTCCTTTTGAGCCCAATGTTCGACAGTCTCGAAGCCCCCCTCGTGCGTTCCTCACGAGCTTACCCAACGAGGTTGAAGCGATTCACAGTGCAAGTGAGGCACCTCGCCTCTCGCTATCACGAGGATTCCGACACAAGCATGAGGTGAGGTGCGTGCCAGTGCGATGGGTGACTGTGGTCGAGCGCAGGGCTTGCTCAAAGCCGCAATCTGGAGCGAGCCGCACCGGCCGTGCAAAATGCAGCTTCGCTTCGCTAGTATAATTTCTTTTTTGGTGCTTGCAAGCTCTTCGAAGACAAGTCACTTGCACGGACAAGTCAAGGTGAATGGCGTCTGAACGAATGTCGAAGCGAATGGAGGAGAGGCCGAAAGGGGGACGTAACGGTTGGCATACTTGGCACCTTTGTTTTCTTTCGCGGGGGTTCATCAATCCCGTGCGTGACGCTGCAGCTGGTTTGGCCTAGAGACGCTTTATGAAAGGTCTTGAATTTGGTGAACGATCGCATTCCGATCACTTGCGAGTGCACGACTTTTGATTGCGGAAGCGCGCACGTTTCGAAATCCGGTGCCGCAGAGAGGGTTGGCGGCACATCGATACCTATCGTAGGTGCACCCCTCTATCGCGGTGTTCATCAGCGTGAGCGTAGCCTTGGGCCTGCGCAGCATGCATGCTTGTTGTTGCCGTGCGGCATATGATTTACAAATACTATTGCTATAGCAGCTCCTCGCGACATGTGTAAGCAACCAGAAGCCAGGCCAGGCCAGGCCAGGCCCGCCCAGCCCGGCGAATGTGCAGCTTGCGCACGCCGGTCCTATCTTCAGCAGCAGCAGCATCAGCTATCATCATGGACATGCACGCAGCATCAGCATCCGCATAGACTCACACTGCACAGCAACCGCGCATCGATTGCGGCCTTGAATTCCTATATATACCTGCGCAGCTTCTGCACAGCAATCACGATCGAGCGTTGCGCACGCTCATACGCCCGCCCGCCGATGCTGCTGCTGCTGCTGCCTGTGTTTGCCTGCGTTGAGGCCAGCAGCATATGCAGACGATTGTCAGATCAGCAGAGTCAGCGCGCGTGGAAAGGGAAGATCAAGGCGTGCATGTGCGCATGGACTCGTGATTGACAGCCCTGTGAGTGAGTGCATGGTGGCTCCAACAAAAGTATAGAGCTAGTAGCTAGGCTCGCTGACATGGGTGGCTGCTGGATGGGACTCCATATGAGACACACGACTGCAATCAAGTCACACTCACACTAGTACTCACATACATCAGCACTCACACTCACATTGACTACCGCGGCACGGTAAGCCGCTGCACGCGCCCAATTCCAAGATCCACTCAAGACTCGCTTTTCGGGCCGCGGCACAGCATGCTTAATTGTGACTTTCATCGAAACAGCTATATCATATAGCTGGCAGATCGAGCCATCAGAAGAAAGTTGCAGGTGCAAAAAAAAAAAACAAGAATGGAAGCGAGTACCTCTATACACAATCAGAATGACTGCATACAGCATGGTCGTCAGTGAGCTGTTATAGCCTCCAGCTGCAAGTTGAAATCAAAGTAGGCCATCTTATTCCGATTGACATTCATTTCTTGATTTCTTGTTTGCCTCTGCCGGCTTGACTGCTATCTCTTTGTATGCGAAGATCACACCTATTTTGATTGCCATCTCGACGACTCGATCGCGCCTCGCGACCGCATACATGCAGCAAGTGTCCAATTCAAGTCGCGAGTCGCGCTTGAGCTACCGCGTATAGTTGCACGGCGCACTCGTGATCGCGACTGGACTTCCCTCTCGCCGCTCTCGCGAGGTGCCGCGCCGCCCTGCGTCACTTGTTCACGTGCCAGCCAGTTCACTTCAGCCATTCTTCAATCCCATCCACCTTCCCTCCGCATCTCTTCTCTTTGCGATCGTCTCCAGCCGATCTTGCCCTGACGTTGAACGATCAAGCGGCCGACGTGCTCATACTACTGCCCAAAACAACAGCAGTGGTGCAAGGATCGCGTCACTGTCCCCCGCGTCATACTTGGCATACATACTGATACCACGCATCTATATATATACACATGTGTGTGTGTACACGTACCCACTCCTCCTACTCAGATCCACTTTACGGAATCATTTCGGCGCGACTTCGATTTCATCTTCGGCAAAGGACCGGTCCCTTCAGTCGCGATCGGATCTAAATTCCTGCCCGCAACTTCCGTCGCAACAGGCCAGCTGAATAGGCCGCTATAGCCAGGCCACAACAAGCCTAGCTTCGTCGATATCCGAACTCCTCAACGCGACTTGTTCACCCCACAATTTGGTTCGCCCTTTTTTCTCTTTTCCCTTTGTAAAGGGCCCGCGTTCAATTCTATCCTGCCATCGTTTGGACTGAACAGCGTCGCCCAGATCAGGATAGATAGCCGGTAGGATCAAGCGGCCGGACTTGAGCGGGCAGGCGACATTCGGATCGGGCAAACCTGCGGTCCCTCTTCCACTTGCGCCCCCTTGCCCCACCCCCGCCAAGCCTAGCCTTTCCTACATATTCGATCTCGACCTTTGCGACACAACGAAGCACCATTGGCTGAAGTCACAGCTCAGGCGTTTGGAAATGCATGCTCCACTGGCAACTCTCGCAGTGCACTGGCACGGATGTAGGGGAGAGCTACCTCCTCCATTGGTCGTGAGTGTACCTGGCATGGATGGGACAGGTAGCCCGATCGATGATCGGCATGCTTGCTATGGCGACGAGATCGGCAATAGGAAATTGGCGCTCGCCAAATGCCAGACTGCGGATCAGTAGGCTCAATGAAGAGTCAAGGCTTCCATAGCTGAACAAAGGGAACAACAGCGACGATCCTGCTTGCTGCGTAGCTGATACTGTTCCTCCTCTTTACGCTGTCAGGGCGCCTCGGTCACCCTTGTGGATTCTGGCCCAGGGTCAGGCGAGGCCGGCAAAGTCTACTTGTTTGGGGGCAGGCTCGTCTCGACGCGGCGCATGGTCAACACGCTCTACGAGTTGGATCTTTCCACTCTGCAATGGTCAAGCATAGAGGGTTTTGGCAGGACAGGTACCCTCAACGGCCACGGATCGGAGTCGAGTGCGCCACAAGCGGGACCCAGCTCGAGCCCAGAGCTGGCCACCTCTTCATCTTCTGGTCGCGCGCCGCAACCTCGTTATTTCCACAGCACCGACCTGTGGGAAGATCGGCTGGTCGTCTTTGGTGGGATGGGCTACGCTCAAGGTGCTGCCGCATCGGCCAAGGGCACATCAGGCGCTCCGAATGGGACTTCAGACCCAAAGAGCCCAAAGGCGGATGGTTCGCAGTCAGACGCCCTGTGCGTGCTGGACGAGATCATCGCCTTTGACCTCAAAGCTCGAGAGTGGGACTTTGAATTCGCAGCTCAGCCAGCGATGAGGCCCTCGACACCATCGACCAGACCTCCTACACCGGTGCCGAGGTATGCTCATCTGAGCGCTTTGACCTCAGACTTTCTGGTGATCATAGGAGGTCAGAACATGTCGAATCAGTACGTCGAGGAGATCAACGTGTTCGACTTGCGCGTCAAAAGGTGGATCATCACGCATCATTTTCCAAGGCAGTGCGGGTCGTACAGGTCTTTGGCGGTGGTTGGCAGATCGGCAGTGCAGGAAGCGCAGCTGCGAGGCGACGAGAGACAATCACACAGAGCATCGGCGCCGTATGGCAAGGGGCGCGAGGGGGATGCGGTCGCTGCGACGGGTGACGATGGGCCCTCCATGGCCGGCTCGTCGATCGTCTCTCCGACAGACACTAGAAGCAGTCGAAGTGGTAGCGCGGTGGGTGCAGCGACTAGCGCAAGAACGCCGCAATCCTTTGGTAGCAGTCCTCCCACAACCGCCACGGGAAGCCTGGATCGGAGTGGCATGCTTGCTTCATCCTCTTCGAACGGCGCAGCGCTGGACTTGCTACCGATGAGCGTTGAGCCGCGCAATGAGCATGGTCTGTCTCTGCCATTGCCCCTCTTCATCTACACGAATTACAACTTCACTGATGTGAAGAGGGAGCTCGAAGTGGTCAACTTGAGGAGGATGGAGAGTGGCAACTCGATGGCCCCTGGCTCATCTTCTCAGTCTGGTTTGAGCGATGCGACGACCGGACTGAGCGCGAGCACGGCGCTGAAGGTGGAGGATCGCTCCAAAGACATGGCTGGCGCATCTTTGCCGCCCGGCTTGCGCTTTCCGACTGGCGCGATGCTCGGATCCCACCTCATCATCTCGGGCACCTACTTGGCCAACACTTCGCAGACATTTTCCATTTGGGCCTTGCACGTGCCTACGATGCAGTGGACCAGGCTAGACATGGGCAACGTGCTTTCCACCGGTTCGTGGAACAGAGCGGTGCTGTGGCCCAGCAAGAACAAACTCATCGTATTTGGAAACAGAGCTCGCGATCTCGTGCAGGATTACAACCACAGGCAAACCAATTGGGATCACGTCTTGCTGCTCAATCTAGAATCTTGGGGCATCAGTCAGCCGCCAGCGCGACCGATGAGTGATGAAGCCATGCAGATGGGCCTGGACTCTCTCACAGCAGCCACCGCGGGCAGCTTTGCGTATGGACTGGAAGGCGGAGCCAAGTCTTTGAGCGAAAGCACGTCGGAGAGGATCGTGCCGCCGCTCATGTCCCTAGCGCTCAATGGACGAGGCGATTTCGAGATTGTCTGTGCTGATGGCATTCGCTTGGGCTGCCACCGCGTCATTCTGGAAAAGAGGTGGTCTTGGTTCGCGGCGAAGATGCGGGAGTACAGGAGGCAAGCTCGGCACGCGGCACGCGCTCAGTCGAGCTCGCGCAGAGAGCGAAGCATCGCGACGCACAGCGAGGAAAGCGCCGGCAATTCTTCCAGACCTTCATTGTCTAGCATAATCAGCACCGGCACTATTCGCGCCCTGCTCGACTCTGATGAGGAAGGAAACGATTCGGGAGAGAGCGGTGGGACGCATCACGGATTTCTGCCGGGAAAGCATGCGGAGGCTGGCCGGTCCAAGCAGAGTGCGGGCGCGGAAGCTGCAAGGAGCGATCCGGAAGGAAGCTCTCGAAACGAGATCACACCTTGGGGCTCCTCAGATCCGAGACTTACCCCTCGCCTGCTGCATCTGAACGAGCCCTCTCCCGTTGTGCTAGCGCTCCTCCAATTCTTCTACGCCAGATGCATTTGCACCCCGCTGCAACGGCATCCCGGCATGATTGCTTCCTTGCTCATCATCGCTTCCGCCTATCACATGGCTGATCTGGATGCTTGGGCCAGGCATGCAGCTCACGTTGCTCTGAACAGGCAACTCGTCCCCCCTGCCGGCTCCTCGAACGTATCCTCACCGACCGTTGCTTATCGAGAAAGGGAAGATATTCCTACACACGAACGGCATCGTTACGCAGTGGCACTGTATGAGACCGCAGCGCTGTGTGGGCACGAAGCATTGCAGATCAAAGCTCTCCGCAACATCATGTCCATTTCGAAATGGGCCAACAGGACTTCTCAAGGCTCCAATACTGCCCGCAACTCTATTCAGGGGGATGAGGCGGCCAGCGCTGCCGCTCTGGCATCCACTGCATCGGGCTCCACCCGAGAACAGCTCGCTGCTGTAGGACGCTTGGACTCAAGATCGGGCAGCGTGGGGAGCTCGCAAGCGCCGTATAGCCCAGCGCGCACGCCTGGTGGGCGGACCTCGATCTCTCAGCAGCTGGCCACATCTCGCCCCTCTGCACACTCGGCGTCATCAACGCCCCTTGCAGAGGCCGATACCGACCCGCTTGATGCAGAGCACTATGAGCTTGCCGACGAGGGAAGGAGCGGTCCGCTAACGCGTAGGAGGGGACTTTCGAAAGCGGAGCGCATGCTTGGCATCAGCAACAGCAGCGCCAAAGCGGAGAGAATGTTGGGAATCTCTAGCATGGAGGCATCTGCGGCAGGCTTGCACGAGAGCCCCTCGAGAACGGGTACGCCCAACAACGTTGGAGCGGGAGCGCGAGGACTGAACCACGATTCTAGTGCTCAGTTGGCCGGCAGCAATGCTTCCGGTCAGCGCCGGCCGAGCAACGCACCGTCTGCGAGCAATCAGGCCTTTATGCTGTCCTCGCGGACACCGAGCGGCGGTGCAGCGTCTGTATCAACTCAGCCAAACGCGCCATCCGCTGCTGGGCCTGCTTCGGCACGCAAACGTTTCAGTCTGTTTGGCAGTAGTCGCAGCACGAGCGAGAGCAATGCGAGCTCGTCGACGTCGACCGTCAATGCACAAAGGGCGAATGCGCAAGGATACGAGCATGACGAGGGGGTGGCATCGAGGTCTAGCTTGGAACGCCTTCAATTGGAAAGGCCAAGTCACCTGCGCGCCGAGCTCGAGAGGGCGCACTCTGGCGGCGAAGTTTCGGTGCGCAGCGGTAGGAGCGCATCGAATGCGAGCGGAGCGGCATCGCCCCATTTTATTGACAGTCAACAGTCGCCCTCGCCCACTTCGCCGACTCTGCGATCCGGCTTTCCTCGCTCGGGTGCCGGTGCTGGTGCGGGAGGATTGGTCGCAAAGGGAGCAGGCCAATCTGCTAATGCAGCGGCATCGTCCTTGTCGCTGGGTGGTACAGCAAGTCAGCATCACGATGGAAATGGAAGCTACGCTTCTGCGCAAGGCCACCAGTACCTTGCAGACAAGCGGACCAACATGTCCACTCATCTCGCACCGATTCGAGGTCGGCCTAGTCCGGCTGGAAGTCCACAGCCTCAAGCGCAGCCTCAACCCTTCTTTGCAGGCGCTAGTCCAGCAATGGCCTCGACGACCGGTGGCAGACCAAGAGCGGACAGTTCGGCGGCGATGACCCAGAACGATAGGGATGCTCGGTACGGTAGAGCTGCCTGGCAAATTTAGGCAAAAGGTCGACGAGGCGGACCACGTGTAGCGGTAGCGAAAGGGCGCTGCTTTGCCCATAATCCGCCTCACGTGGGCCCCCTCCCCCGTTTCAAATCGTCCCTGACCTTGGCTTGCTGGTTCGCATGTACAACACTGCCCGAATGCAAAATCTTGCGTGGGACGCTTGCCTTTTGCTCAACTCATGCAACGCCTGACTTGTATGCCACTCGTTTGGCAAGCATCCACTTGAAGGTCTGGCTTTTGTGCGTGAGACGACGTGAGCTTATGCGCACTCGGCCCAAAGCGAGCAGAGGATCATCGAACAAAACTTCAAATGGATTACAAAGGGCGTGCAGATGGCAGTGGATGGGAGTGATGGATGCAGGGGATGCTACGTACTTGCACAATTTCCCACGACGCATTTCCACGATGCACCTCGCTTCAATCCAAAGCTCCAGAATCAGCGTATATCCTCCTCCTATATCTCTTCCACAGTTTCTTGTCGCTTGCAAGCCGTCTGCCAAACTGGAGCAGATCAGGTATGGTCAAGGAAGGCAGGTCCCAATCCGTCAGATGCTTTAGACGCTTGGGCATGTGCAATTTTCGACGTTTGCTCATCTCGGTACCGCCATGGAGCTGGTCCGACTCCGAAGAGCGATATCGGCCATATATCCATCTAGGAGGATCCGACTTGAGCCTCTTCAATTCGGCTTGCAACAGATGCTTTGGAACGGGTATGTGCTTGGCGGCTGAGGAGTCGCTCGGGTGCGCGTGGTTTCCTTGTGGCTTGCTCACACCCCTTTCGAGCGCCGAAGAGTCGCCCTGCTGCAGAAGCTCGGCCCACAGCGTCTCGGGCTGATACGTAGCATACTCCAAGTAGAACTGCAGGCCGTCGGACTTCTTGCGAGACGCGCGTTCCCAGTGCATCGCATCGATGTCCGCCTCTCGCCCATTTGCTGCGTCCAAATCGCAGATCCACTGAGAGTAGCCAAGAAGACTGAAACGGCCATTGCTTCGGCTTGGAGAGGATGGCGAGACATGACGAGGCAGGTTCTTGTGTTTACGATGCTTTTTGCGTCGATGCTTGCGCTTCGCCGTGTGTGGGGAAGCTCCTTCATGCCGCGCTCCAAACATATCCGTCTCGGCCAATTCGTCTGCCTCGCTCTCCGCTCCCATTGTTTGGGCTGAGCGTAGCTCGACAAGCTGCCCGCCAACGTCTTCTAAGTTACGTTCGGTCGACGACAGATTTTGGAGGGACCCATGCCGCGCACGGGTGACGTTGTAAGTCCATACTCTGACAGCAGGCCAGAAGGTACTGTCGACGTGATCAAGACGACAGCAATCGTCAGCCTCAAGCACTCGCATGTAGGCTTCACCTCAAAATGTCTACCTCAATCACTCACGGAACGATGCTGGGCGCCGCAAAGAATGCGTGGTACAGATCTAAATCCGTCCGAGCTTCACCAGGCAAAGTCTTGAAGTCGTGTCTCAGGTCCGCGCTGAGACTTTGAGCGTGCACCTCTTCATCGCGCGTAGTGTTGCCATGCTCATCGGCTCGGCGTTCGACAAAAATTTGCAAACGTGCTGAAGTGAGCGCGTCATCGCGCTGCGACATCGCGTCACTGTTGGCTGAGGAGTCTTCCTGAATGAACAAGCCGTCCACGTTCATGTGGCCGTAGTGTTGCCCAACTATCGTGTCTTGAAATCGAAGCACAATGTCTGTATATCTATCGTAACCTAAGTTCGGAGAGCACAAGAAGTTTGATAAGCCCTGTCTGCTCCCAAGCCGCATGTGAGCGCAGAACTCACATCTGGGAAAGTAGTTCCCAGCAGTCGGAGGGACGTGGCCGATGAGATGCACAGCGGCTCCTCGCTTCCTGAGCATTCCCAACTGAGCCTCTAACCAATCCAAATGTCTGCTCCCCGGATCTTCTTGGTCCTTTTTGCCCTTTTTGGATCTCTTGCACCCATCCACTGCTCTATTGGAATCGTACCACCACAACGTGTTCAGGCTCAGCACCCACAGGTTCTGGGATGGAAGAACCTCTTTGGAGTAGTAGCCTCCAACGAAAAATGTGTGTGACTGATCTTCTGGGATATGATCTGTCCAGATGGACAGGTAGCTTCGCGTCACATCGTTAGGACCAGCAAAGAGAATGTTATGAGGGAACTGTGATTGGCATCGACTTGCCTCGAGTTAGCTTGAGCCTTTGTGGGCAGACCGGTAGCGCAGGCGCAGTGCGTGCGCCAATGCCCAGCTCACGTTCCGTAGCCCGCCAGGACTCACAATGTCGTTGTTGCCAATAGTAGGAACGAGAGGCACACCAGGAAATCGCTTCTCGAGCGCTCCTACGGCCCATCTATTGAGTTCGTATATCTCCGGTCTGGTTCTAGGATGGCCAGAATCTAAATCGTGTCTGGCAGAATCACCTGTCCAAATGATGAAATCCACTCCTCGTCCTCCATCTGCTTCATCATGCCTTGTGCTCACTTCTGATGCACGTTCCCCTCGCGAGGTTGAGGTTGAGGTGGGCATGAAGTTGTGCGCAAGCCAATCTAAGGAGGCTTCTATCAAGTGTGGAGGCGAGTCGCAGTCGCTGGGAGGGCGATCATCGCAGAAGTCAGGGTCAGCAGATGATCGATTCCAAGATCAAAGTCTTGCCCAACAGCCTCTTATTCATTGCACGAGCTAATCAGCAGCCTTTGGCAAGGTCTTTGCACGAGCACTCTTCTACACAGCTGCGATGCGCAGGGCCTCTCTCTCACCTTATAGGCGTACCCCATGCCCCTGCTCTCCTTCCGCCCTTTGGTTTCTTCTCATGACAGCCCCCCTCGACGCTCCCTCCAGGCAAGTAGAATGGATCGGGATGTAGGTCTGTGATGTGCAAGAAACGACCGTATGCGCTCGAAGCTGACGAGTAGGAAGGCTGATCCGTCCGAAAAGGAATTTGAATGCAGCAGACTTGAGGCATTGGAATGCTGAGGTGGAGGAACAAGCCCGACAAGAAGAGTGAGACTGCCCTTCGGGCACTCAAGACCGGCAACATGATGTCCTGAGACGATTCCAAAGCGATTAGACTTGGCAATTCGCTGGTCTGATCGGTTTCACTGGCAAGCTGTAGCCACCTCTACGGTGTTGAGGTGCGCACACGGAGCTGGCGTGAAGAGCAGCCCTTGTGTGATCAAGCCGGCGTCCTTCGGCTCAGGCTCCGCAGCTTCAGAGTCCCTAGGTCTTCGGGTCACAACGAGACTGCTGTCCTTCTGGCGTCCCTCTCGATCTTGCACTGAGCGCCCAAACGAGTGACTTCTACTTGCGTCTTGCGTTCCTCGATGGCTCGATCCAAGTAGCGCGCTGACGTATCTATCCAACCTCATCCCCGGACCTCTGCACCAAGGAAAGCAAGCCGCGACCCGCTGAGAGGACCCGCTAAAGTATGGAGTGCTGCTCAGGAGAGTGACAACGAGAAGAAGCGGAAGACATCAGTGGGACGTATCGCGAATGCTTTGCAAGGCGCTTCAGCATTCATACAGGTGATAATGCACGTGCACCTCCTCGGCTGTTTACGCTAAGCTGGCCAGTGAGCGCCGATCACGTGCGGTGCCGCTTGACAGCTTCCCCCAAAGTTGCATGGATGTAGGTGACGCATACAGGCGCTTCGTGAACCATGTCCCACCGACCTCTTCCGTCGTGTTCCCCTCTGCCTCTCAAAGCCAACACCTTTTGCAGATCATTTTAACAGCAGCGTAGTCGTCGGCCAGTAAAGGCAGCGCAAGCGGTGAGAAATTGTAGCGAAGGTACAGCAGGACGACCGAACGCGTTTGGGGTCCCGCCATCCAAGCTGCAGAACAACCATCGCCTCAAGTCACAGGTCCTCTCATAGCTGGCCAGCTGCAACGCTTCATCCCAAGGACCCTGGCAGCATCCCAAACGAACATGGGTCTGACGTGGATTCTGCTCATTTCCCGTCAAGGCAAAGTACGTTTGGCCAAATGGTTCACCACCCTCTCTCCCAAGTCCAAGGCCAAGATCACAAAGGATGTGACTCAACTGGTACTAGCACGTCGTACGAGAATGTGCAACTTTCTAGAGTACAAGGATACGAAAGTGGTGTATAGGAGGTATGCCAGTCTCTTCTTTGTGAGCGGTATCGCTCCTGGAGATAACGAATTGGTCACGCTGGAGATGATCCATCGGTACGTCGAAGTGCTGGACAGGTACTTTGGAAATGTGAGTGTTGCGAGGGTACATCCCGAGCTGCACCCGGTGCAACGGTGGATTGGTGCAAAAGATTGCTGTCTGCATGTCGGCACACGGGCTGGCTGTGGTCTGTCACTGGATTTTAGACTTGGTGAAAATGTGGCGTGGTTGGGATAGAGGGCGCTGGGAGCAGCGTCTTTCTAGTCTCAGTCATAGCGTTTATTTTTTGCGGTCCGCGACGCGCATGCTTCCTTACCGAGTCGCCGCTTCCTTCTCGACCCGACCCTCGCCCCTGGTCGCCAACAGGTATGCGAGCTGGACCTCATCTTCAACTTTCAAAAGGCCTACTCGGTGAGTCTGATCGCTCATCTGACCCATGCCCGCTCAGCTCCTATCCTGACCACCGCCTTGTCCCCGACGTCTGCACTTCGCGCCCGTCGAATACAGATCCTTGACGAGTTGATCATTGGCGGTGAATTGCAGGAGAGCAGTAAGAAGAGCGTCCTAAGAGTCGTTTCGCAGAGCGATGCGATCGAAGAAGCAGAGAACAGCGAAGATGTGAGTATTAGACGGGACATCTGCCAATGTCTGCCCTTCGCTCGCAATGGAGTCACGAATCTAGCGCTGAATAGTTTGCCTCGTTCGCTCCATCCATCCTTACTCAGTCCCTCGCGAGGATCGGCAGTAGAGCTGTCTGAAAACAGAGCGCCTTTTTGCCCGCATGTCGCTTCAGCTTCAATGCATGGTGTACTATTAGTCGCATTGTCTGTGTGATGATCCAGCAGCTTCAGAGCATCGATAAGAAGGCTGCACTCGATCGTACCAAATTGTTGCACTTTCAGCTATCAGTACAGCCTCCATCCGCACATTGTTCGCCGCTCGACTTGTACATGACGAGTCACAGGCCAGACGAGACGACGACGGAGCGCTGAATCTATAGACTGTGTCTGCAATCACGAATGCATCGCAATACCTGTCGTGCGTGCCGAGGGTACGTGGCACTCGTCGCCTCGCACAAAATCGCACCCTAGCTGTTCAAGCTCCCGATGCCACCCCCCAACGCTCGACGCAAAGCCTGCAGCACGCTTTCGAGATCTCTTCGCAACTTTCGAGACGTCGTGAGCAGCAAGTCAAAAATCCTTGTTTCAAGAAAGTGGGCCTCATCAAAAGTTAGCAAAGATTGAGCAGGTTCTGCTCTTGCCACGCACGTCGACCGTGGTGATCCTGAACGTTTCATCTGTAGTCGACAGCGCGAATCGAGGAGTCACAGTCGTGAAGTCTTGTTAAGCAACAAGGCCCAATGGTCAACGCTTGTGTCAGGTCAGAAAGAATACGTCATCCACCATTCGCATCGAGGCGCTGTGCCATGATGACAACTGCGAGTGCTTTTCACAAAATGACGTGTCAATCGTCGCGAGTGTAGATCCACAGCTAGTGATCGTGTCATGACCAGCGAGTGTAACGCGCAGCTCTCATGAATCAAGCTTCACAAGACACTATCGAGATGACGGATTGAATTGACAAGAAATCTTTTGGTGGGTGCGCACATACTCCGCGGTGCGCTACGCGGGCAGGGGAAGATGGTGGGGAATCTCAAGGAAATCCTCGCAGACTCTTGTCAAGCATTGACTACTTCAACCAGAGTGCGCGCACGATACCTGAGCCCCCATGGCATGATGCCATACATCTCGAAGAAGGGTTTACTTCTTCTTGGAGGCCTTCTCAGCGGCCTTGGTGGTCTTACCACCCTTAGCAGCAGCAGCCTCGACAGCCTTGATGACACCGACAGCGACGGTCTGACGCATGTCACGGACGGCGAAACGACCAAGAGGAGGGAACTCGTTGAAAGCCTCGACGCACATGGGCTTGGAGGGAATCATCTTGACCATGGCGGCATCACCAGACTTGATGAACTTGGGGCCAGACTCGATGGACTTTCCGGAACGACGGTCAATCTTCTCGAGGAGCTCGGCGAACTTGCACGCAATGTGGGCAGTGTGGCAGTCGAGCACGGGCGAGTAACCGGCACCGATTTGACCAGGGTGGTTCATGACGATGACCTGGGCGTTGAAAGAAGCAGCCTCCTGAGCGGGGTTGTTCTTGGAGTCAGAGCAAACGTTTCCTCGACGAATGTCCTTGACGGAGACGTTCTTGACGTTGAAGCCAACGTTGTCACCGGGGAGACCCTCGGTCAAAGACTCGTGGTGCATCTCAACGGACTTGACCTCAGTGGTGACGTTGGCGGGGGCGAAGGTGACAACCATACCGGGCTTGATGACACCGGTTTCGACACGGCCGACGGGCACCGTACCAATACCACCAATCTTGTAAACATCCTGCAGAGGGAGACGCAGGGGCTTGTCGGTGGGACGAGAAGGGGGCTCGATAGCATCGATGGCGTCGAGGAGGGTCTTTCCGGTGGACTTGCCGGCTTTAGTCTCCTTCTCCCATCCCTTGTACCAGGGCATGTTGGTGGTGGCCTCAATCATGTTGTCACCGTGCCATCCAGAGATGGGAACGAAGGCAACAGACTTGGGGTTGTAACCGACCTTCTTGATGAAAGTCGAAGTCTCCTTGATGATTTCGTTGAAACGGTCCTCGGAGTACTTGGTGGTGTCCATCTTGTTGACGGCGACGATGAGTTGACGCACACCGAGGGTGAAGGAGAGCAGAGCGTGCTCACGAGTCTGGCCATCCTTGGAGATACCAGCCTCAAACTCTCCGGTACCACCAGCAATGATCAGAATGGCGCAGTCAGCCTGAGAAGTACCCGTGATCATGTCTGAAATCGCGTAGAGGGGGCATTCTGAGTCAGTGTTCAAATTCGGCACACAGCTCAGCAAACGTTAAGACTCACTCTTGATGAAGTCACGGTGACCGGGGGCATCAATGACGGTGACCATGTACTTGGGAGTCTCGAACTTCCAAAGAGCAATGTCAATGGTGATACCACGCTCACGCTCAGCCTTCAGCTTGTCAAGCACCCAGGCGTACTTGAAGGAGCCCTTGCCAAGTTCGGCAGCCTCCTTCTCGAACTGTGGGGTGAAATGGGTCGCGATTGCGATGAGCACAGATGTTGGCAGAATGCTAGTCACAGGGCCAAAAGCTCACCTTCTCAATGGTACGCTTGTCGATACCACCGCACTTGTAGATCATGTGACCAGTAGTGGTGGACTTGCCGGAGTCGACATCTGAAAAGTGTGGAAGAAGACGAACGCATTCAGCACCTTGTTTCGCCTTGTGGCAACAATCAAGATTGCTACTTACGGCCAATGACGACGACGTTAACCTAGCAGTACAAGGAACGCACATGGAGACGAAGTCAGCATGCACGCACATCGATCGCAGGTAGAGATAAGGACTCGCTTCTAGCGCTCAGCTGACTGCGATACTCACGTGAAGCTTCTCCTTACCCATTGTGACAAAGTATTGGGGGGGGGTTGATGAGTATGTAAGGTAGTATAAAGAGCGAAGTCCGGATATGTGACAGGACAGTTGTTGTGGTCGAGAAGATGCGTGAAGGGGTGGCAAAGGCTCGCTTCATGAAGAAAATTCACCAGCCAGCTTTTGCGCACGCACCTTGCCAGGCGAAGGCTGAAGATGCCCACGCGTGCTGCCAGGGGAGGAGAGGCGGAGACGGGGCGTCGGGAAACAAAGATGCGCACACTGACCTGATGCTTGCATCTCAAGCCGTGCAAGTCTTCCAGGTCAGCAGGCTTTTGGCAAGGCGCACACGCACACGCACACGCACGCATGCCTGCCCTCGCTCGCTCGCTGTGCGCACGAGTCACCCTCCGCCCGCCCGCCCGCCAGCCAGCCAGCCAGCTCAGGTCATGCATGCACGCGCAGACTGACGAAAAAATTTCGCGCCGTGGCCAGAGCATGCAGCAGCTGGAGGACCGCAGGCGGTGCAGGCGAAACGTGCACGGTGATTGGCGTAGCAGCGTCGCCGCGCCAGCAGCAAGGCGACGGTGAGCTATATAATAGCTGCAACACCCGCAAACTCTAGCTGCGCGAATAAGGATGCTGTAGGCTGAGGTACGTGCATACACCGCGCGGTAGTGAATGAACATCATAGCAGTCACAGTCAACCTGCAGTCTGAGTCAGTCGCGAAGTGTTAGGTCCTCGATCCGGAGACGCGGCCTGGGGTCCGTTGCTCCTGTATACGAGTCAGCATCTACAAATCGGATCTGGCCCTTCATCGCGGGAGACAATCACGAGTATATGCTTTCTGGCCAGATGGAATCATGACAATGATTGTATAGTGTCGTGAATTAAGCTCGGCCTTGCAAGCGATCCTCCGATCGAAAGTGATTCGAGTCACGCGTGCTTTGGGCGTAGGTAGGCCTTAGCAGCCGTTTATGCGGAGATGACTCGCCAAGCAACACACAACAGCAGCGCTGCGGGGCGCAACAAAGATGAGCTCACGTGGCGTAAGGCTACTGGCGATTCAAAATCGAGAAAGTTCTGCGGGTCAAGATGCAACACCTCCCCTAATTCACGCAAGACTAACTCTGACTCACTGGATGATAAGTCATTCGCTCCGACTCTCCAACCGCGCAATTAAGGCGACGTTGCAAGCCGATTCGAAAGCCGCGCACATGAGGCGATTTCGACAGGCTTTCCTCGGCCACTGGAGCACCCGCATCCAACCAACCCAGTCTCATCGCCGTTCAGCGGCCCTAGACAGAACAGAACATTGCAATCTAGACTAAGCTACATCAAAATATTGCGGGTTGAAGAGTAGTGTGGAGTGGAGCGGAATCAAGTGGGGGGCGGCGCATTGCTGCGAGAGAGCGAGTGGAGACGTGTGGGCGATAGCTGGCGAAGATGAGTCGAAAAAGGTCTAAAGTGAAAGACAAGGTGGGAAGAACAAACGATGTAGGCTGTGATGGGGTTCAATGGGAACGAACCGGGACGACTAAATTGCTCTGTCCTAAGATCCGGGTCTGCGAGTCAAAACAAGCAAGTGCGATGGAGAATACTACGCTAGCTCCAGTGCATGGCACCTCTCAAGTCAGGACGCCTTCCAGTCCCGGTTTGTGGGCTGGTCCACCTCAAACCAGGTGGCGAGACGCGACGAGCAGCCTCGCCAACAAGCATACGCGTATCAGAGTCGTCTTCGTGCACGACGCCACCGAAGCGTCTAAAGCCGCCACGAGGGCGCATAGGGGAGCGATTCTGATCAACACGACGAGGATAAGCCCTGGAAGGAGTAGAATGCTGATGTTCGCCATGTTGTAGGTCTGAGCTGCGCCATGATCTCGGCTCCGGCCGTTGGGAAGCAGATTCCGAGCGATGGAAGCTCTTGAAGCTCGACGCTTGGACTCGATCATTTCTGATGGTAGGATTCCTGGATGAATTATAGCGGAAGCCGGAACCAGTAGGTGACGGGCTGGAGCTTCGAGGAAGAGTCGCACCAGCTCCGACAGTGCTGCGACTTTGCAGTGCTCGCCGGGCGTCTACACTTGCGGGATCGCTATCGGCTGCTGCCGAACCTGTAGGATAGGCAGCTTGTCTTCCGTGTCTTCCGCTCGCTGCATTTAAGCCATGTGCGCCTCTGCTGTCCCAGGAGCGCGCGACCGAGGAGGCATGCGCAGCGCTAGAGTCTGACCTTTGTGCCGGTCTATGACTGCGATTGTCGAAGCTACGAAGGGGAGACTCGTTTCTGCCACTCTGATGAAAGGATGCTGCACTAGCGTTGCTCCATTGCGCGGCGCCATCCTGTGCGGCCATGGAAGTAGAAGTATCGTCTGCGGGAAGGGTAGAACAGTCGTCGGTGCCGACAGATTGCACGCTGGAACGTCTCAGCTGAGCGGGCGGGGCAAAAGGGACCAGCAGTCCGGCGGGAAGCTGTTGCATCGGGCTGACAAGTGGGGAGTAGCCGAAATGGGAGGCTATCAGCTGGCGGGCGTGCTCGTACACAAGCCAATTAGGGTGATAAGCTTCGTTTGACGTCATGAATGTTTGGGACGCATTGTTCCAGACTCCAATAGATCCGTGAGGTGCATGAGCTCTATGGTCGACCTGCGACACGCCCACATCGCGGTAGGCATTGACCAGCTCATTAGGTCCCAACGTCGGAGCTGCTTGTCCAGTATTTTGCCCGACCCCAATGGCTGACAAATTCCACCGCAGGACTTGCGCGCACTCTGCGACCAGACCATCCCAATCCGCGTGTGTAGGGCCATGTTGTTGCAAGAAGGCTGCAGCCAATTGTTGCGCTTGCTCCCCGTACGTCGCGGAATGCACCGTATCGTGCACTCCCGCGGTTGGCGGACGACCAGCAATTTGCTCATTGTCGTTTGGACCGTGATGATGAGTGGCCTCACGCCTGGACGCCGTCTGAAACCATCCGTCGGACCGAAGCTGGATTGGAGGACGGCAACTGTCGGCAGCCGACATCGTTGTCGAAATGGCGCGCCCCGGAGCAAGAGAGTAGCTGGCTACGGCTGGATCATTCTGAGCTGGGTTGCTATAACTGGGCGCGAAGATGTTCGCGGGGCTGATTCCCGGTGAAGCTGCCGGCAACCACATTGGGGCGCCGGTGGCCCGACCAAACCCGCTCTGGTCCGCCGCCGTTGAAGCATGGAAGGATTCTCGGTCCGGTCCTCCCTTGAGCTTTCCTCTTCCACGCCCCCTGCCTCGAAGACCCCTGTCAGGGGTGCCCCTTCCGCGGCCTCTGCCGTTGGAGCTCAGGCCTCGAGGTCTTGGGCATCTGATCAAGGGCGGTGCGGTTGAAGAGAACTCATGAGCGCACGATCTCCGGGCCAAGTGGTAAAGCATTGGTCCTACTCACCGCTCATGCTCTGATTGCTCGATGCGCGCCCACTGGCTTTCGCTTGAGAGGTCGCATCCGTTATCTTGGGTGCCGGAGCTAGCAAAGCCACTCGGTTGAAGAGGACGCGGCGTAGCTTGGGTATCTATGGCTGAGCCCGGCTCAGCCGAGCGACTGCCCGTCGACGAGCGGGGCCTGTAGTGCTGAGAAGCGGGAAGCATAATAGAATCGAGCGAGGTTGAGAGTGATGCCTGGTCGGTAGGCTGGTGTGTGGCGGACTGGAACGGGATGGCATGTCAGCATGATTAACGGCAATTAAGCAGTAACGCTCGAGATACACACCTCATCGCCCATCAGCTCGATGTAGTGTCGCTCCGTCTCGTCGAAGAAGCGACCTATCGCCTCGGCCTCTTCCATGCTGACTGTGCCGAATTGCTGGAGCCAACTGGAAAGCTCAGTGCGGCGGGCTTCTGAGGCAGCCAGCCGATCTTGACACCGTGGCGAGTCTACTTCGCTCGCGTAGCCACCAGTTGTGTCGATGTCACCGCTGTAGAATGGTGGCCAAAAGCCTGGCGAAGAAAGTGGGACTGAAGTGGAGAAGTCAAAGTCGAAATTGCCGGCTGATAAGCCAAGCAAGTTGGGTTGCGGGAGGTTGTTGGCCACATCCAAGGCATGAGGGCCGCCATAACCAGCATGAGGGGCGCTCAAGGAACCGGAAAAGTCAGAATTCGAGGTGGGTGACAGCAAAAGAGGCTCGAGCATCGAAGAGTCAGGCGCAGTGGGCCAAATGGAAGATGTGCTCTCCGATGTAGTGATGTCCATGTGGTCAGAAGGTATATTGATGCTAAGGGTTGGAATCGAGTCTTGTAGCGAAACTTCACCAGCTAAGCAGTCTGGCAGACGCGCTGGCCTTGCTGGGGCAGTGTGAGGCAACACTCCTCCTGTATGAACCCCCATTTCAGGACGAGGGAATCGTTGATAAGGTGGAACGCTCGCGCTCCGAGTGCGTGGCGACTGTGGTACATCACGGCCATCGGTGAGAGTTGTATAGCGCCTGCTGTCATCCATGCAAGGCCTTTCTTGGAGCCGCTGGGCGTCCAAGTTCAGATACATCAGACCCTCAGCCCGTTTGACCGTTTCGGGAGAAGGGGGACCATGTACTTGATCGAACGAGGGCAAATGCCTGACGTCAAGCACGAACTCTGCAGAGCGCACCGGTGAGCTTCTGAGTTTCTGTAGGTCGACAAAATCTCCCGTCATGGAGAAACTGCGGCGATCGCCTGGGACTAAAGTAATCGGTTTGAACGCTGGGCTTCTCAGCACCGCTTTGAGTGCGCGAAAGCGTCGAATGGCGACGGAGGGCGTCGAATCATTGAGCTCGCACAGGTAATTGGCACGTTGCAAGTACGTAGCTGGCGTAGCTGCGAGGTGTGGCGGTTCGATGGGTGGAGCAAGACCTCGATGAGTAGAGTGTTGTGCACTGATGCGGAGATCGAGCCTTGAAATCGAGGACGAGTCCGAGGCACAACTCCCACTTGTTCGCTCGTGTGACTTTGGCCTGAAGGCTCTGACGGCAGTCGTGACCACCTGACGCTTGCTATGCTCATCAGATACCCAGGCCGCAGTCCGCGAGATGCGTTGCAGCCGCTCGACGTCGCCCTCGTCGACAGTATCGCAACTGACATCCGGGCTTGCTCCGGAATGCTCGACAGGTCTTGTCA